GCGGCAGTGGAAAAAGGACCGACGCTTTGCTGCCATGATTATTATTTTGTGTGGGCGTACTGGTGTACTGGTGGCCCTGCGGGGGACCGGCCCGGCAGTCCTGTGGACCTGTGGCCCCGCGTGGCCCTGTGTTTAGACGGCGAGAGAGTGGAGAGCTTGTGGGAAGCTCCCAGCACGAGCACCGGGTCCTTCGAGGACCCTTCGGCCGCCCTTCACCTTCACCAACACACGCCGCCCTTTCGCCCTGCCCCTGCCCCCTCCGCACAGTGGGCCGGAAGGCCGGTGGAGGCGGACGAAACTCTTGACACGTTTTTTGCAGTGCGGACTGTTTGCATCTCCCCGTTGTGCCGCAGGGTTCGGCGGTTCGATCCCCGCCGGCGTCGAACCGTTTTCGTCGTCCGTGTGACGACTGACTGCTCCATCCCGACTGCAGCATGACCGCGCGTCCGGCCGCACAGCGCGGCGCCGCCTCTAACGGCAGTCCGTCTCTCTCGCACCCGCACGGGACGCCCCGCGAGTGCGAGAGAGACAGTCCGCTGCAGTAACGAGGGGGCTGTGGGAGACGCGCTTCGCGAGCCTCGCGAGCTTGGCGGGCCTTCACCGGTGCGGCTCCCAGACTCATTCCGAGCGTCGTCGCTCTGTCTCTCTCGCACCCGCACGGGGCGCCCCGCGAGTGCGAGAGAGACAGAGCGACGACAACGACGCTCGGAATGAGTCTGCCGGTGGGCCGGGGCGGTTAGGCCCCGCCAAGCACCGCCAGATAGCGGGCAGGAAGCAGCGCGCCGACGAGCACGCCGTCAAAGCACGCCGTCAAAGCACGCCGTCAGAGTGGCGGCGCCACCGGGGCGCACCAAAGCGTTACGTCATTTGTGAATAACCGAACACCCGAACAGCGCGGCGCGAGGGAGACTCGCAGTGCAGCGGACGAGCGCCTGCGAAGGGCTGGGTAGGCCACCCGGCACGGCGGCGTGCGTGCGGCAGAGGCAGGGTGGCCTACCTCGCCGGGCGGTAGACAACCGGGCAGACAGACAGGCAGACAGACAGACAGGCAGACAGACAGGCAGGTGGAAAGTGCAGCGTGCTGCACTGTCGCTGTGAATGGCAGATGAGGCGTGGGGCGTGGCGGGGCGGGGCGTGGCGGGGCGGGGCGGGGCGGGGCGGGGCGGGGCGTGGCGGGGAGTGGCGGGGCGTGGCGGGGCGTGGCGCGACGACAGTCCTCAGAACACCTGCGGCAAATGAGAGTCCTTAATGAACTGCCTCTAGGAGCTCTCGGAGCGCCCAGAGTCCTCGTTACGGACGACTTATCGCCGCCTAGCCTCGCGCCAAGGTCCTCGCTGCGGTTTGCTAAAAACTCAGGCACTGCACTGGAAAGAAATGGCATCATCGCAGGCAGCGTGCGGACGCACACACTTTTAAAAGTCCAGCTTTTAAGGAAACGGCCTTCCGCAAAAACAAAAAAAAACAAAAAAAAACAAATCCGTGTCAAGCGGCCTTTAGCATACGCTCCAGTTTCCCTTCCGCCATGCGACGCGACGTCGAGTGTGCCGAACTGGTGTGTGTGCGTGTGTGTATGTGTATGTGTGTGTGTGTGTGTGTGTGAGTGTGTGTGTTTCCGCGTGGTGTGCGTGGCACGCCAGCTTCTAAATGTTAAAACGGACGGTCGGCCGCGTTTAGTCGGTTTTACTTTCTTCCGCTAGCACGCCTCCGGGTGGGCCTCCGTCGCTCTGTCTCTCTCTCAGGCACGGCGAGCCCCGCGAGTGCGAGAGAGACGGAGCGACGGCTTCACTCCGACTGCCGGCGTGTCGCCTCGAGCCAACACTTAGAGCCCAATCGCAGGTACACCCTGATAAATAACTTCTGGACCCCGACTTTTTAGAGACCACCCGCTGCGACAAACGTACCTAGGGGTACAACCATCGCCCCCTAGGTACATTTATCGCGCTGGGGGCACTGTTACTGAGCATAGATAACAGCACCACAGCCACACGAATTATTTTTTTTGCAGTGTGCACTTATTGACAGAATGAACACACACGCTAGCCAGGTGTGCTTGGCTGTTACATTTTAATAAACTGTCTCGTCTAATAGGCATCGCTGGGAGGGAGAAATCGGCCCTCTTCCTTCGGCGGTGCGGAGGCCTTGCAGTGGCGTGGCTCGCCGACCGGTGCACTGTGCACTCCGCACGCCGCCTATTTGCTTCTTGTTTATGCTTTTGTTGATGTTTTTGTTTACGCGCTGCCGCAGTTTGCTGCTCGCGAGATGATCAGGCGCCATTATTTCTGTGGGAAATGTTGGCTGCGCGGTGCTGAGTGCGAACAGTGCTCTGTCTCTGTCGCACTCTCTCGGAAGGCCCCGCGAGTGCGAGAGAGACTCTGAGAGTCCGTCGGCAGAGCGCCTTGGGCGGCCGGGGCCGGGAACCACCGGGAACGCGTCCAGGACTGTCACAGTGCACTCACAGTGCACCCCGCTGGGGCGACTGGCGGTCCTGGCGGGGCTTCAGGGACGCGTTCGGAACGACGAGGCTGTGCCTGTCTCTGTCCCTCCCAGTGTCCCTGCCGTGGGTGCGACAGGGACACCGTGCACCCTTTCCCCGGGGCGGGCATTGGCTGCTGGCACCGCTGGCACCGCCGCCAACGTGAACGTGGGAGTGAAAGGCCGCCTTCTGTTTTGTCAGCGCGCTCGCGCGCTTGTGTGAGGAACGGGGAACGCCAACACCGCCGCGGGCTTGGAAGCGCGTCCGCCCCGCCCCGCCCCGCCCCGCCCCGCCCCGCCCCGCCCCGCCCCGCCCCGCCCCGCCCCGCCACCTGAAAGCCGGGCACGCCACTGCAACCGGAAGACGGGCAGTCCAGCCCAGCCCGAGTTACACCATTCAATACCGGCCAGCCCAGCCCGTTCCGTTCGGCTTTCGGCTTTCGCGCCTCGCCGTGCAGGCTTTCCCCTCCAAGGCCCCACCAAGGACCGCCAAGGCGCGGCCCCTCACAGGTGTGCCTTACAGCCTTACAGTGCACCTGCTGGGGTCATGCCGCGGTGCGCCTGACACGCCCGGCCGGGGCGGGGCGGGCCGGGGCGGGGCAAGGTCACCGAGGGGATCCCCAGGGAGACGCGACAGACCGCGAAGGAACCTCCGCCCTCATCCTCCCCCCCCTCTTGTCCCCCTCCCCCTCCCGGTCAGCCTGCACGGCCTGCACTCCGAGATTCTGACCGGAACGATAATCTGATCCGCCGCGGCCATCTGCACCCGCACTCCTTTCCCTGTCATTCCGTCCGTCCGTCTGTCTGTCTGTCTGTCTGTCTGTCCGTCTGTCTGTCTGTCTGTCTGTCCGTCTGTCTGTCTGTTTGTCCGTCCGTCTGATTGCCTCTCCGTTCACTCCTCCCCTCCTCCAGGCGGGAGGGCCAATTCAAGGTGAAAGGGCTGCCTAGGCATCCCAGCGTGTACTTGTGCGTGTGCCCGCGTCCCTGTCGGTCTGTCTGCCTGTCTTTCCGTCTGTCTGCCCGCGTGTGTCGCAACCCCGCGTCCTGCCTCCGAGAGGAAACGCTGCAGAGCAAGGGTCCAGCAGGTCCTCGGCGTGCCCTGGAGTCGTCGGTTCGCGTCGCTCTGTCTCTCTCGCACCGGTACGGGACGCCCCACGAGTGCGAGAGAGACAGGGCGACGCGAAGGACTCCCGGAGTCCAGCTGTCTGATGGCGGATAGATTGCCCGGCGTCGTGACCTGTTCACCCGGACTGCCCACAGGCCCCACAGGGCTCCGTGCGTACCGAGTTGCCTGGACGTCGAGACAGAAAAATAAAAAGTTCACTTTCCCGGGGCACGCCTGATGACGTGCCTACACCGCTACCGCTGGGCCGAGGCTTTGTCTCCTGGGTTCAAACGAGGGGTCAACAACTCGGGATATTCGGTGTACGCTCAGTTGGTAATCATTGATAATCAGTAATATAATCATAATATTCAACCATATTCAGTATAATCGTACTATTCAACCGTATTCAGTATAATCACAATAATCGGACATATTCATAATAATCGCTATAATCACTAAAAATCGAAGATAATCCCATAATATTGCCAATAATCACTCGTAATCACGAATAATCAAGCCTACGTGTCATGTGCACAACAAATGCTGGGTACATACATGCAACCATTTTTTCCATGTAAGGGCTTTTTTCCTTCCGATAATCCCTGATAATCGTCCCATATTCACTAATAATCATTTATAATCGCGATAATCACCGATAATCTCTATAATCTCACAGAATCTTTACCAATAATTTCAATAATCACGAATATTCACAATATTCACTTAAAATCAAAATAATCACCATAATCAAAAATAATCATAATATTCGCAATATTCTCCATAATCTTAAATATTCGGCATAATCATGTATTCGGTGTACACCAAAATCCAGAGTTGTTGACCCCTCGGGTTCAAATCCCCGCGGAAGTCATTTTTTTTTCGCCTCATCGTTGCCATGACAACCGCGGCGGCGTCAGGCGAGACGGACGGTCCGCCGTAACCAAGATGACTTCTTCACCGCCGCCATGCATCGCCGCTCTGTCTCTCTCGCACCTGCGCGGGACGCCCTGTGAGTGCGAGAGAGACAGAGCGAGTCTGCAGTGCAGTGGCAGTGCGTTCCCGCGGTTTCCCTTTTACTCGCTGTGAGAAATTCGCCAAGCAGAGCGCACGGACAGCTCGCCTCTCTCTGCCTCTCTCTCTCTCGCACCCACGCGGCGCCGACGGGGAGCGACGGAGTTGGCGCCGCCGGGGATGGCCGGCGCAGAATGCATTTTCCCGCATTACCCATTCGCGAGCCGCGCGGGTGACTGAACTTGCCGACACACTGTCAACATTTGCTGTGGTCACTCCACGGCGGAATCATGACTCGGAAATGATGACGCATTGATGACGTTTTCATCGGAGCTCACACGTCGATTGCATGTGAGACAACACTGTTAGAGGAAGGTGAAAGTGAAGGAGTTTGTGTTCTCTCTGGTTGCAGATGACAGTGTAGAATGCAGCGAGCGCTGCCGGCGCTGCTGGGGGCGCTGTGCGTCCTCGCCGCGGCCCCCGGGGGCAGCGGGGGCGGCACGGGGGGCGGCTCCGGGGGCGGCCCGGGGGCGGCACCCCCCGGCCCCGTCGTCATCAACCCCTCGGCCAACGTGTTCCTGGGTACGTACGCCTCCTAGAGTTGCTGCCTTGCGAAGCAAGTGGCACGGGCACGACTAACTGGCCGGTCTTGGCGTCCCCCAGGCGCCGTGGTGGCACTGCGGTCGCGCGGCGCGGGGCTCTTCGGGTGCGGGCCGCGGACGCGCGAGGGCCTCGCCACCCTGGACGCCGTGCAGGCCCTCGTGGACGCCGTCAACAACGACCAGCCCGGCTACCCGTCCATCCCGAAGGGAGTGAGCCTGGGTGAGTACCTGCGCACTGTCTCTCTCCCTCGCGCTCCGTCGAGGGACGGAGCGACAAAAACGACTCTCGGAATCGTCCGCACAGTGGGCCAGAAGACCGGTTGAGGCGGCTTAAACTCTTAACGCGTTTTGAGCTCCAGAGTCACTAAATGGGACTCGAACCGAACGTGTGACCCCACCAATGGATTGGTCTCTGAACGAGCAATCCATTGGTGGGGTCACACGCTCGGTTCGAGTCCTGTTTAGCGACTCTGAAGCTCAAAACGCGTCTAGAGTTTTGGCCGCCTCCGCCGGTCTTCTGGCGCACTGTGCCGTGCCGCGTGGTGGTCCGTGGGGAAAGGGAGATGGGATCGCTCGGCCACTTCGCTGGAAGGATCGGGGTAAAAAGGGGACGCCGCTGTAAAAAAGGGCGCAGGGCCTCGATCCGTGGCTGAGCCGCTGAGCCCTTGGCCGGGCCTCGCCGAGCCAAGGCAGAGCCACCGGGCCAAATTGGCGTCGTGGCGGAGTAGAAAAGGACGCACAGGTCGCTCTTCGCTCTCCGCGCTTCCGAGTTGCTTTTCGGTGTCAATGTCCTAATGGCTGCTCGCTGCTCGCCTTTTGAGTGCCCCGCCACGACGGACGCGCCCCGAGCGTGCTGCAGCGGGGCCCCGCCGATCCGCCGCACAGTGGGCCGGAAGGCCGGTGGAGGCGGCCAAAACTCTTGACGCGTTTTGAGCTCTAGAGTCGCTAAATGGGACTCGAACCGAACGTGTGATTCCACCAATGGATTCCTCGTTCCTCGTTGATAGGCGTGCGGGTGTTCGACCACTGCGGCCGCCCCCGCGTCGCCGTGTCGCAGCTGGCGGAGCTGCTCCCGGAGCTGGGTCCGGGCGGCCCCCCTCCCGCGGGCACCCCGGCGACGACGGCGGCCGCGGCCACGCCGGGCCTGCGCACCGTCGGCATCCTGGACGGCGCCGGCCTGACCCGCACGGACTCGGACGCCGACCTGGAGGTGCGGCACGCGCTGGCCGAGTCCATGGTCCCCGTGGCCGCGGTCGACAGCAGCCACCTGGTGCAGCCGCTGCAGCGCGCGCAGGTGAGTGTCCGCCACGCCACTGTCGTTCGCCGCGTCACGGCCACGCTGTGACTCGAAACGCTTCCTCTTGCAGGCGATGGTGGCCGTGCTGCAGAAGCTGGAGTGGCGCCGCTTCGTGGTGGTGCGCGGCCCCGACGCCTACAGCGAGGACCTGTGGCAGTCGCTGGCCCAGCTGGCCGGCGGACTGCGCACCGCCGACTTCTGCGTCGACTCCGTGGAGACCTTTGTGCACGAGGGCCACGGCCCGGCGGCCAGCACCAGCGACGTCACCGCCAGCCAGGAGGTGGGTTTCAGCCTGCGGAGTGCGGGTAGGCAACCCGCGGCACTCGAGTGTCACTTTGTGGCCTACACTGCCGTCCGCAGGCGCCTGTGACGTCACCGATGCCCTGTCGCAGGTGATGGACGTGGTGGCGGACGCCGCCGTGGCCGGCCTGCCCGTCGTGGTGCTGCTGCCGCGCGCCGCGCTGCGCCCCTTCCTGGAGGCCCTGCGCGAGGCCGAGGCCGACATGCCGCCCGCCGCCCCCGCCGCCCTCATGCTGCTGCTGTCCGACCTGGTGTCCCACGAGGACGCCGCCCTGCTGCCGCGCGGCGCCACGGTGTACTCGCTCGCCACGTCGGGCCACGGCCCCGAGGCCGCCAAGGTGAGGGCACCCGGTGCACCGCACAGTCGGTGGAGGCGGCCAAACCTCTAGACGCGTTTTGAGCTCCAGAGTCGCTAAACGGGACTCGAGCCGAACGTTTGACCCCACCTATGGACTCCTCGTTCGGAGAGCAATCCATTGGTGGGGTCACACGTTCGCTTCAAGACCCATTTAGCGACTCTGGAGCTCAAACCGCGTCCGGGGTTTTGGTCGCCTCCACCGGTCTTCTGGCCCACTGGGGTATTTCCGCCTACTTCTGCTGCATGTGCTATAACTGAGACATCCCCGCCAGGCGCTGCGCGCGCTGCTGCCCGCCGAGGAGGCCGTGGACACCGACTCCCTGACGGGGTCCCTGACGGGGTCCCTGACGGAGGCGTTGCGCGCGGACGCGCTGCTGGCGGCGGCGCAGCCCGTGCTGGCGTTCGCGCTGGCGCTCAAGCGGTCCTGGCGCGACAAGTGCCCGGGCAAGCAGTCGGGCGCGTGCCCGCCCTGGGCCGCCATGTCGCGCCCCGAGTTCCTCAACGCGTACTTCGCGCCGGTCGCCGCCGCCATCGGGCGCGGAGAGAAGGTCCAGGACGGCGCGTGGGAGCCGCGCTGGGCAGAGCTGCTGCTGCCGCCGCGCGACCTCACACTGTACCGCCACCACGCCGAGGACGCCGACGACGGCCGGCTGGACCGGCACCGCGTGCGCCCCGTGCTGCGCGCCAGCTCCGTGGACGTCAACTACAACAACAGCGTGGCCAGCCGCAGCAGCGTCACCGTCCTGGACGACGACTTCCACCCCGAGGAGGTAGGTTCTCGCCGCCATCTTGCAGCATCCCATGAGGAGACAGAGCGCAGAAAAGGACTCTCGGCCACTTCGTGAACTAACCGCCAAACGGCAACCGCCCCCAGATCGGCGTGTGCGCGACGCGGCCCAGCGTGCCCTCGCCGTCCGAGTGCGAGCGCTCCTGCCTGCCCCTGCACCGGCCCAGCCGGACGGGCGGGGGGCGCCGCATCGAGTCCTGGGCGCACTACCAGGACAACCACCTGCAGCGCGACGCCGTCCCCGAGGAGGCCGCCGAGGTGCTGGACGCGGAGGCCGAGGCCGAGTCGCGCGACTTCCTGCGCCTGCTCGAGTCCCCCCAGCGCGTGTACGTGGCGCTGCTGGTGGCGCTGCACCGCGGCCGCGGCGACTCGGCGCTGGACTGCGCGGCCGGCGACGAGGCCCTGGACGTGGTGGCCGTGCGCAAGGTGGAGGCCTTCCTGTGGGCCGTGCAGCGCCTCAACCAGCAGCTGGCCAGGGAGGCGTCGGCGCCGAACGGGCAGCAGCTGCAGGTGGGCGCCCTGCTGGCCGACACCTGCTCGTCCAAGCTGCGCGCCATGGCGCTGGCCGCACGGCTGCGGACCGCTAGCCGCGGCGCGGACGACGACGCCGACGACACCAGGTGGGTTATGGATTAACGGACCGCCGCCGGGACGCGAACCCGCGGCGCGCGGATTGCGCAAACGCAAGCTAACGCGGCTGTGGCGGTGGCGGTCTGCTGTTGAAGGTCGGAGCGGGTGCTGGCCGTGGTGAACGCGCTGCCGCTGCCCGCCGCACGCCTCGCCGCGGACATCCTGTCGGAGCGCAACGTCACGAGCATCGCCACGGAGCAGGTCCTGCACGCCAACGCCTCGGCCGCCTCGCCCTTCCAGCTGCAGGTACACTGTGGATTTGCCAGGAGACCGGTGGAGGCGGTCGAAACGGACACGTTTTGAGCTAGAGTCGTTAAATGGGACTCGAACCGAACGTGTGACCCCACCAATGGATTGCTCTCCGAACGAGGAATCCATTGGTGGGGTCACACGTTCGGTTCGAGTCCCATTTAGCGACTCTGGAGCTCAAAACGCGTCTAGAGTTTTGGCCGCCTCGACCGGTCTTCTGGCCCACTGGGGTATTTCCGCCTACTTCTGCTGCATGTGCTGTAACTGCCCGGCCGGAAGCGCGCTGCACTTTCGACTCTCCCCGATGGGTTGCTGGAGGAATCCGCGGCCATGTTCACGGACGCTGCACCTTGCCTCCAGGTGGACCTGCCGCTGGCGCAGATGGTGGAGGCCATGGTGCAGTCGCTGCAGCAGCTGGGCTGGAGCTACGTCAGCGTGGTGCAGGCGGACGGGCAGCCGGGCGACGACGGCGACCTCGCGGACCACGCCCGCGGCCGGCAAATGTTCCTGGAGGCCGCGGCGCGCGCGGGCATCTGCGTCGCCCTGGACGTGGCCCTGCCGGCGGAGGCGCCCGCGGCGGACAGGGTCCCCGACGACCGCGAGGAGGCGGTGGTGGCGCGGCTGCTCGGCGCGCGGGCGGCCGGCGCTCGCGGCGTCGTGGTGTGGGCGGACGCGGGCGGAGTGCGCCGCCTGTTCCGCGCCGTGACGCGCGCCATCGCGCAGGGCTCCCTGCGCCGCGAGGACGTCTTCTGGATGCTGGCCAGCACCAAGGCCGACGTCCGCGACGTGCTCGCCGAGTTCGGCAACGTCCTGGCCGGCGCGGCCGTGTTCAGGTAAAGCTTTCGGAGAACTAGTCATTTTTGGACTAACTTTGCCTTTGACTACTGCGAGGGTGAACGTAGTGGCGGCCAAAGTCAGCAATATCGGATGTTTCGACATTTTGACACCTTTGCCATGCCGGTGGCCAAATAATCAGCAATAATCATTTATAATATCCCAGAATCCATTGATATTCATACTGTTCGAATAATCAAAAGTAACAGAATATTATCAATATGTTCTCCATATTTTAGTTACTCTAATTAGTGTACACGATAGTCGTCGGTAACCCCTGGCCTTGGCGTTGCAGCCCCCAGCGGAGGGGCGTGGCCGAGTTCCAGCACTTCCTGCGCCTGGAGACGTCCTCCAGTGGTGGCAGTGGCGGCGTCACCGGGTCGGACCACGAGCTGCGGTGGCTGCGCCGGTACCAGGAGCAGGTGGGCCTCGTCGTCGGAAGCATCGTCCTCTTGCACGCTTGCACGCGTTTCTCCTACATGGACGTCCTGTTTGCCTCGCAGTGCGGCGGCGGCTCGGTGTGCCTCGCGGACGAGGCCGGCGCCGTGGCGGCGGACTGGGCCGTGGTGCAGGCCGTGCAGGCCCTCGGCGCCGTGGTGTCGCACCTCGGCCAGGCCGCGCCGTGCCCGAGCGACCGCCCCTGGACCGACGGCGGCGACGTCTGCCTGCCCGACGCGGCGCCCAAGGCCCTGGACGCCGCGGTGGCCGACGCGCTGCGGACGACGCCGTCCTCCAGGGCGGACGGCCCCGTCGGCGCCGAGTTCCGCTTCTCCCCCGACGGCGTCGGCCTCCTGGCCGTCGACGTGGACAACTTCCGGCGGAGGGCGGCGGCGGCACGAAGCCGCTCGCTGGGCGACGTCCACTTCCAGAGGGTGAGTGCGGCCAAGCGATTCGCAAACCTGAATTTAATTTTGCTGCGGGCGTTGTCGCCTCCACTGTGCCTTTCCCCCGCGACGTGCCTGAAAGTGACCGCGAACTGACGCCGGCCCGCCACTCCCAGGTGGGCACGTTCTTCCTCGGCAGACTGACGCCGCTAGACGGCCGCGACGCCGACGCCGACGGCCTGGTGGCGTACAAGGACTCCGGCGAGGAGGTGCGCGTCGCGGCGCTCACGTCGCAGTGCGGCGGCGCCCTGGGCAGCTGCCACCGCTGCCGTCACCAGCGGTAAGTGTCAAAGGGCTTCGCGTGAATTTGTCTCTTTCTTACTAATGTGGCTGCATTGGTCGGAGCTGGTGTTTGAGTTCCTTCTGTGAAATGTCCTTGGTGATGCTGCAGGGGCCGGCCGAACAGCGCGCTGGGGGACTGGATCGTGGTGGAGCCCCAAGCGCAGGGCCCGCACGGCGGCGCGCTGCAGGCCAAGGAGCCCACCGTGTACGTGGTAGCCACCCTGGACGTGCACGAGCCCTCCAACAACCCGCTGCAGTGTGGCCAGGAGATCAACCCGCGCGGCGTGGAGCAGCTGGAGGCCTTCTTGTGGGCCGTGGACCAGGCAAGTGGTGGCTCCCACACTGGTGGCACGCCTGCGGTCGCGGCTTTTGATGTCATCGGCGGTGCCTTGCCCCCACAGGTGAACAGCAACTACTCTGGGCTGCGCGTCGGCGCCGTGGTCATCGACACGTGCGGCAGCGCGGCGCGCACGGCGCGGCTCGTCTCCGAGGTGCTGTCCGACCCCACGGCGCTGTCCGCCATGGCCGAGCAGGCCGAGCCCGGCTCGGAGGCGGCGGGGGCGGGGGCCGTGGTGGCCGTGCTGGCCGGGGGCGGCACTCCGGTGGCCGCCCCCGCGCTGGAGGCGGCCGCCGCGTTGGGACTGCCCTCCGTGGCGCCGCTCGCGCGCGGCCCGCCCCTACACCGCAAGACGCTGCCACCGTACCCGCTGCAGCTGGGGCCGTCCAACGGCGTGCTCGCCAACACCACCGTCAAGCTCATGGCGCACCTGCAGTGGCGGTGCGCGGCCGCCGTGTACCTGCAGGACGCCGTGGACTACGAGGAGACGTACCGGCAGGTGAGCGGGCGTGCCGGCTGCTTGTTCACCTACCCTGCAGGCTACGCCAGAAGGCTGCTGTTGGAGTTCCTTTCGCGGTGCCTTGACCCCTCTGCGTGTGTCCTCCAGGTCGAGTCGCAGGCCCTGGCCGCCAACATCTCCCTCGTCGGCGTGCCCGTCCCGGCCAGCGCGCGCAACCACGGCGGCAGCGGCGTGCTGCGGCAGGCCCTGCTTCGCGTGGCCGCGGCGCGGGACGGCGGCCGCGCGGCCGTGCTGCTGTTCCTGCCGGCGTGGGGCGTTGACGGCGTGCTGCGCGCCACCGCCGCCCTGGAGGACGAGGGCAAGTGGGTGCCCGAGGACGTGACGCTGGTGTCGGTGGGCGGCGACGGCGAGGCGGCCTTCGTGGCCGCCAGCAGGCAGACCCTGGGCGGGCTGCTGCTTCGCCCCAAGGCCGGCGCCGTGCCCGAGTTCGAGCGCCACTTCAGGACCCTCACGCCGGACGCCAATGACCGCAACCCGTGGTTCGCCGAGTTCTGGTCCGGCGTGTTCCACTGTAGGGGCGCGGCGTGCTCGCGGGCCGCGCCGCACGGGCCCAAGCACAGCCTGGACGCCTACCAGATGCAACGGGTGAGTAGCGAGCGTAGCGACCACAACGTCAGGGCTACGGTTCTCAACCTTTTCCGACTTTGAACCTAGAAAAACCTTGGAGAAATGCCCTCGACACAACTGCAAAAGTGTCAAGTTTGCGGCCCCCCCCCCTGTCTGAATGTGGAGTTTAATGGAGTTAAATGGTGAGACTGATGGCGACAATTTCCAGAACGCGGACACCCCCAACGTCATCAATGCCGTCCTGGCCGTGGGGCACGCCCTGCAGACCGTGCGAAGGGAGCTCTGCCCAGGTAAGCCTGACTGACGGCGGTGCGACTCGCGCGCTCCCTTGCGCGCTCCACTGTAGACTAACCAGCCCTCCTTGCAGACGGCGGCGCGCAGTCCATCTCGCGGTCGCCGTGCCGCGCCATGGCGGCCATGTCGCGGGTGCGCGCGCGCCTGCTCGAGGTGACGCCGAGGATGGCCTTCGTGGGGGCGGGGCTCAACGCCGTGGCCTTCTCCGCGGCGGGCGAGAACACTAACGTGGCCGTGGAGGTGCTCAACGTGCAGGTGTCTGCGCACAGCAAGGCCGCCGTGGCGATGACCGTCGCGGAGGTGGCGCCGGCCGGCGCGGTGGCCTACTTGGAGGGGGCGCGCGCGTACGTGGGGCCTCAGCGCCAGCCCGTGGACCTGCCCAGCGCCGCGCCGGCGTGCGCCGCGGACACCACCACCGCCGCACCGACCACCACGACGACGCCGACCCCCGTCGACAGCGCCAGCAGGTACTTGATGGAGCTGCCGGGCGTGGGCGCGGCGGGGCAGCCCGCCCCCGCGCTGCTGGTGCTGCTGGCGGCACACACCCCCGCGCGCCAGGGCGGCCCACTGCACTGCGGCGACCTGGACGCCGACGCCCTCTGCCACCTGGCCGGGGTCATGTTCGCCGTGCACCGCGCCAACAACAACGACAGCCTCTTGCAGGGGCAGGGTGAGTTACCGGCCGCCTTTCTTTCTGCTTCAACACGGATTGAATGACCTTATCGTTTCCGAAATCACGTTCACAGGCCCCAAACTCGGCCTGATCGCGCTGGACACTTGCGGGCAGCCGGGCCGCGCGTACTCCAGCCTGTTCGCGCTGCTGTCGCGGCCCAACCGCGGCGCCGTGCCCGTGGCCGCCCTCCTCATGGACGACGCCGCCCCCGCCATGGTGGCGCCCCTCCTCGACATGGAGTCCATCGCGCAGCTCTCGGACCCCGGCAGCGACGGCCAGCTGCAGCGCGAGGGGCAGCGCCACGTCGTGAGTACACAGCACTGGAAAAGGAAGCTGTCGTCGGGACGAGGTTTGAACCCGGGCTGTTGCTTGTCCAGGTGGTGCAGGCCGCGCCGGAGGCACTCTCTCGCGCGCTGCTGGACGTGGCGGTGGCACTGCAAGGACACCAAGGACACGCAGGCCCCCAGGCCGAGGCGCGCTCCGCCCCGGACGGCGCGGCCGAGGCCTTGACGGCGCCCTCCCTGGTGGTGCTGCACGGGTCCACGCCGCGCGCCCGCACCCTGGCCCGGCACCTGGAGAGCGGCAGCCTGGCGCGCTGCCCCAGCCACGACCACCACACCACGGCGCCGGGCTGCCTGAGCGCCGTGCTGCCCATGCCCGCCACCAGCGACAACAGGTAGGCCACCGCGTCCAAGATGGGCCGTGAGTCGACGAGGTCATCGTGCGTCATCAACGGTTCGCTTGTCCTCGCAGCCGCTCGGGGGCGGTGTACCTCCTGTCGACGCAGGCCGCGCACTCCGTCGTCATCCTGGCCCTGGACAGCGTGGACGACGTGCGCGCCGTGCTGGCGGCGGCGCAGTCCCCGCTCGTGCCCCGGCTCGTCTTCGTCACCGCCCTGCCCGCGGCCACGCCCTTGCGCGCAGGTAAGCGCGGCCGGCGCGGCGCGGGTTCGACTCCCGCCGCCGCGTCTGCCTTTTGCCTGACTCGGCAGTTTGTTCGCAGACGGGCACAGCGTGCTGAGCCTGGTGGCCGACGCCACGGTGGTGGCCGCGACGCCGCCGCCGCGCGACGAGGCCGCCGACAAGCTGGACGCGGCCTTCCAGCAGTGGCTGAACCACGACCTCGGCGACGCGGCCACGCCGACCTCCATGCCGCCGTCCTGGGCGAGCAGCTTCCGCTCGTCGCCCTGCGACCTGGACCACGACCACTGGAGCCGCGCGGGTGAGGATCTTCAACCAGGGCGCCGCGTTCGAACTGTGACCTTCAATCGGCGATTGTGCTTCTCGATTCCCTCGAGCTAACCTAGACCCCTTCCTCGCAGACATCATGAACGCCGTGGAGCGCGTGGCCAGAGGCGTGCGCTGGGCCGCGGACAACGCCACGACGGCGAGCTCGTCGGAGTCCGCGGCCAAGCTGTCGGCGAGGGTGGCGCGCTTCCTGGAGGCGGAGGACGAGCGCCCCGACGGGGAGGCGGCCACCGCGTCGCCCACCTCGCCGCCGCAGGTCGAGTCCTTCCGCATCTGGCGCGGCGACGAGCCCCTGGGGTCCTGGAGCCCCGACGGCGGCCTCACCCTCAGCAACGACCCCAGCCTGCTGGCCGTCGACGAGTGAGTACCCTGTCGCTCGGGCCCCACGGGACGCGAGAGGCAGCGCGACGGATTTCTGACTGTCTCGCCTCAGGCTCTCGGTGACGGGGCGGCCCACGCTGTTCCACAACCTGCAGTACGCGTGGGCGGTGGCGCTGCTGGGGCTCGCGCTGCTCGGCATCGTCTTCACGCTCGTCACGGCCGTGTTCTTCCTGTCGGCGGCCGCCGTGTCCAAGACCCCCATATCGGGTGGCGCTGGTCAGTTTCCTCCCAAATCAAGCAGTGATTTCCAGTGGTGCAGAGCGCTGAAACTAACCGTCGGCCTTGCAGGCACGTCTGTGCTGGGCTACCTGATCCTCCTGGGGCTGCTGCTGCTGCACTGCGCCGTGCTGGCCTTGGTGATGGCGCCCAGCGAGCTGTCTTGCGGCGCGAGGCGGCTGCTCCCCGGCCTCGCCTACGCCCTCATCTTCTCCGCCATGTTCCTCAAGGTGCGCTCCACCGCGGTCCTTCGTGCAGTTGCTTCGCCTTTCGGTCGTTCTCACTGGCTGGCTCGCAGGTGCTGACGACGTGGCAGGTGTGCGACCGCAAGGGCGGCGTGGTGCGGCCCGTCATGCTGGTCGTCCGCGCCTTGGGCCTGGCCACGCCGCAGGTCCTCGTCTCCGCGGGCTGGCTCGCCCTGGCGCCGCCCTCCGTGCACATGGTGGTGGTGGAGGCGGCCGCCGCCCCCGCCGCCCCCGCCATGTGGCAGTGCTCCGCCGCGCAGGGTGCGCACGGCTCCCAGGTACGGCACACTGGTAAGTAAAAAGTACGTAAAACTTGGAGCTCAGTAATCGAACCCGGGTCCTTGCACAGGCCCCGCACCTGCTGCTGTCGCTGGCCTACACGTGCCTGCTGATGGTGGCGACGGCCGTGCTGGCGCTGCTGTGCTCCTCCAAGGAGGAGCTGCTGGAGGAGGGCACCATGCTGCGCCAGGAGTCCCGGTGGATCCTCGTCTCCGCCGTGGCCGTCGCCGTGCAGCTCGGCTGCTGGGGGCTGCTCGTGGTGGCCGCGCCCGCCCTGGCCGCCGCCGTGCCCGCGCAGGCCGACATGCTGGCCGCGTCGGTGCACGCCCTGGCCGCCGCCACGCTGCTGCTGTGCCTGTTCGTGCCCAAGGTGAGGACCGCGTCGAAGACCGGTGGGGGCGGCCAAAACTCTAGACGCGTTTTGACATTTCTGACCTCGCAGCTACGCCTGTACCTGCGACTGCGGCGCGACGCCCGCAACACGGCGGCCATTGCGGCCTCGGCGGCGGCGCGGTCCGCGGCGTCCCGCTCGCAGCCCATCTACGGCATCAGCCACTTCCAGCCCTTCGGCGGCAAGCTCAACCCAGGTAGGCCTGCCCCAGGGCCCAAGGGCTTCGCTATGCTTCGCTGCGTTCGGAACGAGTTTCACAACGTCCTCCCCGCCGCAGCCTTCGACGCGCCCTCCACCGACATGTCGCTGGGCGAGTCCGCGTCCAGGACCGCTTCGGACCGCGGCTCGGACTCGGAGGCGGAGGGCGACTACAACGAGCCCATGGACCCACTGGAGTCCATGTCCCCCCTCAGCCCCCTGGGCACCGTAGGCACCGTGGGCACCGTGAACCGGCTGGACCCCACGCAGGTCGTCCCCAGCTCGCTCTACTCCATCGACATGTTCAGCAGCCAGGACTCCAGTAGTCAAGGTCAGTGCCGGCTCTGCGCCCCGTCGTCCTGTGTCTGGCGCCCCGAACTTCCCCACGAGAGCGAGGGAGACAGAGCGACTGAGCCGGCGGGCGCAGGACTCAACCGAATTTTTGCAGGAGTCCTGGACATGCCGGGCCCCGTGGTGGTGGCCATGTCGACGAGCGACGGCCGCGGCACGGTGCGCGGCACGGTGCGGGGCGCGCACCCCCACAACCCCCACCAGCACGCGTCCGTGTTCGGCACGGTGCGCGGCGTCCACGGCCTGCACGGCCTGCAGGGCCCCCACGGCGTGCACGGCGGCACGCTGCGAAGCGCCCACGGCGGCACCCTGCGCGGCGTGCAAGGTAGTGCTGCCGACTGATCCCAGAGTCGTTTTCGTCGCTCTGTGTCTCTCTCGCACTCAAGCGGCGTCAGAGAGACAGAACGACAAAACGACTCTCGTCTGACTCTGACTGTTCGGCAGCGCTAGTCCAGGGCGTCCAGGGCGGCACGGTGCGCGGCGCTCCGAGAGGCACCCTTCAGTCCCTCCACGGCACCATCCGGGGCTCCCACTTCCTGCCCGGGAGCAATGAGTTCACCGCGCCGCACCGGAGTTCCAGTATGCTCCTCCTGCCGGGCCAAGGTAGGAGGCGAGGGTTCGATTCCCGCCGGCGGCGCCTGCAGTCTTCATTTTTCAATTGGCTCTGACTTTGACTTTTACTCATTTCCTTTCTTTGGTTGCAGAGAGCATATCGTACATGTGAGGACACCATTGTGTTCCTCGTAACCGACTGACTATTCGCTCAATAAACTCGCAGTTGTATTTATTTGATTGTGTTAAACTGTACTATTGTGTATATAGATATTTATAAAGTTGTAATATACTTGATGTAAGTTTTATGGTGATTTTTATTTGTGTTATCCCAATAGGAAACACACAGTAATTAAAAAACAGAAAACGCCGGCATTCCCCCTATTCTGAGTGCTGAATTCGCCATAGCCAGTCGCCCCACCCCCACCCCCATCCCTCACCTCCACCCTTTTTTGTTTGTGACCCAACGGCCAAACAAACAAATCCAGACAAAAGCGGTGTGCAACAGGCGAAACATTAAAGTTGGATCCAACTTGCTCACTATTTTAAAGGTGATACATCAGCGTGCAACGGATCGATAACTCAGATTCGTTATTCCAATCCAATTTGCGGTCATTTGATCATTCAGTGGACCAATGTTGTCACACTTAGTTCACTGTTCACTCGGCAGCATAGCCTCGAAACTTTCGTCAATATTTTTGTATTTCCAAAGACAGGTCTTGTTTGCTTGCTTGCAGGTAGTTGAATGGTTTGGCCGAAGCAATGGCTGAGCATTCGAAAGCTACGTTCGTGGACCATTGGGAGCCAATAATAGCAGCAGACTGCCCAGTCCCTTGGGACACCATAAGGAAACTTGGTCCACGACAGCAGCAAGATTTCTTTGGTCCGTTCTCCGTGCACGACAATGAGCATGAAAAGCTTCCCAGTAATGAGCTATTCCGTGTCCTTTTCGATACCACTGCACATGGGAAGATTTTAGTTTTTGTGCAGCCAAGGCTGGGCTTAACTAGAGAATTGTGTGTGTCAGCGCTGTCAAATGTCATAGAACGCAAGCGTATAGATGAAGCCCCCTCTCAGAAGTCAACAAGTAGTCAGCTGCCTCTTAATTCAATCACATCTATCAAAATACCTGTTACACATGATTCAAAGACATGGAAGATATTTGAGTACCCTTCATCCATGATGCGCAGCTTCCGTTTGAAACTGAGGGTATGTTCCTTATTTAATCAAGGGTGTAAATGTCTTTTTTAATAACACTTAATGAAATTCTTTTTATCTTTCCCAAGGTTTATGCACAAAAAACACTTCCTGGAGATTCCATTATTTCGTTTTTGAATTCAAGGCGGATTTTAGATTCCACTACATTCTGTGACATTCAACTTCAAGTTGACGGTCAAAACTTCCCTGCTCACAAGGCTGTTCTCTGTGTAAAGAGCTGTGTTTTCATGGTGAGTGGCATCAAAGTTTGAAGGATAGCACTAAGACCATTACCATTGCCCTTCACTATTCCTTTTTCGTACTTTCAGGCTATGTTCACGGGAGACTTTAAAGAAAAAACTTCTGATACGGTTTTATTTGAAGGTGTGTCCAAAGAGGCTTTTGGTAGATTCCTAGATTATCTCTATACTGAGAAACTAGAAGGAGATTATAAAACTTATATTTTGGAGCTTCTGAATCTCTCTGAGCGTTTCCAGGTACAAGTACTTTTCATATGCACTGTATTCATCAAACTCTGTTTTGAAGTCATTTCATAAGCTACAGACGTTTCTGTCTGCCCACAGGTGGCACGGCTTAAGGCAGAGTGTGAGATGAGGCTGTGGATGTCTAGCGGCCCGACCGCCCTCAGCCTCCTACTGGAGGTGGACGAGTGGCCCGTGGTGACCGCGGACTTGAAGAACCGACTGTGCCAAGTGGTAGCAGAGGAGTGGTGTTCCGTGGAGAACACTGACATATGGCGGTTGCTGCAGGTTAGCAACCCAGTGGCGGCAGGCTTCATCCAAGCCTTCGCGCTCGCGCCCGTTGTCGCACCGCCCGCTTTTAAGTGTTTCAACGCGGTCCCAGTTCCAACCCCAGAGATAGGAAAGGCCTCCAGGAAGCGACCCGCGTCTTCGTAGGCCTCTTTCACTAGTTCTTGTTCTATGTTATCTTGTATTGGTTCTTTGCAGAATTGTTATTGATACAGGATGGGAATTTTTTTCCCCCAAGTGCCATGTTTGTGTTTTAAATTTAAAATTGGCGTTTTTGATGAAGGGATGCAATAGTTCCTTTGTGCATGTATGGAAAACAAATTAAGGACAATAAATTGTATTTTTTTCAGACTTTTATTTTTTTGTGAACACAAACGCCCTTCTCCCTCACTATAGCGTCTCCAGCAACTCTGAAACCGGGACACCATCATAAAAATTCAACTTTTTCATGCTTTGTACTTTGTCAACAACACCACGACTTTTTGCGAAACCTCTCAAAGCACTAGCGTATTCGGCAAAGTTACCACATTGTTGGTCAAAACGTATCGGGGGTAATGGGGAACCGGAAACCTTGGTTCTAGACAGGCCGCGTGGACGGTAGGCAACCAACACTACTTTATCCGCTCGAATTATCCTGGATGGGCGCGTGATGGAGCACTCCTCGCGAGGAACTCGCCACACAAAGCCTATTCGGACGCCGAGAGCCTCTCCCGAGCTCTCCGACCCTCTGCAGTGTCAAAGGGTTGCCAGCGTTGGCATTCCATCTCTGGGAGGCGGAGCAGTGATCTCTGTCAGTCGGGCACTCTGACCACTGACCAGCAACGGTAGCGCCTGCAATGTAGGCCAACAATTCGCACGGCTGTAGGAAGGGTGGTCTACCCCGCCCCTGCTTGGATTCTCACGAGCTTGCTCTTGAGGTAGGGCACAGAAGAAGGACGGCCTTTCTACATCGTGCCTTCAACTCCAAAGCGCGGCACTTGTGCTGCCGAATGCAGACAGTGGCCGTCTCCCTAAAATCGTCAGACCAACCGCCTTAATATGACTTTCTGGCATTCCCTCTGTGCCGAGCGCTGAATTCGCCATAGTCTTGGCTCTGCCCCCTCCCCCTTGCCCCCGTCTCCCCCTACCCATCGCGTTAGCTGTTGTAAACAAATAATACTATATAGTTACATGCGAAGTGACGTATTATCGCATTCGTATCAATTCTGATCACTGCTTCATAGAAGATCAGTATTCCAAGAATAGATCGTCAAATTATTCGATTGGCGAATAAAGTTTTCGGTGCTGCCGAACATAACCATAATTTCTGTTTTGTGAGTTGCTTCTAATGTGAGATCTGGCTCTCTCCTGCAGGTAGTTGAATTGTTTGACAACAGCTATGTCTGAGGCTACAAGGGGTGACGACCGAACGTGTTCTACTTTGATCAAGAAACGGATGAAGCCCATTATTGCAACAGAGTGCTCACTCCCTTGGGACGTTGTAAGGATGGTCCCATATCATGACCGGGCGGACGACTTTCTTGGTCCATTTTTAGTGCACAACTATGATGATGAAACACAACCCAACAGCGAGCTATTCAGGATTCGTTTCACCTGTCACGGTGGAAGAATTAAGATTTTGGTGAAATCAGGACAGCTGCCAAGAACTAAAGACTTACTGGTAGAGGCGCACATGTTAACAACCCTTCGAAATCTCGAAGACAACGACGACTCCTTCAACCCACTGACATGGCCATTACCTTTAGAATATAGATCATCTTTCACAATTCCTGCTACGAGTGTGAGTTCCTGGAAATTGTTTTCTGTCCTTCAATCCCAACTACGCTGCTTAACATTGAGACTGAAGGTATGTCCATTCAATTTAACAAAGTATGTCTTAATGTCTCTAAATTTGGTACCTTAATGCGGATTTTATTTCATAAAACTACTCCTGCGAGCAAACCTTTTAGAGTGTACTAAGGACCTTTACTAAAGAGTATTTTTGATGTTTTAAATTATTTTTTTAAAGGTGTATGCTAAAGAGCCTTATCCTGCAGACTCCCTTATTGACTTTTTGAACTCATCTCGGAGGTCAGACTCCCCTTTTACTGATATTCGGCTTCAAGTTGATGGCCAAGACTTCCCTGCTCACAAGGCTGTTCTCAGTGTTAATAGCTGTGTTTTCATGGTGAGTAGCATTGACGTTTCAAGTTACTTTCATCCTGAGACCACCAGCATTGCCTCTTTACCATTCCTTTTCTCTTTGTTTCAGGCTATGTTCACGAGCGACTTTAAAGAAAAGACTTCTGATACGGTTGTTATTGAAGGTGTGTCCAAAAAGGCTTTTGGTAGATTTCTAGATTATCTCTACACTGATTTAGACACAGGTTTGGAGGGATGTGAGCTGGAACTCCTAGATCTTTCTGAGCGTTACCAGGTTTGCACTCGTAAATTTTGTATGTACATTTTGTAAGTAAAGTCCCTACAGCGGAGGCGTCTACGTCTACCCACAGGTGGAGCGGCTCAAGAAGGCTTGCGAGATGTACATGTGGGATCTGGACGGGCCGAGCGCCCTCAGGATCCTCATGGAGGCGCACAAGTGTCCGGTCGTGACCGCCGCTATGACGAACCGCCTGTGCCAACTGGTGGCCGCCAGCTGGCGGTCCTTGGGGGACTCGGACGAGTGGCGGGCGCTGCAAGCAGGCAACCCAGTGGCGGCGGGCTTCATCCAGGCCTTCGCGGCCGTCGCTACTCCGCCCGTCACCAAACATTTCAACACAAGACCTCCCTCGGAGGAGGCTTCCAGAAAGCGACCCTCCTCGCCGTAACAAATGTTTTCCTCCATCTTGCCGCGCTTGATCTTGATTTTAATACATGTGTGTTGCATGGTGTGGAAAGGAGCCGAAACAGCAGTTTTAATTCTCATAGTGCCTTGTTCTTCAGTACTATTTTGTTGACTACAGAATTTCTTTTCTGTGAATATTGATTAAAATTATGTTTTAAATTTAATACAATTGCTTTTTTCCCCTCTTTGCATTTTATACCCCTTTAAATTAACCTGTTGAGATGCTGTGACCAGAAAGCTCAAGCTCCCGCCCTCACAAGTCCAACAAGTACGGCCTACGTGGGATCCGGGAAGTACCATTTGTTTGAAATTGCCGCTTAATGGCATGAAAAAAGAGGCAAAAGTATGAAAAATATTACGTAACTTAACCAAAGACTTCAACAAAAATACCCATCCCCACCAAAAATTCAACGGTGTTAATGTAACAACTTTAATTCTGGATACAATGTAACACTGATTTTAGGCGTTGAAATAGAGCCCATGCCAAACGAACAACCAACACACGGTCTCATGAAAAGGGAAGAAAACAGACGCTATGTTGGTGAACCTGTTCATGTCTATTTAGGAGGGAAACTTCGGCGTCTGCTAGTGCTTGAAAGGCAGCAAGTGTCAATAATTTTCTTTCGTTAATGTCATCTTCAGTTTTCTGCTCCCTCATTCAAGATGTAGATCTTTCACAAGAAATTTTAATAATGCTCTTTTGATATTGTGTCCTATTTGATATTGGGTCTGGGTGCTTGACGATTTGATTGTCAGCATAATGGTGTTGGGTAGTGAGCAGTGTTTATACACCAATGTTCAAAATGTTGTTATGCCCAATGGAAAAACGAAGGAACTTCGAGTTGAAGTCTCGGGTTTTGGAAAACCTGTATCTGTACGTAGCAAAAGCCAACTACTTTTATTCTTAATCTTCTGGTACACCATTACTTCTGAAGGTTAGGACAACTGTCAACGTTTATCACATATTTGTTTACTTTTGTCTGCGCAGAAAGTTGAGGTGCGAATCACGGATGACTGCGACCCTTCGTTGCTGTACATTCTACATGTTTCTGAGTCAGACTTTAATTTAATCAAGTCACAGCAGGGTTTGCTGGTCGACTTTTCAAATTTTCCCGTACACCTTGTCAAACTATTTGAGCAATGTCTCAACAGTGTGAAAGGGTAAGTTTCTCTTTTTCTTATTGTTTTCAAACGTATTTCTCATCCTGTTATCAACATATTTAAGTCCTTTCTCTTTCACAGATTTTTGCTAATGTTGGAGGAAAATGGGTTGGAGAGCTATTTGAAAGTTGTTCAACCCATAGATCTCAAGAACTTATGTTACATCGCACTCCGCATTGCAAAAGGATCAGATGCCGAGATCATGCGGCACATGCATAGTCAAATTGTTCTCTTAAAAGTAGGTCTCGCTTTAAAAAAATTAAATCACGTTATTGTATTAGGAAGATATTTGTTATTTTGTCCATGTACTTTTCAGAAAAGTCTCTGTACCAAGGAGGAAGAATTAAGTTGTAGCCAGTCGAAAGTTGCCCAGCTTCAACAGGAACTAGATTTGAAAGAGCAGTTAAAGGAGAGACACGCTAAGCATTGGGAGGAGGAGAAAGGAAAGCTGCAGGCCACATTTTCCAAAGAAATGGACTCCCTGAGAGAGCAGTTGCTCCAGGTAAGATTCATCCATTAAGTGTGTAAAATTTGAAATTTGATTTTAGCAGTAGCTCAGAGAAGTACTTAACAAGACACCATTACTCCCTTAATCAGGACAGGAAAAGAGATCTAGATTCTGCAGCTTATCAGCGAGAGAGTTTGAGTACAAAGCTCGAGGACCTTAGCAGAGAAGCATCTAAATATAAAAATAAACATATGCAAATCTGTGAAAAATATGATCAAGCTCAGCAAACCATCAGGTGTGCATGCTCTATAAACACTAAAACAAATTCCAAATTGGGCTCTTGTGTCAACACAATATAAATCAAATTAATGACACTTTTTTTTTCGTTTCTAGAGAATTGAGCATGAGAATTTCCAGCTCAGAAGACATGCAGAAGTCTATGAACCGAGAACTTGCAGACCTCCGTCGGCATAGAACTGAGCTGGAAAGTGAATGTCACAAGAAAGACCAAGATATTGGACAGGCACGTGCTCATGCCGACTCTCTTGATAAGGTGAGTTTTTTAAATACTAATTTGGTTAAGGAAACCACCTGCCTGTAAAATATTCAAATTTAATTTTCTATCCAAAAATTTTGCTTGCTCTAGGAAGTTGTAAGACTTCGTACTCGTTTAACGCGCCAAGAAGGACAGTTGAGGCAAGCTGATTCTGAGCAGGTGTGTCATTACTTTCCTTGGTTGTTTCAAGTCAATCTGAGTTTCTGAGTTATTAATTTCTTTTATTGCAGGTGCGCCTAAAATCAGCTTTGACACGACTGCAGGAAACCATGGAGGCTCGCAGTGATCTGGTCTTGCAGTTAAATGGTGACCTTACCAAAGCAAACCTCATCATAAAAGAGAGACAGAAAGACCAAGATAAAATGCGTAGTGAGGTTTGTCTCTTTACTTACCAAGGAAAAAGAAATTAAAAATCAGTATTTTACTGTTCCAACACACTTTTATTGATTCTGCATGTCTGTTCCAGATCCAAAAGCTTTTGTCATTGAAACATGAAGAAGAGAAAAAGATCAAGAAGCTAGAATTGGAAATGAAACTTCTGCGAGCAAATGCTGAGAGGGATGATGCTCGTATCAAAGCTCTGGAAGATACTGAGAAGAAACTCCAACTGGAGCTGAAAACTGCAACTGAAACAATATCTGCCAAAGAAGAACAACACAAGAAATGTGGAGAGAGTGAGTTAAAAACCAAGCCAAGATAAATCTAAAGCCAAGCTTTACATTTTTTAAGAAATGCGAGCCCGAAGATGTAAATTAATTTCTTTCCTTTCCTTTTGATTCGCAGTAATTTCGTACTTGAATCGCAGCCTGAATCGGCAACAGTTGGACCCGTCCCCTCCATCTACTGCTCACGGCTTGCACGGCCAGTCGGTGTTCTACAACTCGGCTCCCTCAGCCCCCATCCTGTACACCATGGGCTCCTCGCTGGGCCGAGCGGGGGCGGGGACTGGGCTGCACGTGTCAGGACCACCCATGACCAACCAAGGGGTCCACTTCAACACCAAGGTCAATGCGCTCCCTTTCTCCTCGACGCCTCTAGTCGCTAGTGCTGCTGCTGGTGGCACCGGGGTCCAAACGCGACGCAGTTACCCTGGGGCGCTGGTGAGAGAGATTACAGTTCTACTGGCTTGTGCCTCAGGCTGTGTTTGGAAATGGCTCAGCTAAGCCCTTTGTTTTGTCAGATTCGGCCACCTGGCCAAGGAAGCAGCTTGCCTAGTGATACACCGTCAGCTCGACCCGTGGTGGACAGAATGACTTTGTCGCAGTTGCAAGCTAAAGATGACTCCCAACTCAAGAAGAAGACGTCTCCATCTCAACTGCCTTATGCTGGCCAGAAAGTCCCTCAGTCAAAAAGTAATTCCACTGGAAGCAGCACTGTGAATCCAGGGTAAGTCCATTTCTTTCACAAAAAAAAAAAAAGGCTTGTTAATATGTCTTGCGTAACACTCTTTCTGGTTGGTTTTGCTTATAGAAATTCAAAAGAGGCCAGGACAGACAGGACTGCTAAGGGTAAAATATCTGATAAAGAGAACAAGGACAGTGGCACTTTTAAACCATCTGCATACTTCCATCCCAATAAAATTATAACTGAATTTTAATTTTTTAATTTTATGTTATTGGTTAGTGTAAAATAAAGTCATCTATATTTTAGTTTATGTAATTTTTGTGAGTTTTTCTTATGACACATTCATAATTTGGGAAATTGAAGATTCATTCATTTTTCTTAAAAAATAATAGTTTTATTGTACCGTTATTTACAAAAGTTTGCTGGCATCTGCAACAGGAATTGGGTTCTCAGAAACCACGCAGCACAAGAAGTCTTGCCCCAACAAGTGTTCAGCAGAACGCCAAAAGTTACTGACATTCTTGTGCAGAGTCGGTGCTGCTCCCGTCCACACTGGGAAAAATAGCTTATTTGGCACTATTAGATAAATTAAATTACAACAGCTTGTGTTTCACGTACAGTGTACAGTCTTTCTCTCTGGACGAAGCCCCGCGACAGGGGAACTGATGCCACTCAAGTCGATAAATAATTTTAAAACTTAAGCTACAAACGAGTTCCACTCTCAAATAAAGCATTTCAAACAAAACAATGACGAAAAACAGACTCTTTCCTGGCGACATTGAACTGTTTTCTCGTCCATGTGACGACGACGGTCGCTTCACGATGACAAGACTTTCTTGAGCAGGTCGAGGTAGCGGTGCATGTCGGTGAAGAGGCTGTAGGTGAGCTTGCCCGGCACGCCCGCGCTCACGATGCCGTGCAGGAACCAGCGGCCGTTCTTGGCGAAGGACAGTCCGCCGCCGCTGTCGCCGGACCACACCGTCGAGCCTTCGGGGAGGGGAAATACAGGGGAGACGGTCCATCATTTCAGGCGAAAATGGCCAAAAAACATTTGAACGACTTTCGATGAATTGTAGGCGAAATTGGTACATAAAAATTTGAGTGTCGCCTCGCCAAGTGATCCGGACTCTTCCTATCGTCCATGTTTGCTTACCGTTGATGTTGCCGGCACAGAACTTGTCCCCCGTGAGGTACCTGGCCAGGCTGTCCGGGACAGACTTGATGCACTCGTTGAAGGGGATGTATGGCATCTTGGCGAACTGCAGCTTGGGACTGGTGGCTTTGTTCTCCGTTAAGCCCCAGCCGTTGACCTGTGGACATAGATCCCGATTGGCAACCCGTGCAAGTCCTATGGCGGAACATAGGACCACCGAAAGAACTGCGCCTGCTGAGGTGCTAGGCGCCTGCGAGGCTCGGGGTAGGCCGTCCCGCACAACCTCCGCGCTCGGCGGGCTGGCCTACCCCGAGGCTCGCAGGCGCTCGCCGCCGTCCCGAGGACCGTCCCCAGCGCACTCACCACGCCCACGTCGCCCGCCTTGAGGCTGAACTGGTCCTTGAAGTCGACGCAGATGGGCAGCACGAGGGCGGTGACGACGAAGCGCACCCGGAGGAAGGCGATGTCGTGCTCGTAGATGCGCTTGCTGCCGCGGTACCGGTCGGGGATGATGATGCCCAGCACCTGCACAGTGTGTCCGTCAGTCAGGCCGTGCAGCGCACAGTGGAGGTGGCCCAAATCCCGGACGCGTTTTGAGATCCAGAGTCGCTGAATGGGACTCGAACCGAACGTGTACCCCACCATTGCTCTTTGAACGAGGAGTCCATTGGTGGGGTCACACGTTCGGTTCGAGTCCTGTTTAGCGACTCTGGAGCTTGAAACGCGTCTAGTGTTTTGGCAGCTCCTCCGATGTTCTGGCCCGCTGTGCGTGGTGGCCATGGCCATGGTGTTGGTACCCACCGCGCTGCGCTGCTCGCCCGCCTCCTGCACGTTCCAGTCGCGAGTGTACTTGCCGACCGACACCCTGAACCTGTCCTGGTCGTAGGTCTTCCAGCTGCTCTCGTCAAAGAAGCAGTGGGCGGCTGTAAACACAATCAATCAGGAACACCGAGTGAAGCCGAGTGGCCTTGGGTCGCCTTGGGCATTCCCCATCCTCCGGCTCCACCGCACAGTGGAGTTGCCGAAAGGCCGGACGCGTTTTGAGCTCCAGAGTCGCTGAATGGGACTCGAACCGAGCGTGTGACCCCACCAATGGATTGCTCTTCGAACGAGGAATCCATTGGCGGGGTCACACGTTTAATTCGAGTGCCATTTAGCGACTCTGGAGCTCTGCACGCGTCTACAGATTTGGCCGCCTCCACCGGTCTGTCGCCCGCAGACGCTACCTGACACGACGACGTCCGGGCGCACCAGCGTGCCGCCGCAGATGGAGTCCCAGGAGTCGCCGTCGCGGCTGAAGATGCCGGCGAACCAGGGGTAGTCGCCGATCTTGGCCACACTGCCGTGCGCGATCAGCGGCACCACGTTCTGGGGCGCCACGCCGCACGCTGCGAACAAGCAGCAGTCAGACCACCGCACTGGGAACAACAGGGAGGCAATGAAGGGACGAGGACCTCGACGAGGACTCACTGTGGGGGTTGCAGAAGCTGAGGGTCTTGACGAGCACCAGGCCGCTGCCGTCCACCTGGTCGCCCGCCACCACGACGCGGACCTGGCTGCGTCGCATCGCCTCGGGCAGTGTGGTGGTCTTCTGCAGCCGCTGCCACTCGCCCTTCTGTGGACCCAGCACCGAGACACCGTTAAAAAAATACTGCTCTGGAGCTCAAAACGCGTATAGAGTTTCGGCCGCCTCCACCGGTCTTCTGGCCCACTGCGCGTGAGTGCGAGAGAGACAGCTCGTACCGACGTGTCCTGCGGCACGACCTCGGCCAGGCGCACGGGCTGCGCGTTGCCCTCGATGTCCTCCACCGTGATGGTGAGCCGCGCGCTGCCCACCGTGAGCACCTCCATGCTGATGCAGATCTCGCCGTCGTCGCCCGACATGGCCGGCGAGCGCATCTGGCCGTGCGCCGAGCGCGCCTTGAGCGTCCACGCCGACTGCAGCTCTGGGGACAGACACACTGTCACTCCACGGCCCGTCTCGCTCGCACCGCCAGGGCCAGGCGACGGCCCGGAAGTGCGACAGAGACAGAGTGTCCCTTACCGCTCTGCTCCACGGCCAGCGAAGCGGCGTCGGGGATGTTGCATAGCAGGCTGGACCACTTGTACTTGAAGCCGTTGAAGCAGGGGCCTGCAAACAGAATCGCCGAAAGGCTTGATTGCGTTCGTTTGATGGCTCCAAGACGAGGACCCCGCCGAGTGGCAATACCCCGCGGCGCGTGGGGAGTCCCCCGGGGGTCCCCGCGCGCGGAGTATCGCCGTCCGGTCTCTTTTCCCGCGGCCACGACACGGTAAGACGGGGAGTGCCCCGGCCCGGCAAAGCCCGGCAATGATGGCGGGTACCGCGGGTACGCACGTGGTGACGTCATAGGGCCGTAAACTTGAACCTGCCAGCCGAGCCTGGCAGAACCAGGCAGCCACGCCGTGACCTGGCCGGCTGCTTCTCGGCGCCAACCCCTCCCACTCCCCTTCCCCTCCCCTTCCGCCACGCCTACCTCGGATGCTGTACTCGCCGGTGTGCTGCGGCGAGGAGACGGCCATGCTGGTGTGGCCCTCGGGGAGGGAGAACTTGAGGCGGCGCGTCTGGCCGGGGTCCAGGCCGTCGACGCGGAGCTCCACCACGCCGGCGGCCGTCACGGTCACCATCATGAGGAACTGCGAGGGGTTGCCCGGCCAGCCGGGCTCCACCTGCGGGTGCACATGGCGAAGTGTGAGGCGCTGTCCCGGCAGACGCGTTTTGAGCTCCAGAGTCGCTAAGTGGGACTCAAGCCGAACGTGTGACCCCACCAATGGATTCCTCGTCCGGAGAGCAATCCATTGGTGGGGTCACACGTTCGGTTCGAGTCCCATTCAGCGACTCTGGAGCTCAAAACGCGTCCGGGGCTTTGGCCGCCCCCACTGCGGGGTGCTACTCACCTCCGCGTCGGTCTGCAGGTGGTTCTCCGGCACCAGCGTGTCGCGGCCCGGCACCCAGGCGCCGACGCCGGCCTCCAGGGCGCTGTGGTGCCGCCAGGAGTAGGCGAGGCGGCGGTCGCGGAAGCCGTACATGTCCAGCACGAAGCAGTCGCCCTGCGACGCGTCCACGCAGAACGACACGCCCAGGTTGCCGTGGCTGGCGCGCGGCTCCCACACCAGCAGCATCTGCTGGCCGCGCGCCATGTGCCCGCGGATGGAGGGCACGCAGTCGCCCTGGCCGAAGCTCACTGCCAAGCAAAGACATTAGGCACGCAGTCGGGGAGGGCTCTATCCTCAACAGTGTTCTGAAAACGAAAAAAAAATCTCATTCAACGAACGTTAATGAAAGCAGATGATACTCGTTTGGTTTTCTTCTAGTTAGTAATTCGGGATTATTTATACTTGTGTATGAAATAAAATAGATAGCCCAATAAAATACATAGACCTAAGCAAGCTGGACAGTGTTGGTGCGAGCTGAGCTGTGGTTTGCACCGCCGCGCCGTGCCTCGAGCGCGCTGAGCCGTGCCGAGCCGTGAGGCATTGTCGCTGTTCCGTGCGCTGTACCCAGGGAGGGACTGTGCGAGAGGGGGGAGGGCATTGTTGGCCGGTGCCGCTCGCGCTGTACCCAGGAGGAGTTGTCGATGCGTCGCGCAGGCTGTGCCTCACTCACTCACTCACCAGCCCGCCCCACCAGCCAGCCCCCATTATTGTTAGGATACAGCCTTGGTTTCTGGACTCTCGAGTAAAAGCTAGCTGACACCTTTAAGTGTTTTATATTGTTCTAGGTACGTTTTAAAGTACTAAAGGTATCATCTGCTAAAAATCGGATTATGACTTGTTTTTCTCGCCACCGACGCAAAGCACGAGCCAATACGAATTAAAGTGCCGCGCCAATAGGGTACTTTCGTAGAATCCTGAACCGGAAGCAAGCAGACCAGCAGACGCCAAATTGGCCGGAAACTAACCTCTCTTCGGATCCAAAACTATAGCCGAGCTGTACAAATATTGCTCGCGAAACACATATGCACTGCAAACAAGTATCAAACGACTGTTTATGTTCAAGTGTGGCCGATACCTTTGACGAACGTCTCTTTCCCATGTCAAGTTTGGATCTACTTCCGCCAACATGGCGTCTGTGTGCTTCCGGTTCAGGGATCTACGAAAGTACCCTATATGCGTTGTGCGCACCGCGATTGGCTTCGAAGCGAAACAAGTTATGGCGCGAGTTTTGAACCAGGAAGCACTCAGGATTCTGTGCGACTTTGTGTACTCCTTACTTGCAGACAGCCGGACCGACGGCGGACGGACAGGCAGACAGACAGACAGACAGACAGACAGACAGACAGGCAGGCAGGCAGACAGACCGGCGGTCGCCTGAAACGCCTGCAAAGCGGAGGGTAGGCAGCACCGCCGAACAGGCGCGTCCGACTCGGGGCCGCATTGCCTACCTCGCAGGCGGACACAGCGTTCCATCACGACGCGGATCCTTTTACAAGTAGCTTTGTTGTTGTTGTTGTTGTTGTTTGCAGTGCAAACAGCGTGCAGTACGCGGGAATGGTCGCGGGCGGCGTGCCAAAACGCACCGTGCGTTTGTCCACGTAACGACGCGGACTCTTCTACGTATCCACACCACTCCTATCCTCCCAGTGCCTTCGTCGCTCTGTCTCCCTCACACCCCTGAAGGGTCCCCCAGGGCAAGCCGAGAGAGCAACTATCGAATAGTCAAAAATTTCTGCACGTGATTGCGACGAGAGGGTATAGGCCCAGTCGGCGATAAAACATACAAAGGCAGGCACAAAAAAATAAAAACGTCTAAGCTAAAGAGGCAAATTAAAGGAGCGACGACACGTGAGCGGCTGAAAGGCTACAAGCCGCTCCTCGGTGATTGCTCCTGATTGGTCGTCGTCTACACTGATTATGCCACCGGAAAGCCAGCCAATGGCACGTGTTTCCATTTGGGCGGCGAGGGGCACCGGCCGGCCGGGGCGGGGAAGCCCCGCTCTTGAACTTGAACACCGAGGTGGAGCACCCCGCCCTGAGCTGCCCCCCCCCCCTTTCCCCCGCACTCCCTGCGGACGCCTTCGGCACCTTCGGCACCGCGGCACCGTCAGAAAGAAGAACCGGATTGGCGTCGCGTCGGGCAGCGCCGACAACTCCTAAACAGGAAAACCGCATCTCATTGGTCTTGTTGGGCCAATTACAGTGTACAGTGTGTTTTGCAGGGTAGGTCCCTGGACTGGGTGGCGCCCGCTTCTCTGTCTCTCTCGCACTCTGGGGGCGTCCGGCTCGGGTGCGAGAGAGACAGAGCGGCGAACCGCTGGGCGATCGTCATCGAGATCACCCTCGCCTACACTGGGCGCCGATCGGCCGGTTCCGCGAGGTTCAAGGTTTCCCAGGCGGCGTGTTTTGCGACTACTCCACTGTCAAAAACAACAACGACAACAACAAAACGAGGGTCTCAGGCGTGTCCCCGACCCTGGGTGCGTCACCCCGTCCAGCCCCGCGAGTCCGCGATGGGGAGAAAGTGGTCGGGATGGTGACGGTGACGACGTTGGGGTTCCTCGGCTTGTCTGCGTCAGTGTGAGTGTCTGTGCGAGCAAGGCCCGGTCCCGCGCGCCGCGCGACATTTATTTGCGGTGGAGTGGGCTGAGCCGCTCCTGGGGCCCGGGGCCTGGGGCCTGGGGCCTGGGGCTCCCCCGCCGCCGGTCCCTTGCGCCTTGCGCCGCCTTGCGCGCACGGAGGATGCAGTGGGGAGCCCCGCGCTCCGCATTGACGTCACTCTGCCCTTCCCTCTCGCACCCCAGCGCCGGAAGGCAGGTGGAGGCGGCTGAAACTCCGGACGCGTTTTGAGCTCCAGAGTCGCTGAACAGGACTCTAACCGAACCTGTGACCCCACCAATGGATTGATTGCTCACCGAACGAGGAATCCATTGGTGGGGTCACACGTTCGGTTCGAGTCCTGTTTAGCGACTCTAGAGCTCAAAACGTGTCCGGAGTTTCAGCCGCCTCCACCGGTCTTCTGGCCCACCGTGTGACTTGACCTCCTCCCCGGTTGACTCACGGTCGGGTTGCTGCTGCTGCGGTGGTGGCGGCCTTGGTGCTGGGGCGGTGGGCCGCGCGGGGCTGGGCCTTGGCGGCGTGGTGGGCCTTGGGGGCGGTCGCGCGGGGGCGGTGGGCCGCGTGGTGGGCCTCGGCGGCGGCCGGGTTGGCCGCGTGGCCTGCGGTGGGGGCTGCGGCTGGGCTTGTGGCGGCACGGCGCCAGGCACGTGCGCGGGGGCGCCCTCCACCTCGGCAGTGCCGCCGTGCTCGTCCAGCGAGGACACGGTGAAGTGCGAGTACTGGTCGGGCAGCTGCAGCGACAGCGTCTCGCCGCCCTCCACCCACACCTGCACGCCGCCGGGCACGGACCGGTCCACCACGATCTGCAGGGGCTGGCGGCCGCCCAGCGGCCAGCCCTCCACGCCGGGGTCGCTGCGCAGGACGGTGGCGGGCATGCGGTCGTTGCGGCCCGCCACCCAGCCCGACGCGCCCGCCTCCTGGAACGAGTGCCTCTTGAAGGCGAAGCCGAGGCGGCCGTTGAAGCCGAACAGCAGCAGCACGTGGCACTGCGACTGCGCCGCGTCCCTGCACATGGCCAGCCCCAGCCGCGCCGCCGCCTCCTCGGGCCGCCACGACACGATGATGCGGTTGCCGGGCCGCTGCAGCAGGTTCTCGCCCCGCATCAGCAGCGGGTTGATGCTCGTGTCCGAGACCACTGCGAAGCGCAAACAAATCCGCTCAGTCTCTCACGCACTCGCGGGGAGTTATACAGTGGGCCAGAAGACCGGCGGATGCGGCCAAAGACGCGTTTTGAGCTCCAGAGTCGCTAAATGGGACTCGAACCGAACGTGTGACCCCACCAATCGATTGCTCTCCGAACGAGGAATCCATTGGTGGGGCCACACGTTCGGTTCGAGTCCTATTTAGCGACTCTGGAGATCAAAACGCGTCAAGAGTTTTTTCCGCCTGCGCCGATCTGGGGGTTGGCGGCGTACTCACGCTTGGCCTTCTGCGAGGCGGCGATGGCGGCGGTGGCGGTGTTAAGCTGGCCCAGCGGCGCGTGCGGCGACACGGCGAAGTAGGGCACGTCGGCGGGCAGCGGCAGGTCGGTTGCGTCGCGCTCCGAGCCCGACAGCCACACCCTCAGCGACATGGTGTCCGTGCGCTCCAGGTTCACCTGGATCTCCTGCGCGCCGTTCTGCGGCCACGTGCCCTCCTCCAGCTGCGTGGGTGAATGTGTGCGTCAGTGCTTGCAGTGCGGTGCCTCCGTCGCTCTCTCTCTCCCTCACTCACCCTCTGCTCCGACTTGATGAGGGTCTCGGGCACGTGGTCGGGCCGGCCCGGCACCCAGCTCAGTAGCCCCGGCTCCTCGTAGCCGTGGCGCCGCCACCAGTAGCCGGTGCGGCCCTGACGCACGCCCAGCGCGTCGAGCATGTAGCAGGCCGTCTGGTCGCGGTCGCGGCAGAAGGACACGCCGAGGTGGCCGCGGTTGCTGTTCGGCGTCCACGTCACCCTGGTCTGCTGCCCCGACGCCAGCTCGCCGTGCGCCGCGCGCCGCCTCCGCGAGTGCAGCAGCAGCACGCCCGCGCCTGCCTCGCCCTCGTCCTGGACGCCGCCGTCGAGGCCGCCGTCAAGGAGGCCTTCGTCCAGCAGGCCCCCGCCCTCGTCGGCGCGCGGGGGGCGCGACCGAGTCCGCATCCTGGGCAGCGCGCCGCGGAACGTCGCCACCGAGTTGGAGCACTCTGCCGACAGACAAGGGTCAGAGCACTGCACAGTGGATTTGCTAGAAGACTGGCGGAGGCCGTCGAAATCCCGGACGCTAAATGGGACTCAAACCGAACGTGTGACCCCACCAATGGATTGCTCTCCGAACGAGGAGTGTACCTACCTATGGGCTTCTGCTGCTGGACCGCCCTGGAGGGCAGCTCCCCCATCCGCTTCCACCCCTCTTTGGCCCAAGCGTTACAGCACTCCGTCCCGGAAATTTCTGCCCGAATCCAAACAGAAAGTTGGTCAGTTGAAACACTCGCACACAGGAGGCAGATCACGAAGAGACAGAAACGCACCGCTGGAGGTGAGGTGGCAACAGGTGAGCAGCGCGACGAGCAGCGGTAGCAAGCAGTGGGTCTCCATGGCGGCGTTGCCTCCAGCTGACTGGAACAGAAGCAGAAGTTAACTTCTTCCGGTCAGTAAGATGCTCCGGAGATATCGCTCGAGTTCAAACGCTTACGCCAAAAACGCGCCCTTTTCATGTCACTGGCCATCGGAAGCCACCGACACTGTTTTTTTGTTTTGTTTTCTTTTTGGTCAGAAGTGCGACTGGAGTGAATCCTGTCCTCCTCCTATCACTGCATGACGTTCACGACGTGGGCCGCGCGCGTCACACCGCCAACACCGCCAGCACCGCCAGACGTGACTACTCTGCTAACATCACTCTGGGCCTGTCGGCCTTTCGGCCTTACAGTGCCGAGAGCAGGGAAGACCACGTGACGCACAGTGGGCCAGAAGACCGGTGGAGGCGGACGAAACTCTAGACGCGTATTGAGCTCCAGAGTCGCTAAATGGGACTCGAACAGAACGTGTGACCCCACCAATGGATTGCTCTCCGACGAAGGAACCCTCTGGTGGGGTCACACGTTCGGTTCGAGTCCTGCTTAGCGACTCTGGAGCTTAAAACGCGTCTAGAGTTTTGGCCGCCTCCGCCGGTCTTCTGGCCCACTGTGCCTCGCATCGAGCCTCGCATGCACAGTGGGTTTGCCAGAAGACCGGCGCCGGCGGCCAAAACTCTAGACGCATTTGGGGGGATTTCCAAGGTCGGCCGAAATAGTCTAGAGACGTGGAAGTGAAGGTTTCGGTTTGCGGGGCTCGCCGTCCGACGGTCCGCCACTCCGGCGGGACGCGGGCGCGGACGCGGGTCCCTGCAGGGGATGACGTCACGGCGGGCCAACGCCAGGCTGCCAGGCCAATGCCCAGCGAGGGGACAGACCTGTCGGACCGTGCACAAACTGGACCTGGACACCGGCCGGCATTGTTTTGGCCACTCCAGGCCATGACCCCGGCCACCCCGGCCCCGGAGTCGTTTTCGACGCCCTGCCTCTCTCGCACTCCACAGGTGCGAGAGAGAGAGAGAGAGAGACGACTGTCGGAATCAGTCAGCACATGTTCATTGACGCCCAGACGTGGGTCCTTCCGAGAAGTGCGAGGTGAGTGAAGCCTCTGTTTTGGCCCCGCGGTGTGAGTCTCGCTACACATTTTGACTCCGTTTGACTTCGGCTCAGGAGCTGGAAGTCTGTGGAGTCAACGCGTAGTTCTCTTGGTCGCCCCCTGCATTCAGCTCCCCGGCGCGCGGCTGGACTCGCAAGCAAGCTGACTGAGAAGGGCCCTTTCGTCGCTCTGTCTCTCTCGCACTCATGGCCGCGGCGCGCAGGGGTGCGGGAGAGAGGGAACACTGGGGATCTACAGGGGACTTCTGGTGACGTCCTTTCGGACCCTGGACGGACGCAATGCGGAAGCGGAGTCAATGCACCGGGCGGGGCGGGGCGGGGCGGGGCGGGGCGAGGGGGGTAGTTGGGCACTGCGCAGAGCCTCCGATCGGCGGACTCACTTTTATTGCATTCCGATAGACTGGCTTCCAGCGGCGCCCATGTCTCGCGGACGTTCAATTTCAATAAAAGACAAAAAAAAAACAGATATTTTTTTAAAATGTTATATTTTGGATTAAATTAAAAATTAGTAACGCTGTGGACGAAAATTGTTTTACATCTGCACAAATTTAGGTTTTGGAATGAAAAAAAAATCCTTTTTCTTCAATGGACTCGATGGACCAGTCAGTGTCAAAAGGGTTTTTCTTCTCTGAGGTAACTCTGGGAGCGGCCCAAGAGCGCTCCTCCTCCGCCTCCACGGCCAAGTCTACGCAGTCTACGCATTCTGCGCTACGCAGGCTCCTTCTGCCGAGTGGCGCGTCTCTCCGCGACCACTCTCGCGACTTACGTCAAGCAAAACAATTAATGGGTACGCCACTATCGTCCGAATAAAGCTCTTCGTATGCAAATGAGCAATCCCGTCCACGTCGAATGTCGAGTTACTGTGATTGAGTTTATTTTGACTGGTTTTCACACGACCTTTGTATCGGTGTGCCTCGCGGCGGAGTGTGTTGCCTTACGCCAAAATTACAAACCGGCTCGCGTGTGGGTGCGAGAGAGACAGACGTCGCCAGCCGATTGATAGGCAAATCACGGCGGGGATTGACCACCTAACTGCCGGCATCGCCGATCGTCAACACCGCAGCGAGAGGGAGAGGACAACATGGTTTCGGTCCAAACTCACTGAGATTGCCAACGCGCGCGGAATCCAAAAGCACGGGGGTGTCTCTAAATCCGGGTCCGAATGCCCGCCGAAACCGAGCCAGTTAGCGCGAACCGGCGAAGAGACTCTGTCGCCGTACCTGCTGGACTGCAAGAGTGCTGGGCGTTTGGCTGTGCGGCTGACGGGGAGGCTTGGACGGCCTGGACGCTAGGGACGCTAGTCGAGGTCCTGGCAGTCCTGTCACTCCCGGTCACTCCGGTCCGCCTCTTGCTCGTCGCTGCTCCCTTCTCGCTTCTCGCGGTGGCCCGTCCAGGCCCGACTCTGCGGGTACGTTCCCGACGCCGCCGCTCGCACGACTGACTGCTGCAAGACTCCAGCGGACTGGACTCCAGCACCGCTCCGGGCTTGACCGGGGCAAGTCGCTGGGATGGCATGGGGCCTCCAGGTCCAGTCTCCGGTCTCCGGCGGAGAGGCGAGGCGAGGCGAGGCGTGCACGGCGTCGCCATGTCTGGTTCCTGCCCTGCCCTGCCCTGCCCGGGGTTACCCAGCAGCGATCATGGGTACCCATGCCAACACCGCCCCACCTCACCCAGAGAAGCGAAAATCGAGCAGCATGTTCAAAAGCCGGAGCAGAGCAGGACTTGAACTCCGATTCGAAGTTTGTGGAAGGAGCGTCTGCTCCCGCCTCAACTTAGACAAAACATGTCCATGGAAAAGGTATAAAATGATACGAGTGCAAGTCAGTTTACTCAGGCATCTGTTTTACTAACGATTCCTACCGAGTAAATATAAATTTTTATACAAAAACATTCAACACAAGATCTAATAACAGTCAAAAGGTAAATTGACAATACATGTAAAATATTTTTCTTTTTACATAAACTATATAGTATTAACTGTACACAAAAAACGTATAATATGTGGCACAAGACAAATGGCAAATAACAACATTAAGAGAAATTTAAATGTATCCAATTTTTGAAGTCAAAATAAAATGCATTAGGGCTGCATCACTTGAAAGAGTGATGAGAACAGATATTTCGTTAATAAGCATTTGAAGGAAAGAAATAAAAAATCTCATATGGTCTGTCTATATCACATTTCCCCAAAATGCTGGAAAATTTAACAGTAGCACTTCTGATACATGTTTCAGGCACTAAGCTTCCTGTGAAAAGTCAATATTACAATGGCTTTGCAACTTTCATTGGCAACAAGCAAACGTGGGATCTATTAGGAAGTTTGCTGCACAGGAACATGCACCAAATCGTTCCCCCCTCCCCTCCCAAATTATTATTACTTCAACCTATGTTTATAAAACACAGAACAACAGGAGCGAGCCTGCCATTTTGCATTGGTCAAAGAGAGTCAAAAACAAACATCTGAAAAAAGGAAAAATCAACTAGTGTGCTAACATACAGCATCCATGTTCAGTAATTCAACTGTAAAAGCATTGTGCACACATACACAACCATCGAGGTTCAATGCAGCTCAAAAACCCATGCTGTTCAATAGATCAATTCCTCATGTGCAATTTAAAAATCATACGTCAAGCTAGACATATTGTTTTAAAAATAATTCAAATTGACTTATTAGCTTGACATTTGAAGAGTGGCCATGAGCCTCAATATTCTTCAAAAAGTACCTAATATTACATAAATTTACAAGAAACATTAAAAATATTACAAAATGACAAATCCTCCTCACATTTGTTATTCAGATAAACCTCTGAAGTACTTTACAGAAATCATTCAAAATATAGGATACAACATGTAAGTTACAAAATGTACATGTATAAGCAGGTGATGAAGATAAAATGATGACTTGATACACACTTGCATTTGGATAAAGAACAAGAATGTTCAGTGATTACTAGAGCACACCTACATTAAATTAAACAAAATTAAAACTCCAATTGCGATGAAAATTGTGGGCTTCGCAAAAAAACATGTCTCACATTTAAATTACAAATCACACTTAATTTACAAGGCAAAAAGGTTCTAGCCACACAAGGCCAATATTCAAGCTAATTGATAGAACTATCATAATACAAGAGTTTCATACCATTGATTGAATAAAAGAGTATAACAAGTAAGATATGGCTGAGTATCTCTAGTTAACAAATGGGGTACATGGCAGTCAAAACTGTCCTCCAATGTTTCTAAAAATAAATAGAAATGGCCACTGTGGGCTTGGACCTCACTTGGACAAAGATTCAGGTCTTACCTACTAACCTGGTCATTTTAAGAAAGTTTCTTCACTTTGGGACTCTGAACCATTAAAACTCTTTCTGCCTGCTCCAAAAAGAAATTAGAAAAACAAAAACAACATTGTCCTCACAAATCCGAGTTCATCAGAACAGGCAAGCAATTTTATCTGCATGGATTTTTGTTCACACCATAGGTTTCCCTTTTTCCCTTTTAACTATCACTACTTCAAAGAAAAATACAAATTGAAATCTAAAATTGTATGCTTAATCAGATCAAAGAGTTGATAGTGGTCTCTTTAACAACACAATAATTCCAAAAAATACCCTTGTAAGAAGGAGTGGTCAGCAATGTCATGTTTCAAAAATATCTGCATCAACAATCTCATATGGGATCCTAGTAACATATGGAGACTTGTTACTATACAAGCCTTTTAAAAGTATTCCAGAGACAACTAATACTTACAGATACACAGCATGCTTCTGGTTAAAAATATAGAATATAAATGAGCTAATATCAAGAGATATCCTAGGCAACATTTCAAGGCAGCAAGTCACATAGTTAAGCAATTTGGTAGCACTACACGAAAACAAATACACGGCAGCTTGCACAAACAGTTCATGCGGAAAAAGTATTATTACTCTAAAAAATAGTTGCATAACTATTCAGTTATCAATAACAAAATAGGCACTTTTAACAATGAACTGATAGTGGTGAATATGAAATATTGCTCAAAAATGTACCAAGAGAATGCTTTGTTGCGGATAAGACACTAAATTGTATGAAACTAAGATTGGAAAGATTTCTGCCCTTGAATGGTACTACGACTTATGAGATACACAGAAAAATAAGGAGTAATCTAGAAAATTCTTCAAAGCAAAGACGTTTACAGGAATGGGCAGACAGTTCCTTCCTACCAAATCCATATATGGAGCGTGAATAGAATAAATAGCCTATATAGACCAGTGTGCGCACAATATTAAAATGCATTAGAACAACATTTAGTAAGCTTACGGACTTTAAAAAATAGTGCTATGAAAATCGTCAAACTTGACAAACCAAACCTAAATTATTCTCACAGACAACAGTCAATCAACAGTGAATAATGTTGCAGGAAAACTTTTTTACCCTGGCAAGGCACTGAGCAACAAATACTTAAAAATCACAGAGAGTCAATCAAATTACACAAGACAGGAAACTTCATTCATGAGTAAAATTCAAGTGCCAAAATTACTACAGAAGCCTTGCTTCCGTGATCGATTAGCTTAACTCTCCATCTCAGAGCAGCTATAAATATCACTACGATCACAATTAAAAGATCAGACAAAAACACATCTAAATTTCATAAAAATCGATTTCTTACAGTTAAAAAATGACTTAAGAGGTGCTTTCTGTCATTGGCATCAAGTCATCCATTTTCTTTTTTCTTCTTTTCTGCCTCCACCTCTTGTCTAGTGCGGTTGAATGCTTCTGTTTTAACAAAGTCGACAGTTTTGTAGACTGTTGTGGTTGGTGGACCTTTCTCAGGAGATTTGGGAGCAGGGTGAATGCTGACTCCACCAGTAGCTAAACAAGATACAAGGAGCAAAGTTAAAAAGAGTCCATTGCAACCAACAAAATTTAGAGGGGAAAGGAAAGCACTTACCAGATGTTAAGGAGGTAATAGGAGTGCTTGTGTCTTTGCTGTCCTGTTCAGTTAAGTCCAAGTCAAGGTACTTGATTTCTTTCCCCATGGAGAGGAAAAGATGATCAGAACCATATGGTTTGTAAAACTGGAAAAAAGTAAATAATGAATTAATCATTTTAATGAAAAATTAACAATAGGGAGAAACATGGCAGGTAAATTTTCATGAGGTTCATCACAAAGCAATTTCAATACCTGATCGTCATCAGGAGAAAGGCGATGTTCATCGTCAGAACTGGAGTGATGTTCTGTTCTAGTTCTAAAACCATTTCGCAATGTGGAAGGAGCAGATCCTGGTGGTTGGGGAGGAGTAGGACTTGGGCCAGTTCTTGTCTTACGTAAGCTGCGCGAACAATCCTGACGCTTACCTTGTGGCGCAGGCCAAAGTGTAAGAAAATCTGAAAGAAAAAACAAATTTGATGAAACTGTTGCATGAAAAAGAACCTAGTGTTTAAAAAATTGGCCAAGATTTTTCTGCAATAGCAAGTTACTAAATAGGTGAACAGTAGTAAAATAAATAAATGCTTACTAGAATCATGAGGGTGACAAAGGGGTTTTAGTTTGCGATCCACACTGGGCGGGCCAACGCTGTGTTGGCTCAATGGACTTGGTGATGGTTCATTTGAAGCAGCAGAGTCTGAAGTTTTACGACGAGGTTTTAATCCTCTATCTACTGCTGGGGGTGTGGGTATTCCCCCCGGAGGTAGAATATGGGGACTTGGTAGATTAGAATATTGAGTTGCAGATGTGACTGAGGAGCTCTCGGACCGTGGAGATGTTGGTTCCTCTTCTTGAAGCCCAGGTGGATTAACAACAGAAGGTATCTGGCTATCTTGTTGGAAATCATACCTAAAAACTGTTCCATCACTGTTCACCTGTGAGAAGATTAGAAGCATGACTTAGTATCTGCTTTAGATATTGTGGGATGACCTATTACATAACTGAATAAATTTTACCTGTCCAGGTGCTGCGTTGGTATAGCAATGTCTAGCCATGGCAGGTGGCCGCGTAGAGTCATGTGTATCTGCATATTGATGAGAGCGAGGGAAGTCGTACATGTCGTCTGTCACGACAGCACTTCCAGGAACTGCTGAAGGACCATCCAAAGGAGTTGATGTTGCAATTAAAGGGGACGGCGGCTCAGAAACTGTGGGATTCTCAATCTTTTGTTTATCCGCTAAATTATTAGTGTGACTCGCTGGGGACACATTTTCAATATTGAGGTAGTTGTGACCAGGAGGATCCAACAACAAGTGTGATGGCTTTGGTGGTCGCGGTGGAGGAGGAGCAGTACTTGACAGTGGTAGCTGTTTGCCATCAATTCCCTGCAAAAATTAATAATTTAAATGCATATTTTCCATAACAACAAAACAGAATTCAGGATATAATCAAGCCCCAGTATAAGAGGCTCATTAACTTACAATGTTCCGATTGCTGCATCGCTTGCTTGAATTCCATGTTCCAGTCTCAGTGCTGGTATCTAAATCGACAGAACTGTCTGAAGGGCGAACATTGCCGGCCTGTTCACCCTCACTTGATGGGAATGTTTCCCAGTTAACCACAGGTCTGCGGTGACCAGGTCTACCAACACCAGTCCACTCCTCATCAGTGAAGACACTTTCTGCATCAGTACCAGGACTCTGGAAAGACAAAATAGATAACTCACGCATTCTACAAGAAAATAACGCACAAAAACACGACACTTGCAAATGCCTACCTTTTGAGCATCCCATTCTCCCTGCATGGACCTGCCATCCCCAGACCTTAGGTCACCAGAGATTAGATCCAGTCCCTGTGCGGAGGGGAGCCTTAGTTGCCGAGGGAAGTCATAAAACTCATCACTAATGGCTCCCGCTGCAGAGGGTCCGCTTGAGGTTGTGCTAACATTATTGTTTGTCACTGACTCTGGGCGCTTGCCAGGAAATAAGTGAGGAGGCAGTCTGTGAAACTGGGAACTTGCTCTATACACTGCTGTTGGTAAAGTGAGACCTGATGTGCTAGTTAAAGGTGGCCCTGTGATACATTCGCTGATGGGTATATAAGCTGATGTAGTACTTGTAGGAGAAATGGGAGGCGATTCTAAATCATGTTCAGTTATCACAGTAGTTGGGGTAGATGGTTCTTCTTCGCCTGTACCACTGTAGTTGTATGCTGCAGTAAAAAGAGATTTTAATATTTGTTAAAATGAAGACTGCCAAAACGAGATAAGAGATTAACACATTAATGAATACAGACCATCTTCATCTGAAGTGTAAGCTTTCAATCCACACACATGGCACACATTGTGAACCCATTTCATCATTTCGTCCTCAGTTTCTGCAGCAAGATAATACACTCTTTTTGGGGTTCGGACATCAAACATGTGCTGGTATTTATTCTCAAACTGAAGACCAGTGTCAACCTGTAATAAGCCCATGTTTCAGTAAACAAAATTTCCAGACATTTACAAGAACGTAAAAGTTAATCCTCGTTTAATTAAAAAAGGTGGACGGCAAAGAAAAGCAAAAAGATTTCAAGCGATGCAACAGGTACAGTGATGCACAAAACATACCTGTTCGCATTCATCAAGATCAATCTGTCCTTTCAGAGTTTTACAAGTTTGATCTTTATAGTAACAGAGGAAATACTGCCCTGGAAGTTCTCCTGATTGCCTCAATACAAACCACCTTCTGCGCCACCTCTGAAAATGTACAATGAAAAAAAGGTTAGTGTTTGCTCAATACCAACTACTGGGTACAGGATGTTATTGGTAAATGGATTTCTTTGGATCAAAGCCAGGGCAAATGCCAGAAGACAACTTTCAAATCAAAGGCCATAAAGAATTTGACACAAAGGTAAGAGGATAACCTTGCACATATTTCTAGTGCCTTCTGTCCTGTCGTTATAACCTACAGAACAATCTGATCACAAGAAGGCGAAACGAGGGATGTACCAGTGACCTCGACGACGTCGTCCAAGAGAGAGTAGTTTAAAAGAGTGCTTTTCAAATATAGATGTAATTTGACAAGTAATGAATTTTGTTTATTGTTGTGCTAATAGCTAGCAGGTGCTAGGCCTAGGCGATCTCCGTCTACTCACCGCACGAACTAGTCGTTTGCTAGGGGGCGATTTAATGAGCCACCCTTCGTGGACAACTTCAGGACCGTTATTCATGTCCAATGCCAAATGAATTTAGAACCGAGTCATTAGCACTGGATAGAAAATCACAGCAACACAACTATTTTCCAATCAGCCATTTTGAGTTCCTTCTTGTGTTGTTTGCACCGCGAAATTTCTCTTCCAGCCGCGCTGTGAGCGAGTATTCATCTTGGAGAGCACTTGTGTGAAAGGTGCCCTGCGAGAGGCTAGGAGGTGCCGAACCGAACGGAGACCCGAAGCCGAAGGCAAGCCGAAGGCCCCGACTCGGCCCGAAGCCAAAGCCGAAGGTGCCATATGAATTTCAATTATTCTGATCATGCAACTAAAGTCACTAAGTCACTCATATTGCTTGGGGAAAAGAAGAAAGGATGGCCACAAACTCAAAACTAATTTTGGAAAAATATTTTAAAAATATACGATGGGGAAAAATTGCCATAAGTCAACAAAAATGGTGACATTTACTGGCCTAATATTTCTTTTTTTGTTCCAAAATGTGAACAAGTGCATCATTTTCGCTTCTCAATTCTGTTGACAACTATCTAAGAAACTTCGGAAGAAAAAGAGAGATAAATTATCAGGCCGAAGACTAGACCTGACCATAACTGTTGCGCGGAATCTCTTAAACTAATCGATGAGAGATTACGACAACTGGAAGCTTACAACTTTCTTTAAATTTTGTTTGTGCATGTTAGATGTTCTACAATACATTAGTCATATTCGCAACTTCTTTAGTACAGGATTCAATGGACAACTAATACGAATTGTTTTTATTTTGTGTTAATAGCTGTTTTTCTCCCACACCTCACCTTGAGCTATCATTCCATTTTAGCGTTAAGCTAAAATGTCTCTTGTGACTGACTTTTTGACCTCAAGGTCTGGTCCGAAGAATTTTAAGTCTCTGCGTCTCTGCAAACTTTCGGCACTTGCATTGACGGAGTCTTGTTTTAGCAAGTTTGAGAAAAAAATTGGTTCGACTAATTTAAAAAAGCTAAACAAAAATATTCTGTTCTATCTTTTAATTTTTATCCAAATATTTAAAAAGGTTTGGAAAATAAGTTGAGTAATACAGTTCACATAATTCACTTGATGCAAGAGTTGTTTGTTGTTTTCTTTTTCCAACATATTGTCAAATTGTTAAAAAAACACTTATGCGGCCCCATTTTATAAAATGCCCATGGTAACATTGTTTTTACCTCTAGAGTTAAAGAAATACATAAAATGAGCAAACACCACGACTTCGGGTTCGGTCAGTCGTTTCGGCCAGTTCGGGTCCTCCCGCGCTCGCTCGGGTTACGCTCGGGTCCCGAACCATCTAGCCTCGCACAGTGCCTTTCACACAAGTGCTCTCCAAGATAAATACTCGCGCGCTGCGAAGCCCGCTTTTGTTTTCATCCTTCCGCTAGCCTCGCGTATGTACACTACCAGCTAGCCTCACACAGGGTGCACCGTCGTGTCGTCTGCTATTGTTGTTCTGCTCTTTGTTTACGTCCCGAAGCTCCACCGACGAATCGTGGGGGAAAATGGGACCATTTGAAACCTTATGCTTAACCACCCACTACTTTCAAGTTAAACACTGAGTAATAATTGTGTACGTATCTGAGTGTCAAAACAGTCTTAAATATATGTTCCAAAAAGAGATACACAGTTTTTGCTTTCTTTTCTTCGTTCATTGTCACCCTCGAGAGTTGCTCTTTCTTCAAGACAAGGTAACAAAGGAAAATTAGCCACAAGTAGGACTTAATCATATAATTTATTTTCAAAATAAAACAGCAACATGCATCCAGAGAAGAATGAAACAACTAAAGACTAGTATTAACACATATTATGCCTCAACTAATGCACCTAACAAAAATCGATATGGCAGCTAAGAAACTTCAGTGATTTTATACAACTATGATCAAAAGAAACTATTTAACCCTAAACAAAAAACTACCATGTAAAAAACAGACAAATCAAAACACAAACAGGCACATTTTAAGTCAGTTGCAAGGAAAGGACACAATTTCCTTGGAGAACTACAAGTATGGCGGTGTCTTAAAATTATACTGGGAGTTTGTGATATGACACAAAATATAGGCTATGGTTTTGAAATAAATAAATAACATTGTTTGAATAATTACAAAGCAAAACAAAAACAGGATTTGGCACAAGTGCCTTTTGAATTGGTTCGTATGATTAGGGATGTCAAGGCTGTACAAGACATTCATTAAAAAACATTTTACTTCACACCCTAAAATTCAACCAAAAAGAACAATATTAGTGCAAAATTTGTACATATTCACCAGAAGCACTCTGTCTAAGAAAGTCGAACCTGTCATCTTGTTTTCAAACACATTTTAGGAGTGTCAATGGAAATACAGTATTTGGATAAGTTTCATTTGTCAGTCTTTCCATGATTACTCATGAAAAGAAATTTCAGTAATTGTCAAACAGTTTGATCAACCAAATTCGCTCAGCTTAAGCCACAAGTATCAGGCTACTGCCTTGCATTGAAGATAACAGCACTAGAAAAGGAAGTGAACACTATCAGTCATTTGTTCACTTGATGCATAGGAACTAAATAAAAATGCCAAAGGGCCGTCTAGGGATCCTCTCCTCATAAAATCGAGTAATGCAAGTGAGTGCAAGGGTTGCTGCAATTGCTGCAATAAATACACATAATCACAACAGTTTGGCACCAAAGACATAATTAAGAAGCACATCCAAGTGTGTACTGGTCATTCATGGGCCCCATACAAAAGTGATTCCTTCCTTACTTTCAAGTCACCTGTCGGATATTTCCTATAATGAACAAGTACTGTAGTATTCTGCCTGTTTTTTAATGAATAATAGGTATTCATTCATTCTATCATTTAACTCTGCTAATCTACTTGTCAAATCTGATAGTTGGCTCTCATTAGTTCCATAGACTTCAGCCATATCTGTAACATAAGAAAATGTTTAAGGACATGTAGCAAAGCAAACAGGGGTTGAAAATAGATCCACCAACACCAGCACAGTTGTAAAAACCATAGCAGACAATCACCTTGGAGTTTCTTCAGCTTCCCATTGGTGGTAATGGAGAGGGTGGATGCCTCATTCAGGATTCTCTGGGCTCTTTGTCTTGCACTGTTTGACAATTTGGAGCGGTCTTCCAGCCTAGTTGAGGCTGTGTCGTACTTAGCACGGAGCTTCGCAGCACCCTCCTTGGCTGTGGTGCCGTCCCGAACCACACTGTCTGCCTCTGCCTTCAACTCTCCCACGTCACGAGAGTTCTTCAGGAAACGAGTCTGGAGGTCACGGACTCTTGATTGCAGCTTGCCAACATCATTCAGAGTTTCGTTGGCCTTCTGCTGGGCTTCAGTAGTTTCACTGGCAATCTAAAAACAAACATAATAAACACAAAGGTTTAATGCATTAACCGGTTGATATTTTCGGAGAAAAAGAAGAAAGTACAAAATTAAGCTACCTGAACAAGATCCTTGTCAGCAGCTGCAATATCATCATTTGCCTTCTGAATTGCCTCCTCAGCTTTTTCTTGGGCAATGCGGGCTTCATCCAGTGCTTGCACAACATTTTCGGCTGTGCCTAAAACCTCTGTTGCCTCCCTCCTAAAAATGAAAATAATTACAAGAATAATAAAACACAGACTGTCCAATTGTGAGAGTGCAGGCAGTACACAAAACGGGTCAGTAGAAATCCATACTTGGCATCAGAAGCTTTGATCTTTAGAACTAAGGCAGCGTTCAAGTCTTCCCGGGTCTCACTTAAAATGCTATCAATATTCGTAAGTGAGGCAATGGTCTTGTTTATGTTGTCAGCAAGCTGAGTGATCTGCACTGGTTCAAGTCCAATATCTAGCCTCATTGTCTGCAAATTGCCAAAAAATCAAAATGTAAGTAAAAAATTATAAAAAGAAATGTTTTTTAAAGATTTTGGAAAAACATACTTCAGACGCTCTTGTGCTGATGTCATTTGGTGTAGCATAATCGCTGTTGAGGAATTCTTCAAGTTGCTTTGCTAGAGATGTACTCTCATTCAGGCTGACTTCAGAAGTATTCTTAGCTCTTTGCGCCTGTTCCAGAGCCTCTTTCACTAAACGATTTGCCTGTTCGGTCTCTTGATGAGCAGCTGACACCCCTTGGAAAAGCTCCTCAGCCTTCGCGTCTTTGTCTCTAATTTGTTTGTCAGCATCTTGAGCATAACCCAAAGCTTGTTCAGCTTTGCGAGAAGCACCGTTTTCACAGGAAAGACCACCACAAGAGCCACATCCTGCTCCGCCACAGAGTATGTCGCAGTTATCCTCTGATTGAGTGTCACTTTTGCCACAAACCTAAAACAGGGCAGATGACATAATTTAATATCTAATATTTGTCACACTTTTTCAACATAGGGTACTTCTCAAAAAGTAAACATACCTGTTTGTTGAGGTCAGGGACCATGTCCTCAAGTTTGGCTAACTTTTCAGACAAATTTTCAAGTTCTCTACTATTGTCCTCCTGAATCTGCTGATACCGATCAGAATTTTTCCCTACCATATTTTCCGTACGCTTACACAGTTTTTCTGCTTCAGCTGAAAGATCTTTAGTACGTTCTGCATCTTGCTGTGCTTGGCGAGATCTATGAGACGCTTGCCGGGTCAAATTCAAAGCACCTATGGAAAGAGGACAAGTTTTATTATTAGGTATTGATTATCTCTCTCCTTCTTTTTTCAAGCATTTTTCTTTTTTTGTTTGCATACCTTCAACATTAGACTCTTGCAGCTGAGTTGCATTATCATGGAGGCCCTTAGCTGTGCTACTTAGCAAGTCAAGTTTAACCCGAAGATCATCTAGAGTCAGATTAGCCACAAGGATTCGCTGATTGGTGTTACTTCCAAGGTGCTCAACTTCAGCCAATGCATCGACTGATTGATTAAGGTTTTTGCTGGAATGGTACGTGCATGTTTTTAAAATAAAAATACTTGCTCACCACATATAAAAAAGAAGAAGCAAAAGAAATGTGAAATTACCGGAGGAGATTCATTAAAGATTGAATGTCTTCAAGCTGATTGGCAGAGATCTTTGTCTCATGCAGTACTTTCTGCACCTCATCAATCTTTTGGAGCATTGTGTCGAACTGATGAGAGTATGCCCCAGTGGCACCCTTTAGTCTGATTTCAGAAGCAGACTTAAGGACGTCAGTTGTTTGTACTGTTGAAGGACAAAAACCATTGAAATAACATTGATGCTATTAAAAAGTTACTACTTGGAAATTCAAGTACAAAACAAAAAGGTTAGTACCCTTTAACTCATCCAACACGCGGTCCCAGTTATTGAAACACTCTCCACACTCTCGGCAGTAAGGGACGTTCCCTAAATAGCCACGGGCACACTCGTCGCAGTTGTAGCCACCAATGCCTGGCATGCAGATACAGCTTCCGTTGTTCTGATGACATTGCATTGTAGCAGCTCCCTGAGGATTACATTGACAGGCTGGAAAGAATATTTATTTTTTAGTTGTAGCTCAAACAAATTTTATTTTAAGGTGCGGTAATATTAAATCTTACTTACGATGGCACTCCACATTAGGGTTACCCCAGGAATTGGATTCACATTGGTCACACTTTCGGCCACCATACCCAGGTTTACATTTACACTGTCCATCAAACTGAAAATAAAAAAATAAATAAAAACCTGCACACCAAAAAAAAAAAATTTAAAAAAATCCTTGTTGATGAAGAATATGAAAGAAGTTGCCAACTTACAGGATTACACTGTGTTTCATCAGAACCTGTGGGGTCACAATCACAAGCTTCGCAACCTTGCCCACTAGCAATCTTCCAATGGTTGGGCCTACACTCATCACAAGACTGACCAATTACATTTGGCAGACAAGGACACTGACCGGTGTTGCGGTCGCAGTGTCCATGGGTCTGGTTTGTCCCAAGCACATTGCAAACACAGGCTAAAAGTAGAATTTGAATCATTAATAATTTTAAAGCAGACCATCCAAAAGTTAACATTTACAAATGAAGGATACGTACAAGTGCATTGCTTGTTCACAGCATCTCCATAAAATCCAGCTTTGCAGATTTCACAATTGAAACCTTCTGTATCAAACAAACAAGCAAGACATTTCCCAGTGCGAGGATCACAATTTCCTGGATGTGATACATCAACATTATTGCTGCAGTTGCAAGGAGAGCAATTGCCACCAGGTTGATCTGGGCTTCCAAAGTAGTTATCCGCACAAACATCACACCTAGAACCTGGGGTGCAAAAAATTCTTTCATCATGTCATACATTCGTTAAAGAAAATATGAGGAACCATAGATATAGCTTTTACTGTACCTGCATATCCCTCTTGACATTCACAATCCACATCCTGGGTGTGGGGATTCAGGGAACATTCATTTGCAAAAGAATGGCCAGATTCTTGAGTGTCTGGACAAGGGCATGGACGGCATGGAATGTCTCTTCCTAAGCGGGGATCTCCATAATATCCCACGTTACATCTAAAATAAGAAAATAATTTATTTACAGAGTGTAAATTTGCACACAAAAAAACACCAGAAGAATCTTAAATGTCTTTGATAAAAAAAAAAGAAACCGCTTCATAATCACCTGTCGCAATATGTGCCATTGGTGTTGTTACGACAGTCAATACAAGCACCAGTAAATAGGTCACAAGTATCTGCATATCCGTTACACTGGCATCGCAGACAGTTGGGGAAGTTCCAAAAACCAGGCTGACACTGGCCACAATCCCTGCCATACATATTTGGACGACATTTGCACTGCCCTGTGTTCTCACAGACGTTGTCCAAGGATCCAATCGAGTTACAGTCACAGGCTGATTACAGAGCAAAGTAAAAAGAGACATGATTAGAAAAAGTAAATTCTATTTTGTGATTCGGCACAGAATTTCATTTGTTGATGGTTAACCTCTGCATCCGTCTGGTCCAAATCCGTACGTTCCAACTTGGCACCGATCACATCTTCTTCCAGCAACATTTGGTTTACATTCACACTGCCCACCAAGTGTGTTACAAATAGTACTCAGAGCACCCGTTGGATCACACTCACAAGCTAAAAATATACAGATAATAAGAATTAGCTAAAAGAAAATTTAGAGAATTATTTTATAGTTTGTTTTGGCCTACTTACAATGAGCTCCGTTTTGAACATAGAAACCAATACTGTTGTAGAATCTCTTGCATATTTCTGGTACTGAGATTCCACGCATAGGGGTCCTGAAGTAATCGGCACACCTGTATCTCTCAAATTCGTCCCTGGCTCTGATATTTTCCGGTTTATCTTGGAAGAATGGAATGTTCTCTGGACGAGGTACCAATGCAATCTAGAGATAAAAATTAAAGATTTCACAAATTACTGTACTAAGAAAATCCACAGACAAAATACTGTAAAAATTGGCTGAAGACATCATCAAGAGTACTTTGCAGTTCCAAATGAGGAGAAAAAGGAGTTGACTTAATAAGTACAGAGGCAAGAAAAAATAGAGTAATACTCACAGAGTCAACAAGAATGGATGCAGTAGGTGTATCACTTGTTTTGTCATACTTTTTGAAAGACAATTTAATATGGTATGTCTTGCCTGCTTCCAAACAAGCTGGAGGCCTCACAACTGCACTTCTATCCCCTAAAATAAATTGAAAATAGTTTAAACTAAGAACAAATATAGAATTGCAAGAAATATTATCACCCCAGAAATACCAGGCTTACCTGCTGATAAAGAGACGAGCTTAGAATCATCTTCTGGCAGAGTATTGGCACAAGGTCCATTTTGGTCAATTGGTCCATCACGTTCAACAGTCACTCTGACATCTTCCCAACCATTCGGCAACTGCCCATAATGAAAGGAAATAATTTGAAAAGTGTTACATATTTTAAACAAAATTACAAATTGCAATAAAAATGTGAAAATTAGGGAGAAAGTACCTGTGGCTCATAACGAATTACAATGTCATAGTCCATACTGGTCCTGATATCGTCAATAGTGAAATCAAGTTCTGAATTTTCAAATACTCTCATAAACCCAATACCAGTGAATGAATCATCCAATCCATCTGGGCTAGGCTCACGGGTGGTTACCTTAGCGTCCTATAACAGCAAAGAAAAATATAAGGTTGTTCAATTTGGATATAGATTAAAATAGTATGATTGCTCGATGCAAGGTAAACTTTACATACATCACTGCCAAAAGCATTTTCTGCTTCTTTAACATTGTAGTCCATCAAACCAGTGTAGAACGCCTGATCAGGCTGGTTGCACTGCCGGCCTGCCACATGAGGACGGCATCTACAAACAAAATAAGAACAAAAATTTATAAAAATTAAAATAGACACTAACATTTAACTGATGGAAGATTCAAATTTACCGGCACTGCCCAGTAAGTACATCACAATTGTTATCGTATGCACCACCAGGATCACAATCGCAGGCCTTGCAACCATCGACATCTTCAGATAGTCCATAGTGTTCAGGACGACACTGGTTGCAGTCCCTACCACGAACATTCCTCTTGCAAGTACACTCTCCTGTCTCCATGTCACATCCTTGATTGTCTACAGTTCCTAATGTGTGGCAGGTGCAAGCTGCAAAAAGACGAAATCAGTGTCAATAAAAGAAATAAACTACAGGCTGATGCCGATGCTTTTAGGTTCCATCGTATTAATTACCTTCACAACCATCCGGATTAGTTTCATTGAAGTTCCAGAATCCATTTCTGCATCGATCGCACCGACGTCCATCAACATTTGCTTTGCAGTGACACTTGCCAGCTTCCACACCAATTTCAGGGTTGGACCGATGCTCACAAATGGCTTCGTCCACTGAGCCTCTGGGGTCGCAGTCACAAGCTACAGGCAAAAGGTATATGCAGATGGAGAATGGAAAGTGCCAGCAAATAATACCAGTGAAGGCCACAAAAAGAGGACTTACGCTGGCAAGCATCAGGGTGACTGAAGTCGTATTGCGGGTCATGATAGAAATAGTCTATGCACCGTTCGCAATTTCGGCCCATTGTATTGTGTGCACACCCATCACACACTCCACCACTAATACGACCAGTTTGTTCGTAAACAGCGTTATCAAAGTGGCAAGATGTTGCGTGGTTGTGACATTCGCATTCTAAACAGAAAAAAATATATGACAGAAACAATTGATAATGTACCTTGCAGCTTCATGATAAGAAAGGAAATGGCTTACTTACTTTTACAAGCATTACTCTGTTTGCCAATAGCAGGCTTCCATGGTAAATCATTGTAAAATTCTTCACAAAGATCACAATTTAAGCCACGAGTATGATGTGTGCAGTCACATCGACCATAGACCATATCTGGTCTGGGAGTCTCTCCTTCCAGTGGCAAGCAGCGAGAAGCATGACCATAGCAAGAGCAGGACCCTCGCACAATCATCTCATAGATAGCATAGTAGTATTTTTCCTATGAAAGGTGAAATCAACGATTAAATTTAAACAAATGAAAGGCAAAACAAAAACAAAGGTATCACTTCAAATGGTACAGTACCTGAATTTCTTGTCTATTATCAAGAAGATCATCACCAAGTGTATGAAGCTTTGTGAAATTAATTCTCAAGTTGGTCATTTTGAGGAGACTTTGTACTTCTTGAGAATAGGGATCATCAATTTTGAGTGAGGGAGGTAGGACTCTGAAGATTACCTAAAAATAGAGACAAAAAGAAAGTAGCTTTGTCTACAAAATGTTTGAAAGAAATTAAAACTAACACTTACCTCACCATCTGTGGAGGGAGCAACTTTGGAATAACGAGATTCACAAACCACATCAGACAGAGAAGTTGGACTATGCTTGGGTATCCCAGGGAATGACTGGTCACAGTTGGCAGCAAAGTAACGATACACCTGAAAATGAAGTAGCCTGATAAGTTATAATTTTGAACTCCTAATGGCACTTTGACATTAGAATAAGAGATATTTATCTCTTCTCACCTGCCAGGTTATTCCAAAATCAGATGATCTCTCAATAAGCATAGCAGCTGGTCGGAAAGTTCTGAATGTCATAATGACATGAGTGAAGTGGAATTCAGCTTCCAGATCTAAAGTGATGGAGACATTTTCTTTGCCACTCTCCGCCTGCCACCATGATCTTGTCCTTGAGCTACAATTAAAAATAAAAAGGCACATGAATTATGTCTATTGAAAAAAAGGATTGGCGCAGAAGAAGTTCATGGATAAATTAATTACCCAGGACTAGGACTATCTTTGTAAATTAGATTTTTGACTGTGTGACTTTTTTGAGGAATATTATCATTAATCGGTCTGGAGTCACACAAGAAGCATTTTTTATTATCTTGCAAATGCGATACAATACAAAACCGTTCCTGTAAAACAACAACAAAAATTATAAGGCGCATACATTCTAGGAAATAATCCAAATCTACCAAGCAAAAAAAGGTATGTCTGTGCATAGTGCATAGAGGGATCTTACTCTATTTTGTAGACCACAAGTGGATGATGCATGGAGTTTGTTCTCTCGACCAATCAGCAAGTTTCCCGTAGCAGGGTAACATGAGCTTTGATCACATGGATGTAACTTATGTGGTTGATATGCTGTAAATGTAAAAACACAAAGTTTTGAAAAAAGACTAACTTGCATGAAAAATTGTTTAAGCAAATTTGAAAACTTAAAATGTTTTTGAATTTTGATGATAAAAACATTTAGTTGAAAAACAAGGTCAAGGAAAGCGGACAAAGCCAAATTTAAAAATTGATAGAATGCTCTCCATCACCACATAAGAATGGCGCCTGCAAAAATAAACAATACATCAACAAATCTCAAGCAGGGACAAAGCAAACAAGAAATATTTTCTAATTCTTGGTGTATTATGGTGGAATGTTAGAAGCACCTTATTCGAATTTTTCAATCACCTCTCCACTCATTGATCTGAAATATGTCACAACAATTCCAAAGGTAATGAAGTGCAAATGAGATGGGTTAATGGATGGATATGTACATCACAAATCACCACTGGAAAAATGTTAATTATATTAGAAGCACAACCACCACCTTACTGTGATCTAAAGCCAGGAAAAAGAATGTGGGAGAGTGGGGGTAGACAGATCACCTGTGGGAGAAATCATGTACACCACTTCAAAGACATTAGAGCACCTTCCAGGCTGGAATAGGGCGTGCATGTTCTGGTTGTTACTGGAGCAGATCAAAACCAGTTACCCAGTTAAATTTGCACCAAGTTTCAGTGCCGCAACCAAAGGAAGTGTAGAGGAGATGGTGAGATGCGGTGGAGGGTATGGGGCAAAATGAACTGAAGTTGATATACCTCGCGACTTGGAACCCTGAAAGTCAGGATAAGATTCACTGAGTGGGTGAGCTTCCCCCTCAAACTCTCCGTAAAACTCATCACTATCTGTGATGGAAATGTCACCTCGTTTGGGCGAGGGAGCAGGCACTGGTCTGGGGGGGCCTCTCGCCACCCTGTCCCCTCGTGGGGCTTCAGGCAGGGCTGCAAAACTTACAACTCTTGATCCTGCGCTTGATCAAAGTCACAACACTCAAAGCAAACGGCATAAAGATGAGAATAAAATGAAAATTAGCAAATAGAGCACTGAGTGATTGATGCTGTTCATGATGTCAATTCAAATGAGAATTAAAACCAAAAATGAAATTAATTGCAGTCAGTTTACTTTGATGACTCATTAAAATGAATTAATTGTATTACAGGTGACAGTGTAAAATTACTGTCACCCACCTGGTTACTTATGGTTTTAAAAATGAAATGGTGATTTTACCTTTTCTTGGTGGTGTTAATCTAGAGGTTCCATTATTAAAATACTGTCCATAAGCAGCTCCTGGAAATAAAAATTGAGAAAATTAAAATAGAGCTTAAGTAATCACACCAATTTCTACCCCAGCCCCTTGCTTATCAATGTTAAGCGCCTGAGGATCTCAAGTTGGGCAACACCACATGTCTGAATGTAGGGTTGGCTGCCTACCCTCCATTACCATTACCATTAAGGGCTAAACCACACATGCCTTGCTTCCATCAGCTTGCCACGGTTTGTGACAGATATCGAATTTATTGGGGCTTTGAGCTGGGGAAGCCAGGACGTTTGCCACAGATCGACTGGACAACTCTTGCCCTCCAATTTTACAGTGGCTGAACGTCCTCGAGGACGCAGGGACCGGGGCCGTGCCTCCACTGTGCGACCCTCGTCCCTCTAGTCCCGCCCCCTCCAGATGGGCAACACATGTCCATAAATAGCCGCCCCGCCCGCTGCGCCCTGCGACCTGCAGACCGAATCCGAGAGTCGTTTTCGTCGCTCTGTCTCTCTCGCACCGATACGGGACCCCCGTGAGTGCGAAGGGGACAGAGCGACGTGAACGACTCTGGGAATCGGCCCGGCGCCCTTCCTTCGGGAGCGTCCTCCGTCGGGCGGCCCTCAGCCCTCGGGGACTGCCCGTAAACCCGGACGTGTGGTCCAAATCAAGATCTTCGGGCAGACGCCAGAAAGCCACAGATCGCAACAATCGCAACCAGTAATGACGTCAAAATTCAAAAAATTCCAACGATGCGCCAGTGTCGAAAGGGTTGCCAACCTCGGGCAGTGCCGGAGAGGTTGGCCAAAACCGCCAAAACAAAACACTGACCTGCCGAGCAGAGAAGGACGAGGAGAGTCGACAGCCACATGGCTTGAAGTGACCGCTCTCGGGGCTGCAGCATGGCTTGGGGCTCAGCACGGCATCGTCTGCAACAACAACAACAACAACAACGTTGAGCTGGAAGCAGCAACAACAAGACCACACACGCACCATCGACAGTGAGCCCAAGGCTCGGCGCGGAGGCGGCCTCAGTTTTTTGGGGGCATCCAATCAACTACTGCACTGGAAAACGAAAACTGTGTTTGCACACTGCCAAAGCAGGAACTGGTTCAAACTTTGGGTGCCTGCATCGAGTGTCAGGCTCGTCGGGCTCAAAATTAGAATTCTTAAACATGCCAAATTGGACGGTTGAGTTTGGCGGGGAAGTGAAGGGCTTTCGGGCTTCCCTGCACCTGCGCGTCCACGGTCGCGTTCCCTGCAGGCATCGGGCGACTCTGTCACGCAGGCTACGCCAGGGCTACGCAGGCCGGCGCCCGCGACGGTGGGACAGAGACGGCAACACGCACGTGTGGGAGCACAATGCACTTCCCTCACATGTGCCTCCTACTCGCACGTGGGTAGTCTATAAATAGTCTCTCTCTCTCTCCCCTCCTTCGAGCATCTCTCTCTTACAAACCTATGTATCTTCGAGCCGCTCTCGTGAGTCCCTCTCACTCTTTTGAGCCTGCCTCCATCTACCTTTCCATCTTCTTTTCCTCCTCCTTCTTCTCCTTCTCCGTGACCTGACATTTGCCCTAAATGCACCGGCCGCGGTCGGGCAGTCGCACGCAGAGGAGTGCAGCGCTGCAGGCTGTTTCCCAACAGTCGCTCTGTCTCTCTCGCACTCACGGGGCGTGCCGGAGGGGTGCGGGTGCGAGAGAGAGACAGCGCGACGAGGCACTCTGAGCGGTCACGCGAATCAAAGACCACTCGAGACTACACTGCGAAGCGCGGGGCCGCCGCTGCGCCGCTCCGTGGGGCGGGAGGGCTCGACCTAACCATTGCACTGCCCCTTGGGGGACAGGATAGAAAGGGGTGAGAGGGCGGCTACAGGGAAGTCCGGCAGAAAGGCAAAACTTGACCTACAAGGTAGGCCACCGCCTTACTTTGGCGTGCCCATCGTGCGTTCAAATCTCCCAAAATGCAAAACTCCACAGCTTTCGCCTGCAAATTTCTCCTGGCAAAGGCTACAACTTGAAATTTGTCAACGCCTTCTCACTCTGACCGCCCCTTCCCGATCGCGGTGTAAAAGTGTAACTTGAACGAGCTTCTGCTCGCTGGCGGGGAATAGCCTCGCGGTGTCCGCTATCTCGGATGCAAAGGGGGCAGTCAGCGTGCAGTCAGCAGGCCCGTCCCGAAGGGTCGCCTCGTCGCTCTGTCTCTCTCGCACTCACGGCGCGCCCCGTGTGGGTGCGAGAGAGACAGAGCGACGACTCGCCGGGGTCGCGTTCGGCCGGACGCGGAAAAGTGGCGCCGAACCCGAAAGCAGCCATTTCTTCGCTGTCTCTCTCGCACTCGCGGCGCGTTCCGTGTGGGTGCGAGAGAGGCAGAGCGACGATCAGGCTGCAGACTTCCGGATCTCGTTCGCGCGTTCGCATGGGCATCGTGGATCGGATAAAGCAGACAGGCAGTGGGTGCACTGTGAATGCATCATCATCAGCGGTGCCAATTTCAGCCCATCTGTCGACTGATTCCGAAAGGCGCGGAAACCAACACTGTGGGCCAGAAGACCGGTGGAGGCGGCCAAAACTCTAGACGCGTTTTGAGCTCCAGAGTCGCTAAATGGGACTCGAACCGAACGTGTGACCCCACCAATGGATTCCTCGTTCGGAGACCAATCCATTGGTGGGGTCCACTGGCCCACTGTGCATGACCACGTTGGGTCTGTACCCTGGTATAGCAGCGCGCAAACAAGGGCCGGGAGAAAGCGAATCCACAATGTCATCCCGATGTAATCTAGAGCCAACCCTGGAGCATTGTCCAGCGTCCCGAACAGGCCGGCCGAAGTTAGCCCGGAGCGACTGTAGAGTTCAGCTGCAGACTGACTCCGAGAGTCGTCTTCGTCGCTCTGCCTCTCTCGCGCCTGTACGGGACACCCCATGCGAGGGGGTAAACACTTCAAGAAATCGTGTACAGACTACTCGGTATTACGCTGTATTACGGGTGTATTGCACGTGTATTACGGCCCTAAAATGCCCAAATTTGGCTTATTTGGCCCAAAAATGGTATTACGATCACGTGTATTACGCGTAATACACGGTTTTTGTGTACAGGGTATTACGCGAGTGGTTACCCCCTCGACCCCATGAGTGCAAGAGAGAGACATGCAGAGCGACGAAAACGACTTTCAGGCGGAGGACCAAAGGCATATGAACATGAATGGCATTTCGCGTTGCCAACGCCCCCCTCCCCCCGAGGGGGAATTCACTCAGGTATTAGTCGGTTGTCGGGTGTGTAATTGGTCTGTAATACTGCCTGTATTAGGTAATAGTTGCGTAATGGCCGTAATTACTGGTAATAGTGGTATTTGCGTCGTATTAGCGCTGTAATTGGTGTAATAGGGTGTATTAGATGAGTAATTGGCACATTTTTTTAACGAAAAGTCTCCGTTGAAGCTCGCGACCGCTTCGGAGAGTCTCTCGGGAGAGACTGCGGTGGCTGAGTATGTGCGTTTTAGACATACCCCCATGCCGTGGAAGTGTCCTTCCCTCCGAAGGTAGGGTGGGGTGGGGGAGGCTGGAGTCGCGGTGAGACGAGCGTCACAAACCAAACCGCTAGCCTGGCTCTGGCTGCTTCCCATCAGTGAGTAACGCAATTTGCGTATTCGTTCTGCAAGAATTGTTGTAGTCTCATCCCGGACTAATTTTCCATGCATTCCGTCTTACTTTTTGCTGAAATATTGTTACTTCACGTGAGACTTATCTTCTGGGGTCTGTAAAGTTAAACCGTGCGCATGGATGCTTGCTTGCATGCATGGGTGGCGAATCGCTACGGAATCCACTCAGAAGGCTATTGTTTCCATCTGGCATGACCCAAGAAGAAGTTTTTAGCCCTTAATGTATCAGAATTGATAGCAGTGCTTTTAAAGTGGTATTATCAGCGCGACGCACCGACGCTTGCGTGCACGCATGCATGCACGCACTCCCGCCTTGTCGCTAGTGCTCTTCCAAACTGCCCTTTATCTTGTATGCCAATATGTTTCGAGCATTGTTATGTGACAAAATGTCATTCTAACTCCTGTCGGATGAAAACAACACCTTTCTATATGAATTCCATGGCGATCCGCAACCCATGCATGCAAGCATCCATGCGCATGGATTAACTTTACAGACCCCTGGTATCTATCATCATGGTATCCAGAGGCACGTTGGATTTCTAATCTTGCCTTGGGCTCGGACATGCTTAGTCAGACCTCTTAATCATAGAACTCGAATAATTTTTTTAGATGTTACACTGCATACTGAAATGCTTCCTTTTTATAAAATTAAATTTATTGTGGGTCGATGTGCTTTCTTAGGTTATGATGTCCTCAGTCGTAATTTATTTGTGCACAACCCACACCTGTTGAAACGAATGCAACAAATCTGAGATTTTACAGTAATTTCAGGTAATGTAATTCAAGTAATGTAACTAAAATCCCAACTAGACAAATAATATTAAAAAATCACTATAGGGCTGCGTAAAACATTCAGTGAATTACCATAGACATAAACACATGAGGTGTCACAGACTCTAAGTAAGATTTTAGGGGTAGGCAGAGAAGCTCCAAAGATTTTTTATTCACAAACAATATGCGGAATTATAAAAACTAATGTGATATCATTGCTGTTTTATACTGCATCATGCATGCAAACCGTCCACCATGAAACAAAAATTTCCTCTGCCTGTCAGCTTTGTTTACTGTGAATATTTCGCAATTTGTCCGCCCGCAGCGCTACCGTCGCACGTAGATACTCTATACCCTGATGCAAATAGTGACCCAAAGTAAAGGAAAATTCCCTCTTTGCACTGTAGTAGGGTGTATTAACTGTGCAATTGCCATGTATTATGGTTTATTTGCTGTGAAATTGTCATGAATTATGGTGTATTTGCTGTGTAATTGCCATGTATTATGGTGTATTTGCTGCGTAATGGGTGTATTATCAAGGAAATAGTCGTAATACCAAGGTAATGGCGTAATTGCAGGTATTGTCAAGGTAATAGCTGTAATACTTTCGGAAGGTAATAGTCGGTTGCCTATTTTCGGGAGTGAATTCCCCCTCGCCTCCCCCTACTCATTTACAACTCAAAGGACGTTCCAGGAGGGAGACAATGCCCCAGCATTATGCCCGCAGTCGAGAGAGAGAGAGAGAGAGAGAGAGAGAGAGAGAGAGAGAGAGAGAGAGAGAGAGAGAGAGAGAGAGAGAGAGACAGAGACAGAGACCGGAACCAATCGTTCCTCGACCCTCGGTGCGACTGGCAAAAATATCAACGCAGTTACGGGTCGACCGAGATTGGAACCACTGCCCAAAACGGGCATGCACGCGGCACGCGGGAACGCGGGACGGGTCCAGCTCGACTCATCATCGATGCAACTTCGATGAATCGCCGGGCTGGATCGAGTTTTTATCAACGAGCCTGGACCAGAGGCTGTCTTGACTTTCTCAGGCCGTGCCGCGCGAGCCGAGCAAGCCGAGCAAGTCGAGCAAGTCGGGCTGGCGGACAGAAGCCCCAAAATTGATAAGGCTCGACCCTTGGCACGGTGCGGGGTGCGACAGACCGATTCCGAGAGTCGTTTTCGTCGCTCTGTCTCTCTCGTACTCGTGGGGCGTCCCGTGTGGGTGCGAGAGAGACAGAGAATCGGTCTGCAGGGCCACGAGAGGCGCGCCGCGGCCCAGCCGTGGGACTGACGGCCGTTTCGACATTTTGGCGACCCCGCGTCCGGACGGATCCGGACGGTTGGCGGGAAACCGCGAAAAAGTTGAAACCACTCCACGGTGGGCGGGCTGCAAGGTGCGCTGGAGCCTGGAGACTGCAGCGCATGACAGCTAACTGGCAGGGCAAGGGTTTGCCACGGAAACATGCCGTGAGTTCCTGTTCGAAAGGGCATGGTCTGTATGAACCATTGTCAGGGGGTGTCATGAGTGAGTGGTGGCTTTGGACCAAAACACCGTTTCCACGGGACGAACACTGAGTCACTGACCCAGGCAACGGTCCGGCCACAGGACCAAACTCCTGGAGCCCCTGGAGCACTGCCAGCACCATTCCAGCCACAAAAGCGCCATCAACATCGACGCGGCGGGCGGCGCCAGCCCTGGAGTCCCTGGAGAATCCCTGAGGAATCCCTGGAGGGGCGTGCTAGACTTGTCTGGAGTGGCACTGCCTGGAGCCTGGAGAAGACAGTGCCAGCTCATGGCTCCGGATTGTCCAGCAGAGGCTTGGCCTGGGCCTGGGCTGGGCCTGGCCCGACCGCGGGCTGCGCTCTCCTGGAGTCCGCCTGGAGCCTGCCTGGAGCTCAGGTGGCGCCTGGGGCCTCCAGGCAGGCTCCAGGCAGGCTCCAGGGCGGTGTGGCTGCTCACCCGCTGCCCTCCGCCACACAAAGACGGTGGTAATCCTGGTGCAAAGTAATCCAAAGGCACTGGGACTTGCTGCTCACAATCACTGCGCGCACTCCCACAACACTTCCGTCACACACACACTCACACACACACGCACCGAGTTACACCCACGCTCCGAATCACCGCACCGCAAGCAACGAGCGACCTTAGCAGAACACTGCCATGTGGTGACTGACTGCCCTGGCTGGCTGGCCTGCTGTGGCTGCGGCGGCTGCCAGCGGGGCTGGCCGGCTGGCGGGAGGCTGGCTGCGCGGCCGGGGGCTTACGGCAAGCCGACGGCAAGCCTGCAGCCAGGCGAGCAGCCTTCGGACCAGCACGGCGTGCTTCTTGGCGGCCCGCTACGCCCCGCCTCGCCCCGCCTCGCCCCGTCGGCCTGCGTGGCTGCCAGCCCTGGCTGCCCCGCCGGCCGCCGGTTCAAGACGGGCCCGGCGGGGGGGAGGGGGTGGGGGCAGGACTCGCCGGCGGCTCGCCACGGCGCGGCTCGCCAGAAACACACGCCCCCTCCAGCCCCCCTACCCCGGTGCCCTCACGGCTCCCCTTTGGGCCCCCGCTGCCCCCCCGGCGGCCCAACACATGTATCGCTTTCCGAGAATTTGTCGCCAAGTGAGGCCCTCCCACGCCTGGAGCGCCTGGAGCGCGGGAGGCTGGGCGATGCGAGGACCAGAGGGCCCGCGGATGGATAACCGGAGCACCGCAGAGCACCGACCGCCGCGCCCCGGGGCGTAAGGCACAGAGCCACACAGAGCAGCAGCGGGGAGCGGAGGGCAGCGGGTATGCACTGCAAAAAATTCCGTGGTTTGGCACGGAAAATGTACGGAAAAATGGGGTACAGACGGGTACCGAAAAGGTACGGACCTTCTGTACTGGTTCTCTGTGATCCCCATAAGGATCTCATGTAAACGGGTACAGAAAACATGTACAGAACCTCCGTGGTTGGCAAGGTACTACGGACGGTCCAGGTAAAAAATTGACCAGACATGTTCCGTGTAATTTCTGTACTTTTTTCTATCAGTGTGTCGCGGCGCTGCGCCTCGGAGGGCCCAAGCTGCGCCACGCCCCAGTCAGTCTGCAGTCTGCATCGTGCAGCGCGGGCAGCATCCTTCCTCCCGGTCCTTTCGCCTCCTTTCCTAGCCGCTGCCATTGTTCTGCCCCGTATGCAGAGCCACGGAACAGTGGATTTGCCAGAAGACCGGCGCCGGCGGCCAAAAGACGCGTTTCGAGCTCCAGAGTCGCTAAACAGGACTCGAACCGAACGTGTGACCCCACCAATGGATTGCTCTCCGAACGAGGAATCCATTGGTGGAGTCACTCGTTCGGTTCGAGTCCCTTTCAGCGACTCTGGAGCTCAAAACGCGTCCGGGAATTTGACCGCCTGCACCGGTCTCCTGGCCCACTGTGCGTCTTCGCCGTCCCGCAACCGCAAATAAATATCCCCCGCATTTCCCATTACCGGCACGCCGTGAACGGAGAGGAAGAGGACGACGAGGGGCGGGGCGGGGCGGGGCGGGGCGGGGGGGGCGGGGCGGGGCGGCTCACTTCCTTCCGATAAGCAGCTGATACCGCAGCGGTACCGCCGCGGCCGGCCTCGTCGGCCTCAGAGGAGGAGAAGAAGAATGAGAAGACGACGAAACGACGGTCAAAAACGAGTGTGGGGGTGGGGGTAGGTGGGGGCCTCTCTGAAGGGCAGCGTTACGTCCGCGAGCCCATACATTGTAAATGCCGGCCTGCTTCTTCTCGTTGTTGTTGTTGCAGCGGTTTATCTCCCGGTCAAGACGTCGACCGCGGCCGATAAGCGGGGCGGGGCGGGGCGGGGTCGCGGGGTGGGTCGCGGCCGCACGCACCGCCCCGCGTGGCGAAAAAAGGCCGCGAGGACCGGCGGCGGTGCCGGGAGTCGAACCCGCGCCTCGCCGTCCGGCACCTCGTGTGTGCCTCGCGGAAGGAAGTCGTAACTGCACGGCGGCGGCGACTTTGTGGGCGTGGGTGCTCGGCCTGTCTGCTACGAAAACTTCAAGAAACATGGCACCACTTGTTTCGTTATGGTGACCAAATCAACACAGTCCTACATCTGTCTGTCTGTCTGTCTGTCTGTCTGTCTGTCTGTCTGTCTGTCTGTCTGTCTGTCTGTCTGCCTGTCTGTCTGTTTGTCTGTCTGTCCAGGAAAGCGGACAGTCTTGTAGAGAGTCAGACTAGCCTGGCAACACGCGCAAGGCGGGGCGAGGCGGGGCGAGGCAGGGCCGCGGACTGAAACACGATATCGCACGGACAGCGGCGATGCAAGGCGAAGTCCCAAGTCGGATAACTTGGAAGGGAAGGGAAGGGAGGGAAGGGTCGCCGAGTTTGAGACGAGTCGGCGAAAAGCAGCGAAAAGCGGTAGCGGTCTGCAGAAACGCCGCGCGACGACGCTGCGTGGCGGTCAACGCGTTCCCTTCGGATCACCCGTTGTCTTGATTGATGACAGAGTTGACTACTCATTCTTAAGCAATGCTACTACAAAATGGGAACAAATGTGAAAAAATCGTGATTTTAAGCAGCCACTGCGTCCAATCCAGGGCCGGAAACGGTACTCCCCCGACGGATAGGTGGTTTGCGGACCTTCCTTTAGCAAGCCCTTGTTACGGAGTGCCATTTCTGCCCTTAGTTTGGGAGCAGTATTGTCGCAAAGTTGGTCTAAACGGCGGCCAACCTATGTAAACCGCCTTGTAAGGCACGCCGCGCCGCGAGGCGGTCCACCCAACGCCCTACCGTGGCGGTTGGGTTGCCTACACTGCCGCCCGCAAGGCGCTCGCCGCGCGGCCACGTCGCGTTGCCGACAGCTGGCGCCGCGTCGCGTACACTGGAGAAGAACTCTCGTTCTACAGAGAAAGGCGGCGCCGCGAATAATTCAGACGCAAGTAGAATTCTGGAAAGACAGGCGCTTTTCTTCGTAATGAAAAGCACAGAAGGGATGCAGGTAAAGTTTTCGGCTGTGGGCCGGCCGCCAAGAAGATGCGCTGTGGCGCGGCGTGGCGCGTAGCGGTGCGCGGCTACCCCACCACCACCACCACCGCCGCCGCCGCCACCACCAACACTGCTGCCGCGTCATCGGAGACAGTAGAAAGAGAAAGACTCGGACGCGCGCCAGGTCAGCTCTCACCGCGGCCCCATGGTGTAATGGTTAGCACTCAGGACTCTGAATCCTGCGATCCGAGTTCAAATCTCGGTGGGACCTTCTTTTGACAGCGAATGGAGATGCACAAAACGAGCAAAATTATTTTCTGCTCGTATGCAAACATGATAAACTTGACCTTTTGATGTCCGCTCGGCATCTATCGAGGTTCCATGGTGTAATGGTTAGCACTCAGGACTCTGAATCCTGCGATCCGAGTTCAAATCTCGGTGGAACCTTCATTTTTTCCCCGCATCTGGTCTACATAAAGTAAATGGTGTATTATGTACCACCGGTGTGGAACATGTTGAACGCTTTACAGCTTTCGGAGTTTAGAGTGGTGTGGATGGAATAGGGAGGGTGTCAGAAGAATGAGGTGTGGACAGGAAAAAGGGGGGGGGGCTAGAGCCCGTGCCACCCCGTGTGGGCCATGCAGCTGTTGCTGGCACCTGGCAGCGGTCGGCCAGCAGACTGATTCCGAGAGTCGTTTTCGCCGCTCTGTCTGTCTCGCACTCGTGGGGCGTCCCGTACAGGCGCGAGAGAGACAGAGCGACGAACCGACTCTCGGAATCAGTCTGGGCAGAGGCACGCACCGCGGAAACTGTCTCGTCACCCAAAGTCATCGCGTCACGGGCACGGGGCCACCCCATGCTACCTAATGCTACCTGGGGGCTGGTTCCAAACTGCGCCGCTCTGTCTCTCTCGCACTCCGGGCGGCATGCCCACGGGTGCGAGAGAGACAGAGCAAGCTCGATTCGGAATCCGACGACTGGTAAACAACCCCCGCGCCGCGCATGCCGCTGGAGGGGAAAAACGAAACGGGATAAAAAGAGGCAAAAAGAGGCGAAGAAAAGGACAGGCAGGTGAAGCACATCGCGCCGCGATTCATCCTGCAGTCCTGGAGGCAGGGTGTCCAGGACCTCGGGCAGGGACCTCGGGCAACAATGGGCCTGGCTGAAGTGATCTGTCCTCCCAAACGTTCTGCCGCATTTTGCGCAACACCGGGCATATTACGCGGCAACGTTGACGTAGAATTTGGCCGGGGGAGGGGTGGGGGGTCTTCGGGAGATGGGGCAGGGCGAGGGGCCGCGGAAGACATTGGAGGTGCACAGTGCGTCACGGTGTGGTCCGATAAAAATCTATCCTATCGACGGGACGCAGCTCATTGGATAGCAGCTGTCTGCGTCCGTAAGACCAGTAAAGGACCAGTAGGACTCTCGCGCAACCGTCGCGTTTGGGCTTCCCCACCCCACCCCCATGCTACCCGTTTCCTCCAACCTGCTGCACTGGCAGTAGCACTCGAGACGTCTCTAAGTCCCGAACGGCAGCGACAAGGCGGCCGAATCGCCTCTCTTCGGAGATTCGCCTATAACGATCGTTTCCAAATTCCAAATTGTTCCCCTCATGTTCCGGCCATTCAATTACGAAGCCCGAAAAAGCGCTGGACTAGTCGGGCTGCTTCTCACACCAGCTTGTTTGCCTGCTTGCCCAGCGTCTTGTCTTCGCGAGGGGTGGCTGGGGGGCGGGGGGCGGTTCCAGGGGTTGCTGCAAGGGGTGCACCCCCTCCCCCTCCCTTACGGCCGGCTGCAGCGCGCCGCCGCCCCGCTGTGCTGCTCTCCCTCTCTCTCGCACTGACGGGCCGGGCGCGGAGCGGAGCGCGGAGCGTCAGCGTCGCGCGGAGTGGCGGGCAGAGCCAGGGCAGAGCGGGTTCCTCCTTCTCCTTCCCTCCATTCCTCCACTCCTTCAGTCGGCTGTTGCACCCGGGCGGCATCGGCCGCGCGCAGGACATCCCCCAGGACGAGACCCTCCGTCTGGAGAAGGGGAGACTCCCGGACGTCCCGGACGTGGTCGTCGTGGAGGACGCGCCGTCGTCGCCGCCGCAGAGGAGGCCGTCGTGGCCGTGGAGCACGCCGCCGTCACCCCACAGGACGCCGTCGTGGCCGCAGAGCACGCCGTCGTCACCATAGAGGACGCCGTCGAGGACACCGCCGTTGTCACCGCTGGGGACGCCGTCGTCGTGGCCCCAGAGGACGCCGTCGTGGCCCCCGTGCCGCCAAGATAAGCCGCTCCGTGCACGCGCGAGGCCTTGACGGGCTGCTCTAGCTGCTCCAGGATAGGCCGGCCGGCCCGGGCCGCGGGCATGGGTACGACGCGGGGCGCTATCAACAAGCCACAGCAGTGAGGTGAGTCGCCAGTAGCGTTCTGCACAGCGTCGTGCGCAGACAGTGCAGACAGAGCAGTGCGTTTTGTTTACTTGCCAGGCCCAGGAAGACCCAAAGCAATAGCGCTAAGTGCTTTTCAATTCACTGCCCCGGCTGGCCTGGCCTGGCGCCGCACAGTGGGCCAGACGACCGGTGGAGGCGGCCAAAACTCTAGACGCGTTTTGAGCTCCAGAGTCGCTGAATGGGACTCGAACCGAACGTGTGACCCCACCAATGGATTGCTCTCCGATCGAGGAATCCATTGGTGGGGTCACACGCTCGGTTCGAGGTCTGCTTAGCGACTCTGGAACTCAAAACGCGTCTAGAGTTTTGTCCGCCTCCACCGGTCTTCTGGCCCACTGTGGGCCGCCACAGCCAGCCACAGCCAGCACGCTGCACCCTACCCCCTCTTACATACTCATCATGGGCGAACAGCACATCTGGAAAAGTGAAGTGAACGGCTCGCTCCCATACAGTAACCCTTTTCCAGCTGCGGCCCGCCGTCTCTCTCTCTCTCTCTCTCTCTCTCTCTCTCTCTCTCTCTCTCTCTCTCTCTCTCTCTCTCTCTCTCTCTGGCCCCGCGGCCTCGAGAGCGACGAGGACACACGATGGTCCGGCCGCGCCGAGGCCCGAGCCGTTACTGACTCAATGGCAATATGGCCATCATTAATTGAGACAATTTCTGCGCCCGGCCGCGCTGGGCGCCTGCAGACTGATTCCGAGAGTCGTCGCTCTGTCTCTCTCGCACTCACGGGGCGCGGCGTGTCGGCGCGAGAGAGACAGAGCGACGACTCTCGGAATCAGTCTGCTGGGCGCCATCCGTCCGAATGCGAGTGTCGCCGTCTCGCTCGCTCTCGAAGGGACTCTCGGCCGCGCGGATGGGCGGATGGTGGCGCAGTGTCTAGCGAGTCCCTGGCAGTGTAGTGTCCGTGGTCAGTGCCGGGCTGGGTGCCGGGCAACGCCTTTTACGAACCTCGGCCGAAGCAACGTTTATAAATAACGTTGCATAGCGCGCCCAACTACACCACGATCTAGTACCCGGCAAAGAGGCTTGTGGGTACCCCTTCCCAAAAGAAGGACGGGCTGCACCACACCCACACCAGTGAAACTAAGACTTCGCCGTTGTCACAATCGCAGTGTAGTGGACTCGGCCATTTTATTTCACGTGAAGGGCAATCCAATTTAGGTGGATTCGGATGTCCGTGGACGCCGGTCGCCCTGATCACGTGTGTGTCGGGGTGGAGTAGGGTGGGGTGCGGTGTGGGGTTGGGGGAGGCCAGGGAGGGGGTGGGGGTGACCTTTGACCGAAGTGACGCAAGCTCATTAGCTGCATAATCGGAAGTGCCCACCCTGCCGTTTTGGCTGTCCACACTCCTGACATCCCCCCCCCCCCCCGCGAGGGCGCCACCAGGAGACAGGTGCGCTATAAATAGGTTGAGTATAGCGTGCAATTTACGCACTCTCGTCTCGTGCGTACTATAAAGTCAGTTTTCTCCACATTCGGACTGATTTGTCTCGCCGTCCAGAGAGCCGCTGGACGAGTGAGCACTAACCATGAGCCGCTGGACTTCTTGGCCCGCCTTCGTTCGGGAATTGGAGCGATTCCGGAGGGTCGCTCTGTCTCTCTCGCACGCCCGCGGTCCCTGGGGCCGCCCCGCGAGTGCGGCAGAGACAGAGCGACGTGATAAGGGCCGCGGCCCTTCGGGACGGAGTCCCACTTCGGCAGGGTTATCGCTCTGATAAGGTGCGTGCCCAAAGGCCTAGCCAAAGGCCCAAAGGGCAGCCTGACCGTGCCCCGGTCGTCCTCCAAGCAGCGAGTCCAGCACAGAGTCGCCGCACTAGTCTAGACGCGTTTTGAGCTCCAGAGTCGCTAAATGGTACTCGAACCGAACGTGTGACCCCACCAATGGATTGCTCTCCGAACGAGGAATCCATCGGTGGGGTCACACGTTCGGTTCGAGTCCCATTTAGCGACTCTGGAGCTCGAAACGCGTCCAGGATTTTGTCCGCCTCCACCGGTCTTCTGGCCCACTGTGCCACGCGAGGCTTGGCGGTTCGAACGCCCCCTTTTCCGGTCCAGGGCGCCGCGCCACGCCGAGCCTCGCTGAACGGACACACGTGTGCGTCGGTCCAAGCGCACTGCCCGCACTGCCCCGTTCAAGGCAGTGGCCGTGAGCGCCCAGCAGCTCCGTTTCGGCCCTCTCCGCTCCATTTTGGAGTCAGTTCCAGAACTGAACGAAAGCGGCCTCGTCGAGTGCGTGTAGGGCCGGCCAGGGCTGGCACCCTCGAAGTATGACGTCCAGAGGGCGGCCAAGCAGTGCATGTGCCGCCCATGTACGCTTCAAGGACGCCCCCCCTCCCCCTTCCCTCCGCGACTGGGGACACGGGGGGCAGGATCCCCAGGGGCAGTTGTAAGTGGACCTTGACGTCAGTGCTCGCTGCCGCGAGGCCGCGATGCCGCGGGGTGGGAGGGAAGCTGCGGAATACATCCGCGCCGTCGCAACCCATTGGTGGGGTCACACGTTCGGTTCGAGTCCCGTTTAGCGACTCTGGAGCTCAAAACGCGTCTAGAGTTTTGGCCGCCTCCACCGCTCTTCTGGCCCGCTGTTGACCGCCCTCTGATAACCCCGATAATCGCGTTGCTGGTGCGAGTTGCGCCGGCCTGGGAATCTCGCGTCAGCCCTCAAGGGATTCGGTGGTGAAGTGCCGGGGGGGGGGGGGGGCTATGATTGGGATGGAAGCAACATATGGTTGGCTGTGGTGCTGCCAGGAACTCCCGTTCCGAATATACAGCAGCGGCGGCGCCAGGACCGAAAGGAGGAAAACGCATTCTACTTGATATGGCGGCCAGAAAGAAAGAGAGACAGAGAGACGGGGAAAAAATGACGCATCTGTTGACGATGCACGATGCATGGGAAGCCGACGGTACTCCATGGAATGCAAGTCGGAAGCGGCTTCTTCAGCCGTTCGGAGATAGTATACGGTCCTTAGACTGTCTGGTGGTCAAAAATAGCCTCGTCGCAGCAGGTGACTTCGAGACAAGTGCCATTGCGGCGGGGTTGAAAGTGAAGCCTGGTGTCCCGGAGGATATCAACAAAATATCTGTCAATTCAATTTAGGCTTTAATTTGGAATTAATTCATTTTTGAGAGGTTGTGGGATGACAATCGAAATTTTCTCAACAGGAGTATAAATATGTTCCAGCTCAGCGGCCCCTGCAGTGTGCCAGCCATGGGGAGCTGCGGGCCTTACAACTGGACGCAGCACGAGCAGCTGCTGCAGCTGGGGGACCTGCAGGTGCAGCAGCAGTTCCTGCAGGACGCCCACCCCACACTGTACTCGCGGACCGCCTCCCTGTTCGCCGCGGCCTGCGCCATGCTGTTCTCGCTGGTCGGCGTGCCAGGTAGGGCCTATCCCGGACGCGCTTTGAGCTCCAGAGTCGCTGAATGGGACTCGAACCGAGCGTGTGACCCCACCAATGGATTGCTCTCCGAACGAGGAGTCCATTGGTGGGGTCACACGTTCGGTTCGAGTCCCATTTAGCGACTCTGGAGCTCAAAACGCGTCCGGGGTTTTGACCGCCTCCACCGGTCTTCTGGGCCACTGGGCTTACTGTACTGTCCCTGCGGCAGGCAACCTGGTGACGGTGCTGGCGCTGGCGCGGTCGCCGACGCTGCGCGCGCACGCCACCACGGCCTTCATCATCTCGCTGTGCGCCTCGGACCTGGTGTTCTGCCTGCTGTGCCTGCCGCCCACGGCGGCGCGCTTCCTGCTGTCGCGGTGGCCGCTGGGGCCCGTGGCGTGCGCCGTGTTCCCTCTGCTGTTCTACGGCAACGTGGCCGTGTCCGTGCTCAGCATGACGGCCATCGCCGTCAACCGGTACATCCTCATCATGTGGCACAGCGTGTACGCGCGGCTGTACTCGCGCGCGCACATCCTGCTGATGGTGCTGCTGGTGTGGGTGGCCGGCTTCTCGCTGCTGGTGCCGCCGCTGGTCGGCGCCTGGGGCTGCCTCGGCCTGGAGCCCCGCTCCTTCAGCTGCACCATCCTCAAGAAGGACGGCGCCTCCCCGAAGAAGCTCGTGTTCGTGGTGGGCTTCGCGCTGCCCTGCACCGTCATGGCCGCGGCCTACTCGTGCATCTACTGGCGCGTGCGCCGCTCCAGGGCCGCACTCAAGGCGCACGGGTGAGTGGCCACACAGTGGATTTGCCAGAGGACCGGTGGAGGCGGCCAGAACTCTAGACGCGTTTTGAGCTCCAGAGTCGCTAAGCAGGACTCGAATCGAACGTGTGACCCCACCAATGGACTGCTCTCCGAACGAGGAATCCATTGGTGGGGTCACACATTCGGTTCGAGGCCTGCTTAGCGACTCTGGAGCTCAAAACACGTCAAGAGTTTTGGCCGCCTCCACCGGTCTTCTGGCAAATCCTCTGTGCAGTGTGTCCAAGGGGCGGCGACGTGCTGCCGAAGCTTGTTCTGATCCAAGCCGACCCTTTTTCGCGGCAGGGCGTCGGGCTCGAGGCTGTCCCTGGAGGCGGTGCGGGCCGCGGGCAACGCCATCAACAAGAACCTCAAGGCGGCCGCGTCCACCAACAAGACGGGCTTCCGGCGGCGCGACGACCGCCGCCTCACCAGGCTCATGCTCACCGTCTTCTGCTCCTTCCTCGTCTGCTTCCTGCCCCTCACCCTCGTCAACGCGGCCGACAACCTGGTGAGTCCGCAATCCATCATCTTCCAGACATTTGACTTGAGAAAATGGAAAGAAAAATTTGTGGTAGAAATGTGGGTGGGTCTACTGAGAGGTGGGTCAACCGCCGCATTGGTCCTTCCCCGCTTGACGCACTTCCGCTCACTTCCTGCCGCAGGGGGCGCCGCCGACGCTGCAGCTGCTGTCCTCGGTGCTGGCCTGGGCCTCGGCCGTCATCAACCCCTTCATCTACGCGGCCACCAACAGGCAGTACCGCGCGGCCTACCGCCGTCTCTTCTGCGGCGCCGACGCGCCCATGGCCAGCGCGCCGTCGCCGCGCACCAGGCTGCACACGCGGAGGCCCACGTCGGACTCGGGCTCGGCGACGGCCACCACCGGCGGCAGGGCCGTCTAGGCCTCGCACAGTGCGCCAGAAGACCGGTGGAAGCGGACAAAACTCTAGACGCGTCTTGAGCTCCAGAGTCGCTAAACGGGGCCCGAACCGAACGTGTGACCCCACCAATGGATTGCTCTCCGAACGGGGAATCCATTGGTGGGGTCACACGTTCGGATCGAGTCCTATTTAGCGACTCTGGAGCCCAAATCGCGTCTGGAGTTCTGGCCGCCTCCACCGGTCTTCTGGCGAATCCACTGTGCCTCGTCCGGCCTCGGCCACATGCTGAGTGGCCCCAAGGACCCCGTGGCCAGGCCGGGTCGTACAACGTCGGCGACCTCGGCCGGCAGAGCAGCACTGAGAGACTCTGAGGACTGAACGCCGGGCAGGTAGGCAGCCCAACCTCCACCCGCGCGTGTTTGGCTGCGTGCGGAACCCGAAGGGCGCTGAGGGCGCCGAGAAGACCGACTAAACTTCAGATCGTTCCTTCTCGATCCGCGCGCCGTGTTCAACAGACGGGCTGGATTTCTAGAACTGTGATATTGTGTTGGGATGACAAAGAGTGTTGTTTTCACAACGGTGTTGACTGTGGATTTACTGCTGTGTTTGTTTATTCGACACCATCGCCGCTGAGCGCGATCGTGGCACTGCAAAAACTACTCGTAACATGCTCCTTACGCTGAATGCCAAAGATTATAGCTTCCAATTGATTGAACAAGATTTATTTTGTCTCGGCCTGCTCTTCGAGGCTCACTTCCTCTTGACGGTGGCCGCGATGTAGGCCCTGATGTCGGCGTCGGCCAGGTTGGTGTAGACGCCGGGGTGCTTGGCCTCGGCGCAGACGTCGCCCCACGACACGATGCCGTACTGCACGTCGGCGCGGCCGCGCTGGACGCTCAGCAGGGGGCCGCCGGAGTCGCCCTGGAGTCCGACATGCACACCGAGTACAGTGACTGACGGGAGAGGTCAGGCAGCCGCAGGCAGCTCGGAGGGAAATGGACGACTCACCGTGCAGGAGTCCTTCCCTGGGTTCGCCGCGCAAATCATGCGCTTGGTCACCGCCCTGGTGCCCTTGTAGTCCTTGGCGCACGTGGCCGCGTCCACCACGGACACCGTGGTCTGCCTCAGCCGGTGGGGGTACTCGAACGCCAGGGACTGCCAAGCCGTGCAAGCCGTGGTTCGACTCCCGCTCGGAACCCAACGTGTGACCCCACCAATGGATCGCGCTCCGAACGAGGAATCCATTGGTGGGGTCACACGTTCGGTTCGAGTCCTGTTTAGCGACTCTGGAGCTCAAAACGCGTCTTTTGGACTTACTCCTGGATGCAGTGCGCGGCGCTCAGGATGTTGTAGTGGTTGAGGATGGTGCCGCCGCACTTGTGGAACCATTTGGGCGCGAACGTGTAGTACTCTTCCACCGACACCTTCGGAAACACGGCAGACTCTTTGCATTTCCAGCGAGGTTCCGAAGAAAGGTCTGTCTGTGTTCGTGGGTCCGCAGCCAGCCCCCCAGCTGTCTCTCTCTGCTCACCATGTAAGGGTGCGCGAGGATGGTACTTGCAGAGCCGCCAACAATCTTCATTTCTCCGATGTTGATGCCCAGAAAACTGGAGGATGATCTTCTTGGAGTCAGGAAAAGGTTCGACCCTAAAAAAGTAAAGCTGCTGGAAAAGGCACATTTTCCGAAACCCGGTCGGCGCTTAAGTTGCCATATGGGCCCTTGGAGCGCCGAGAAGGTTGCCCTTTTCCTCCTGAGAAAAAGAGCAGTGATTTGCAGTTTCGAACCTCCTGCGCTGACCATCGCGGTGCACCATAGGGTTGCCAACAGGCTCGCGAACGCGGCGGGAGCCATGGCTGGTGGCCCTGCGTTGGTCTGCGTTGGTCTGTGGGGGACGCGTGGACACTCTAGCTCGGGGGCAGCGGCGGTATAGGACTTGCTGTAGACTGTCCCGATGGGGCGCAGCCGAGCCACATTTATGGGAAAGCGTGACCACCGAAATGAAGCCGTGACACACCGTGGATGGCCAAAAACAAGAAACAACAACAAAAGCCCACGATGCCCTCTTAAGTTTTGCAATCAACAGACACTATAGTGTGTTCACGACGAGGACGTCAAGCGCATGCCAGCTGGGCACGGTGGACTTCCCCCCCGAAACCGCTACCATTCTTTTAAAGCCCAGAATGGCGGGAGAAGTCTGACGTGCGAGGGAAACACATCTATATACCTGTGCATTTTAATTTTGTTTCCAATCGCGGAAGGCGCAGTCGTGCCCAGGTCATCAGTGCACCCCGACGTGCAGGCGGGAAATTGGAAATCGGAGGCCGAAGGACAAGGACGCCCCACATTGGTTATCAGAAACGTGTTGCTTTGGTGGAGGCGTCACTTCGAGACGAAACTATTCTCGTTTCCCACTCACACTGGTGAAACAAAGGCATTAAAATTATGCCCTTTAAGGGCGTAAACGATTTACGCCCTTAAAGGGCATAAATCGTTAATGCCTTTGGGAAGGACATTAAAATTTTGCTTGAAATTCCTATTCCATTTACGCCCTTCCCAAGGGTTATAAACGATTTACGCCCTTGCAAGGGCGTAAAAGAGTATTTATGCCCTTAAGGGCGTAATTTTTATGCCTTTGTTTTACCAGTGCACTAGCTTCCCTTCGTGGACCGCACTCCAGAAAAGGGTTGCATTCGAATAAAAATTGTGACGACATTTTAAAACCAAACCTAACCTAACCTAGCCTAAACTAACCTAACCTAACCAAACCATTCGACTGGTAACTGATATAAAACAAGAAAAGACAGAAAAAAAAACAGCAAGAAAAAACCATCATACAGCACTTTTATTTTCACGGAGGTCGACACATGTCGGAAGTCATACCCGCGAAGGTATGGCACGTGTATGATACACACAGCAGGAAACAAAAGGTAGGAAACTTTGGCGGAAACCGAGTCCGTGCTCCGGGCTGCTCCGGGCGGCCGCAACGCTCTGCCCGAGTGAATTACATTAATGAATTAATTACCGTCGCTAAGTGCGCCCCTGCCTCTCGTTTCGGAGCTAATCTTACTTGCGCTGCTCGCGTGCGGGCCGGCCAGGCCGAAGGCATTCTGGGGCCGTTCTGGAATACCATTCGGGCCGGACTTGGGACTCGGGGTGTCGGGCCTGTCCCGGCCTGTCGGCCGGGCGGAACAATCCTGGGACCCAGTCTGGCATCAGGTATTCTGAATGCGAAAATTAGTATTAAGTATCTGGCTGCAAGCTGGTGTCGGGTCAGGTCAAGTCTGTGGTCTGGGCTCAATTTGTCTAAAGGCAGAGTCGAACCAGTCAAAAATCTGTGTAAAACCAGTCAAAAATCAGGGTGAAACTAGACAACAAGCAGTTGACCCATCACTCTGACAAGCAATCTATTAACGGGGAAATACTGGAGCCCCTCCACTGCAAGTCATCCCATGCCAGATACAGTCGGGTGCGAGTCCAGCCGGCGGGTACGTACACTGTACACCCGGAGCCGAGCGAGTCCGAGTCGAGTCTGCCGAAAGGCCGAACGGACGAACGGCCGAAACGAAGGGGAACATGACCGCGGGCCGCGTCCGGGAGAGTCGGGCCTCTCCGTCGCACCCGCGGCCCGGCCCCGGCCCGCGCGCGCGAGCGAGCGAGAGGGAAGACCGCCGGCTGTCAGCCCCGGACACGGCCTAGGAAAGCACCCGCCAAGGACGTCTGCTACTGCCCGCGGCTCCACTCCACTGTTGCTGCTGCTGTTGCTCCGCGGCTCGACTCGACTCCGGAGCGCCATCCGCGGCGGCGGCACTGTCCGCGACGCGACGGCCGTCTCCGCGGACGACTCGGACGCAGCCGGCGCGCAGCTTTGGGCGCGCGGCGTGGCGGGGCGTGGCGGGGGCGGGGGGAGGGGCGGGCGACGGGGACGGGGACTGGGTGGCAAAGGTGGCCCCACAGCCCCACAGCCCCGCGCACTCCGCGCAGGCCGTGCCGTGCTGCCGTGCCCGTGCTGCTTCTGCTTATGTAGGTGATGATTACTGTTTTGGTCCAACCAAACGGACGGGACGACGGGACGGGCGGAGTGTCGAGCGTCGCCGAGAGTGTAGGTCCAACTGATCGCCTGGCGTCCGCGGCTGGGCTGGGCATTCCCGGCAGGGAGTAGTGCAGTGTCCGCGCAGCTGATTTCCCTTCCCTGCCGGAAACGGCGCGGAAGCGGGAAATGAAAATGGAAAGCCTGAGCCAGAGCCACTTGTTCCGGATGTAAACGTTGAATGCTGTCGTGTGGGGTTTTCCGCTTCCGCGACCAGAAGGCAAAAGGCGTCTGCTGGTGTTTTCGACTTGTTTTCGACTTGTGCCAAGGGCAGGACGCGAAGGTTTGGAGAGTTCTGGACGCGTCTGCCTGCCGTTTCGCACTGAGGGGCCGCGTGCGCCTGCACTGCGGGTTTGTTGGCAGAGACATAACCTCACTGTGTAACACCTGTACTAGGTTTAAGCCATTTACGGCCTAACTTTAGTGTTCCTGGTAGTGCCAATCATGCAAAGGGAAGCTCAAATTTTATGCTTCGGGATAATGTCATAATTTTGTTTAACTTCATGCCCACCAAACAGCTTAGAAAGTTGGTAATCTGAGAAAATTCTTTTTAGCCTAATATTGATTGTTTATGTCTTGCAGGATTCCACAAAATCTGCGTCTACATTAGAGGCCATGGAGCTTCTAGACTTGAATTGGGATGATGTCCTTCATCGGCATGTTCTGCCATATTTGTCCATGGCAGACTTGTTCCGTCTTCGAGCAGTGTCAACAGGTTGCCGAGATCTTGTCCACTCATACTTCTCAAATGCCTTGGAGTTAGATGTTAGTAAACACTCTGAACAAATGACGACAGAAGCTTTCAACGTAAGTTCACCTCAAATCACAATTTTTATAAATTCTTTTATTCCATGATTGTGTTTTTGGTTAATAAAATAATAATGCTTAATACAATCTAGGTTTTGGCGGCTAACACCAACAGCTTGCAATCTTTTATTGGTGATAATTGTGGTTTTTTGGAAGACTCTGCGTTGAAGCTGCTCTTTAAAAACAACCCTAAACTGAAAATTGTTCACTTGCAATGTTGCAAGCATTTAACACCAGCTAGCCTGCAACCCTTGATTCTCAACTGCAAGGTAATGAAGAAAATATTCATGTAGAAGGCAGTATTCAAAACTGACGCACATGGAAAATTTATAATTTTAATTTGCCTTTTGCAGGGACTCAAAGTTCTTAACCTTAAAGGTTGTCCATGGGTCACATCTGGTTGTCTGCAGACTTTTGCTCTTCACCAGACAAATTTGCAGGAGGTTCACTTTGAATCATGCGGCTCTTTGGATGACAATTGTCTTGAACATTTTTTTTCCAGTTTTAGCAAGTAAGTCTTTTGCCGCTTCTTATTTATTGAAAAAGAAGCCTTTTTTGTCTATTATGTTCACAATTTCTTTCTTTAGGATGCAGGTTGTTCAGTTTGCCCACCTTCATTCAGTCACTGACCGAACCCTTATGGCCTTAGCAAAATACTGCAAGAATTTAAGAAATCTCGACATTTCTAACTGCAGTCAAATAACTGACCAAGGACTAACGTAAGTGAGAAATTTTCTGTTGCGGAAACTGGTGGAATGGTATTTGAAGATGATTAATTTTTAATTTTATTCTTATTCTTGTTGTAGGGCACTGGCTAAATGCCCAGATTTGCAGGTGCTGAGGGTATCGTACTGTGCAGGTGTTCGTTCTGGAACTACAACAGAACTCTCCTCCCGGTTTGATCGAGTACGTATCGAAGATAAAAGACCACCCCCACCCCCAGGTTGGTGTATTCGATGGATGCCTCGAAATCCAGGCTGGGTCTTTCACCGTAAGAAGATGGTTCAAGCATAAATTTTCTTCAAAATTACTAACTTCCATGAAGGATGATGTACTTTTACAATGTCATTTCATATATTCTGAGATTCTTCTGCCAGTGTAGGGACCAGATAAATCTACCAGGGATCAATTAATTCATACGTGTGTCCTAAATTTGAAAGATGCTAATCAAATTCTGTTATTGCCAATTAATTTATCAAAAGAGACATAACATGACAAAAGTAACTCGTTTAGTTTTTAAATTCGGGTAATTCTTGTTACTTTGTTTTTAATTCTTTTGCTTAGCAAAGGTATTGTTTTATACTTTATGAGTGAATTGCTTAGTTAAGATGGAATTGCAAACCTTTTGTTTGTTTTCTTTGTTTTACTGATGATATTTTTCCTTTGTAATTTTAAATTCTGTGATCTAAGTTGCCATTTTAATTAAAGAGTCTATTTGTTTTGTTAATAATTACTTTTTGCTTGATATATAAGAGGGTAGCTTGCATTTATGTATTGTGACACTTCTTTTATTCCTCTCAGTTGTTGCAATTGGACTGTGTGAGCAATTGTATTTTCTCATTCATGTAGTGCTTTTCCTACCATTTCTTCAATTTTGTATATCAAACAATGATTATTGTAACTTTAGAATGTTGTGTACTTAATTTAATGCTGTAGATCAGATGTTACTAGGTGTCATATAGTGACAACTGGTTGGTTGAGGTGCATTCAAGTATTTGTGAAAATGAATGGATCTGAGTTAAGCCGTTGCAAGTATATGTGATATATAAATGAATCTTGTGAAAAGTTGTAAAGCAAGAGCCCAACCTTTTTCTTTTTATGTTATTCAAGTAACACTAAACGCCACCATGAACTGATCAAAGCAACATTAAGTAAATTATATGTTTCTTCCATTTTAGTGTTAGTAACAAATCATTGTTCCTATTGGAACACAGTGCCTGTTTTGTGTGCAATATTCACAGCTGTTTCAATGCTACTGTGTTATGTTGATTCAACAACTGCGCCATAAGGATTTGTTCAAAATGGTTATCTTAAAACCCAAGTACAAATAACATAAAATCTCCTATCCTAAAGCGATGTATTTGCTAGTGTGTTATTTTGTCTTAAATTCAGGAGTTTGAAGACCTTGCAACAGCAGACCTTTAGGTGGGTCCACCAATTCCATTGTTCTGTGGTATTATATTTCATTGTTGATTATTATGATTATGCGCCACCATCAGGCAAGATATTTTTTTAAAATGCAGTGTGATTTTTAGGGACCCAATGTCTTTTATTACATAGCTTGGTTTTGCTTTGGTTTATGTAACAATATGTGTTAAAGTGATTTGTGTGTCATAAAGGTGTATGGATAATTTGTAATTTTGGACTGGGTGTTCCGGTATTTAGTACTGCTTTGAAAGGTTGTTATAGGTTGTTATATGGAGTATTACCTGACGTATAAGTAGCAGCCATTGAACTTAAAAAGACTGTACCTTTTTGAAACTGACGAGTTTTAGGATAAACACAAGTAAGACACTCAGATCTTGGATGAATTCTTTCCAGTTGGGTTCTCTCACGTTTTTGTCCTTGCTTCATTCAACTGCATGTGTTGTGGTGAATGCATATCTATTCATTAGTATTAAGGCACGATCCATTGTGTCTACTGAAAGAAAAATAAACTGTTAATAAATAACTCAACAAAGATTGTTTCCTTCGATCCATTCCCCGGCCTTGAAGGGAATCGGCGTTGGCGCCTAGAGTGTCAACGAGTTGCTTCCCAATTTTTTTATGATCCTATTTTGATCGATTTAGGCGTGGCGGGCGAGCCTCCCGGATCGACCAATGGCGGGGCCGACCGGCGACTTGGGTCCAGCCGGCAGCCAATCAGGGCGAGGCGAGGCGAAGCGGCGAAGCGCGGGAACGGCGGCGCGTCGCGGCGCGTCAAGGACGGCAGTGACGCCGCGGTCATTAGCAAACAAAAACAACAACAAGAGCCAGCCCGCGTTTCGCGTCTGCTGCTGTTGTTGTTGTTTGCGATGCGCGCGGAAACCGAAAATAGCCCACGCACCTCTCCTCTCGAATGGCGCCATTCCGCGTGTGTCGTCCTCTGCTGCCCCTTCCGCCGCCCGAGGCTCGTTCTCGTCGCTCTGTCTCTCTCGCAACGGGGCGTTCCGTCTGGGTGCGAGAGAGACAGAGCGACGAAAGCGACTCTCGGCATCAGTCTGCAGGTGTGTTATCGTTTTGTTTGACCGGGGTTCGTTCACACTCAGACGCAGGGAGTCGCGTACACAGCGGGCCGAGCAGCGCTTTCGTCGCTCTGTCTCTCTCGCACTCACGGGGCGTGCCTTACGGGTGCGAGAGAGACAGAGCGGTGACGACAGCACGGCAGCCTTGGCACCACAAGCAGCGTGTCAATGGCTCCGGTAAAAGGCTTCGGGCCCTCCACTCCACAAGCAGGTTCATCCCGCCCAGTCGTCTGTCTCTCTCGCACTCGTGGGGCGCTTCGGAAGGGTGCGAGAGAGACGGAGCGACGAGACGCTTTTGGGAATCGCTCGGCCTGCGTACATAAAGGACAAGGCTACGCAAACGTCGGAGAGTGAGTCCTGTCTTCAGACGCGGTGTACATCGTTTGTCCGACCGACGATTGTCCGACCTGCCGAAATTTGTCCGACCTCCTTTTCCCTTAAATTTTTGTCCGACCGACGATTGTCCGATCGACGTTTGTCCGACCCACTTACACCACCACGCGGTCGGTCAGGCTGCAGCTGGAGAGCTACTCGGCGGCGCTCAATTGATCTAAACATCCGCGGCTCACTCTCTATGTCAATCAAGACTGGATGCAGGACAATCCAAAGACGTTTTAACACAAAATGTATTCAGAGTAACAGAAGTAAAATCAACACTATAAAGAAAATTTCAGCGAAAGAGGGCACCCCGGCGAACCGGCCCTCTTCCCCGCTGGCTTGGTGAGCCAGTGGTTCCCCCATCTCATCACAGGAGCAACCTCAGAGTTAAACCGCAGTGGCCCCGTCATTGGTCACGTCATCTGTGATGTGGAGGAGTCCTCTCATAGTAGGCCAGGCTGCCACCTTTCCCAGTAGTTGGGTTTCGTTCCCGGCCCCCTTCCCACTCAGGGAGCCAGGTGCGTCACCCTGCCATAACTACAGGAGCCTCTGCGATCAACCTCATGGCCCACGCAGTCGGACCACGCACTGTGAGTGTGGGGGAGCCTTTGAGTAGGCACAGGCTGGACGTTTCGCCGAGTATTTGGGTTCAAACTTCGGCCACCTTCGGCAACCAGGGCCATGGGCCTCGTAAAGGGCAGGAGTCGCCAGCCCCTGCCCAACGGCCCTGGGCTTTAGAGAGGCACACTGGACGCGCCGATTTTGTATACTTGAACCGCCTTCTTGCGATGCAAGCTTGGTCAAAATATTCACTACGGTGCTGGGTATCGAACCCCGGACCCCGCAGTCGGGACCCGACGCCTCTGCGCTCTCGGCCACCACGGCCCATGGGTGACGTTGTGCGAAGGGGAGCCTTTGAAGCCGCTGGTCCGAACCGTATAGTCAGACAAAAAGAGCGGGAAGCTAGTATTCGATCGCTCGATCCGAGTATAGGATTCAGGGATCTCAACACCTTCGGCCACCGTGGCTCGGCGGGTAAGCCGAGTGGCGCAACGGGTCCAAACCGCACCGGGAAAGCCACTCGTAAAATGTAAAGAATTGCAGGGAGTCGAACCCCAGCCCCTTAAGTCGCGGGTCAACGCCTCTGCGCGCTGAGCCGCCGCTGTTGGTCTACGAGAGGCACACTGAACGCCCCCCGATTTTGTATACTTGAACCGCCTTCTTGCGATGCAAGCTTGGTCAAAATATTCTTTACGGTTCTGGGTATCGAACCCCGGACCCCACAGTCGGGTCCCGACGCCTCTGCGCTCTCGGCCACCACGGCCCATAAATAACGTCGTGCGAAGGGGAGCATTTGAAGCTGCCGGTCCAAACCGTATAGTCAGACAAAAAGAGCGAGGAGCTAGTATTCGATCGCTCGATCCGAGTATAGGATTCAGAGATCTCAACACCTTCGGCCACCGCGGCTCGCCGCGTAAGCCGAGTGGCGCAACTGGTCCAAACCGCACCGGGAAAGCCACTCGTAAAATGTAAAGAATTGCAGGGAGTCGAACCCCAGCCCCTGCGCGTGATCATGATTTCCTCGGGATGCCACAGTGTGAAGCCAGTAGCGGTACTTACGACATACTATTTAGAAACAGCGGTGGCTGAGCCCGCAGAGGCGTGGACGCGCAACTTAAGGGGCTGGGGTTCAACTCCCTGCAATTCTTTACATTTTACGAGTGGCTTTCCCGTCGCGGTTTGGACTAGTTGCGCCACTCGGCTTACCCGCCGAGCCACGGTGGCCGAAGGTGTTGAGATCCCTGAATCCTATACTCGGATCGAGCGATCGAATACTAGCTTCCCGCTCTTTTTGTCTGACTATACGGTTCGGACCAGCGGCTTCAAAGGCTCCCCTTCGCACAGCGTCACCCATGGGCCGTGGTGGTCGAGAGCGCAGAGGCGTCGGGTCCCGACTGCGGGGTCCGGGGTTCGATACCCAGCACCGTAGTGAATATTTTGACCAAGCTTGCATCGCAAGAAGGCGGTTCAAGTATACAAAATCGGGGGGCGTTCAGTGTGCCTCTCATAGCCCAGTGGTTCCGCTGCTGGGCAGGGTGACGCAGACTCCTGAGTACCAGTAGTATGGCCCCTGAGTGGGAAGGGGGCCGGGAACGAAACCCAACTACTGGGAAAGGTGGCAGCCTGGCCTACTATGAGAGGACTCCTCCACATCACAGATGACGTGACCAATGACGGGGCCACTGCGGTTTAACTCTGAGGTTGCTCCTGTGATGAGATGGGGGAACCACTGGCTCACCAAGCCAGCGGGGAAGAGGGCCGGTTCGCCGGGGTGCCCTCTTTCGCTGAAATTTTCTTTATAGTCTTGATTTTACTTCTGTTATTCTGAATACATTTTGTGTTAAAACGTCTTTGGATTGTCCTGCATCCAGTCTTGATTGACATAGAGAGTGAGCCGCGGGTGTTTAGATCAATTGAGCGCCGCCGAGTTGCTCTCTAGCTGCAGCCTGACCGACCGCGTGGTGGTGTAAGTGGGTCGGACAAAACGGAGGTCGGACAAACGTCGATCGGACAAACGTCGGTCGGACAAAAATTTAAGGGAAAAGGAGGTCGGATAAATTTCGGCAGGTCGGACAATCATCGGTCGGACAAACGATAGACGGGGCGAAACGCCTTAGCAAGTCGGGGTAGGCAGTACCGCTCAACACGCGCGTTCGGCGGGCTGGCAGGCGTTCCGCCCGGCCAGCGCAGCATGGCTCGGCCGAGAACATTCCCACCGTGGGCCAGAAGAACGGTGAAGGCGGCCAAAACTCTAGGCGCGTTTTGAGCTCCAGTGTCGCTAAATGGGCCTCGAACCGAACGTGTGACCCCATCAATGGATTCCTCGTTCGGAGAGCAATCCATTGGTGGGGTCACACGCTCGGTTCGAGTCCCATTTAGCGACTCTGGAGCTGAAAGCGCCTCCGGGGTTTTGGCCGCCTGCGCCGGTCTTCTGGCCCACTGTGTGTCTCGCGCCGGGAGGTCAGGCAGCCCAACGTGCGCGCCGTGGCCACGAACAGTCGCAAAGTCGAGAACAAAAAGGAGAGCGTTGTGTAACGACTTTCTGGAAACGCGTTTGTGCGCCAAGCTCGGGCTGCGCCAACTGCCCTCAAAGTCACACTTCTCTGCCACTCAAAGTCCAGCTTCAATTTCTAAGAGTTTCGCTAAGTTGTTTTTAGGTCCCGCCACCGCACAGTGGGCCAGAAGACCGGTGCAGGCGGCCAAAATTCTAGACGCTTCATGAGCGTCAGAGTCGCCAAACAGGCCTCGAACCGAACGTGTGACCCCACCAATGGGTTCCTCGTTCGGAGAGCAATCCATTGGTGGGGTCACACGTTCGGTTCGAGTCCCATTTAGCGACTCTGGAGCTCTGCACGCGTCTAGAGACTTGCCCGCCTCCACAGTCTTCTGGCCCACTGTGCGGTGGCGACGATGCAAAACTGCGAAAATCGTTGGTCGCAAGACGAACAGAGATTTATCGGCGGCTCTTAAAATTTTTTCGTGCCGCGACCATTGCAGTGCAGGCACTGGCACAGGCAGGCACGTGGCCCACATCCGCCACAACCTGTAGTCTGACTCCGCGCTGTCTCTGTCGCTCCCGGGCGGCACGCTGCGGCACGCTGCGGCACGCCCTGCGAGTGCGAGAGAGACAGAGCGAGACAGAGCGCTGCAGTGCGGTAATGGCCGGTCCGGGTCTTCATTCGGACGAGCCTCGGAATTAGACGGGATGAACTCTGTCTCTCTCACGGGGCGTCCCGCTCGAGAGAGACAGAGCGCTGCAGTGCGGTAATGGCCGGTCCGGGTCTTCATTCGGACGAGCCTCGGAATTAGACGGGATGAACTCTGTCTCTCTCACGGGGCGTCCCGCTCGAGAGAGACAGAGCGCTGCAGTGCGGTAATGGCCGGTCCGGGTCTTCATTCGGACGAGCCTCGGAATTAGACGGGATGAACTCTGTCTCTCTCACGGGGCGTCCCGCTCGAGAGAGACAGAGCGAGATGCAGTGCGGTAATGGCCGGTCCGGGTCTTCATTCGGACGAGCCTCGGAATTAGACGGGATGAACTCTGTCTCTCTCACGGGGCGTCCCGCTCGAGAGAGACAGAGCGAGACAGAGCGCTGCAGTGCGGTAATGGCCGGTCCGGGTCTTCATTCGGACGAGCCTCGGAATTAGACGGGATGAACTCTGTCTCTCTCACGGGGCGTCCCGCTCGAGAGAGACAGAGCGAGCCTGCAGTGCGGTAATGGCCGGTCCGGGTCTTCATTCGGACGAGCCTCGGAATTAGACGGGATGAACTCTGTCTCTCTCACGGGGCGTCCCGCTCGAGAGAGACAGGCGAGACAGGGCTGCAGTGCGGTAATGGCCGGTCCGGGTCTTCATTCGGACGAGCCTCGGAATTAGACGGGATGAACTCTGTCTCTCTCACGGGGCGTCCCGCTCGAGAGAGGAGGAGACAGAGCGCTGCAGTGCGGTAATGGCCGGTCCGGGTCTTCATTCGGACGAGCCTCGGAATTAGACGGGATGAACTCTGTCTCTCTCACGGGGCGTCCCGCTCGAGAGAGACAGAGCGCTGCAGTGCGGTAATGGCCGGTCCGGGTCTTCATTCGGACGAGCCTCGGAATTAGACGGGATGAACTCTGTCTCTCTCACGGGGCGTCCCGCTCGAGAGAGACAGAGCGCCCTGCAGTGCGGTAATGGCCGGTCCGGGTCTTCATTCGGACGAGCCTCGGAATTAGACGGGATGAACTCTGTCTCTCTCACGGGGCGTCCCGCTCGAGAGAGGACCAGAGCGCTGCAGTGCGGTAATGGCCGGTCCGGGTCTTCATTCGGACGAGCCTCGGAATTAGACGGGATGAACTCTGTCTCTCTCGCACTCACGGGGCGTCCCGCTCGAGAGAGACAGAGCGAGACAGAGCGCTGCAGTGCGGTAATGGCCGGTCCGGGTCTTCATTCGGACGAGCCTCGGAATTAGACGGGGCGTCCCGCTCGAGAGAGACAGAGCGACTCTCGGACTGAGTCTGCAGGCCGCAAAAAAGGCCGCCGAATCATCGAAACGGAGCGGCCCGAGTGGGGGTCGAACCCGCGGACCTAGATTCGAAAACACAACGCAGTGGGCCGGCCTACAATGCGCGGCGGTTCCACACTTGCGAGTGTGGCAGTCCCGGAGCGCCCCGTGTATAGGGGTGCGAGAGAGACAGAGCGAGTCCCCAAGAGTTTGGCGGCTATTGTCCTGCTGTGACGTCACGCTGCAGTGAATGGCACTCGGCTGTCGATGTAGTTAGTGTTATTGTTGTTGTTGTGCTGGCCGAACGCATCGCGAAAACAAGTGAAGTGTAAATAGCTCGTCTCGTCGGCGGCGTCGCGTTGTCATTGGTTGACGTCGGTTTCCATGGTGACGTCGTCGTCCACAGCCAATTCGCGCCAAATTTGCCGGCACGCTCGGACGAGCGCGGCAAAGTGCGTTAGGAGGGCAAACGCCACACAGTGGGCCAGGGGATTGCCTCGAGTCAACACCACCGCCTCTCTCGCTGCCTCCGTGAACCGCAGTAAGCCGCTGAAACCCTGAATTTGCCTCGCCGCGCGCCGAGCGACAGACGAAAGCGAACGTGCTGTCTCTCTCGCACTCACCGGCCGGAAGGGGCGACGACAAGGACGACACACAGTGGGCCAGAAGGACGGTGGAGGCGGCCAAAACTCTAGACGCGTGCAGAGCTCCAGAGTCGCTAAATGGGACTCGAACCGAACGTGTGACCCCACCAATGGATTCCTCGTTCGGAGAGCAATCCATTGGTGGGGTCACACGTTCGATTCGAGACCCATTTAGCGACTCTGGAGCTCAAAACGTGTCTAGAGTTTCGTCCGCCTCCACCGGTCTTCTGGCCCACTGTGCGCTGTCGCGGACGCAGCCCCCGTCGACGCGCATTGACACATTCGCTATCTGAACCTGGTGAACCTATTTGAACAAAACGGGTAATCCCCGTCAGGCGGCGAGGAGCACTCACTAACCTCATTATTGTAGCGAGAGAGGGAGAGAGAGAGAAGAGAGAGAGAGAGAGAGAGAGAGAGAGAGAGAGAGAGAGAGAGAGAGAGAGAGAGAGAGAGAGAGAGAGAGAGAGAGAGCGCTCCCTCTGGCTTAGCCGCGCAAGCTGTACTCTTTGCAGCGCTAATCCCACGAACTCCTTATCGCGGGTCGACATGGAGCCGAGAGCACAAAGGCAGCGAGAGGAACAGAGAGGGAAGGCGAAGGCGCGTGACTTTCTGGAAAACTACGCCAAAGAAGACATCGGTGCGCGTTGGTGGCGGCCGTGCCGTGCCGAGCGCGCTTTGGTCGTGGCCGATAGACTAAACCGGACTAGTACAGACAGCGCAGACCGTGAGTCACGGAGGCTTCGTTTGTATTTATTACCTTTAACCGGACAGAGGCCCTGGACCGGGACGAACAATCATCAACTGTGTAAATCGAGAATTACAGACGGACAGAGAAACTGACTGACTGACAGACAGACGGAGGTCCATTTTATCGTCGCACCTGTGGCATGACCCGAGGCAGAAGAATGCTTCAGACTATAAAATTGGCAGCCATTATTTTCACGGTGTTACCGTCCAGTGGCAATGAATGGCGATGCAAAGGTAAAATATTCCATTCCCCGATCCCCCTCCTTTTTTCACGGTGTGCCGGTGGTCGAAGTCAGGGAGCAACTTGGCGGTGTTTAATCTAAGCCAGCTGTTCATCGGAATGACACAGCATGGCTACCTACTTCCCAAGCTCAAAAAAACAATTAGTAAAACACTCGGCAGAATATTTGAAAATTTCCAGTGGCCTGGATCCTGGCGTAGCGCCTGCGAAGCGGCAGGTAGGCAGCACCGCAGTACAGCGACGTCCCCGTCGGAGGGGATTGCCTACCTGCCGGGCGGCGTCCGCCGGCGCGTCGCCGGGCGGGCCTGTCTGTCCTCGCCCTGTCCCTCTCGCACTCATGGAGAGCGGCGTGGCGGTGCGAGAGAGACAGAGCGACTGGCTGTGCGCGCTGTGCGCCGACGCCGAGGCCGGCGGGCGGTGAGGCCGGGGCGCACCGGGGCGCCGGTACGGCATGGCGGCGCGGCGTCGGACGGCGCTTCGCGGCGCGGCCTGGCCTGGGCCTGGCCTGGGCCTGGCCTGGGCCTGGCCGGCAGCGGCAGTCGTGTAGCATCGCGGCGTCGGCAGCGCGGCAGCACGCGGCAGCCAGCCACCAAACCAGCGAAACCCGGATGCCCGCGGCGACCGCGGCGACCGCCGGGACGGCCGGGACCACAGCGATGCGCGGGTCGCGCGCGCCTCACTCCGTGTCTGTGTGACCCAGTGTGTGTGTGTGTGTCAAGTGCCAGTGTGTGTGTGAGTCACAGTGTGACCCAGTGACCGGCCATGAACCACTCGAACCACGCCGCGCCCCCGGCGGCCGCCCCCGCCAACGCCGTGCCGCCCCGCCTGTCCGGGGAGCGCCGCAACTCGGCGGCCAAGTGGTCCTTGTCCACCATCGCGGAGGCCGACCGCGCCGCCATCCTGGGCAAGAAGAAATGGCCGCAGCACGTCGCCGCGCTCGCAGGTCAGCCGCACAGTGGGCCAGAGGACCGGTGGAGGCGGCCAACACCGAGGGGTGAATCACTCAGCTTTCTGGTGTACACATGAGTACATGAGTACGGGTGAATACACCTTCTAACACTCACAAATTTCACATTTTAAACGTTTTTTTGGCTTGTTTTAACGGTTAAGATGACACACAACGCCAAATCGTGTAAAAACTGAGCGAATTTTGCTCTTTTTAAACTTGTGAGTACACTGAGTACAGGCTAATTTGTACACATGAGTACGCTTGTGATTCACCCCTCGGCCAACACTCTAGACGCGTTTTGAGCTCCAGACTCGCTAAATGGGACTCGAACCGAACGTGTGACCCCACCAATGGATTGCTCTCCGAACGAGGAGTCCATTGGTGGGGTCACACGTTCGGTTCGAGTCCCATTTAGCGACTCTGGAGCTCAAAACGCGTCGTTGGCCGCGGGGGCCACAGGGAACTCCAATGCGACCGTGCGCGCCGCTCCAGTGCACGCTGCGCACGCCGCACGCCGCACGCGCGGCTGACACCTCACGGCCGCCTGCTGCACACTGTTGCAGCGGCCGGAATCAGACTGAATCCCCGCGAGCCGCCCCGCCCGGGCTGGCGGCCAGCCGGCACCAGGAGCCGCAAATAACGTCAGCTGGTTAACTTTTGGAGACATCTTCTTGTCTGTCGATTCAAAATTTCACAGAACGACATAAAGAAATAATTTTTTTTTTTTAAAAAAAAGATAAATCCGGCATGAAACTGAACTGTTTCTGGTGAGCATCATCAATAAACGAACAAAGCCGCGATCAAAACAAAAACAAGACTGCCAAGCCTATTTAAGGATTCCCCCTCCCATTCACGGCAGCATAGCTATTACGTGCGTTCAAGTCCCCGCCGTCTTCATCAATTACTACCGATGACTGCGGAATGCGCGATCATAATAACATTTAGCAGCTATCCCTCTCTCTATTTAATAAAAAGAAAAATTCCCGTTGAAATCCTTTGAAATCCCTGCAGGCACGGACAGCAGGCACTTCGAGAAGCTTGGCGCGACCCTGAGGCGGTCGGATGTGAGAAATCCCCTGATTATTCGGGCTAATTATGGAAAACAATGAATTGAATAGACCGGAAGAGGATTAGCGCCGCCCCCACCAGAAAAATAAAAGAGTTCTATGCTTTGAACATGAGCCCATTCTAGCGGAGAGGAGAGCCGTTTTCAAAGTTCTGTCTGTAAATTCCTTAATGTGACCATCCTTCTGGTGAATATTTAAATGTATTTGCACCTGGCGCGGCGTAAAAAAAAGAGCGTAGAAAAGAGTAAAATGGCGCCAAAACTGCGAGTTTCCCGGCTGGCTCTGCCTGGAGTGCCTGGAGCGCTGGCAGGCGGAGTGGGCAGTGTTTTTCTAGTGCAGGCACGTTACGCTGACAGTGGGCCGCGTGACTCGTGACATCGCCGCAATGGAGGTTTTCGCGTCACGTGACCCTGTGACGTCACAGCTTCCGATTTTCCGTCCGTGAACCAGATCCCAGTGTGGGCCGCCTGGGCCGCCTCATCCGGTGTGTTCGAAAAACGCCATTCTAGCAGGCCGTGACCCACACAGGTGTGGCGGGACGGTGTCCTGAAGACACCGAGCGACGCCAGGGTTGCCACCAGCAAATCTGTGTCGAGTGTCGATAGGGTTGCCAACCTCAGCCTTCCCGCCATCCAGGCTTCTCGAGAAGTCGCCTGGTAGGCAGGCTGAGGTTGGCAGCCCTTTCGACACTGGTGCATCGTGGGCAACTTTCGGCTTGTGGCAACACTGCGCCAGGGACGCGGGATTGAGCCGAAAGGAAGACGATTCGGTCCCCGCGCGTCCCCGCGTCACCATTCCGAGGTCACGCAGGTGCGAGACTGGGAGGCCCGCGTCACGGGGGTCGTCCTTCTTCTGTTTGAGTCGCTCTGTCTCTCTCGCACTCCGCGACGCCCCACGGGTGCGGCAGAGACAGCGAATCAGTCTGCTCGATAGTTTTGAATAACGACGACGCGGCAGGCCATCGCAGCAGGTCGGTTCGTCTTCGTCGCTCTGTCTCTCTCGCACCTACACGGCACGCTCCACGAGTGCGAGAGAGACAGAGCGACGAGTCTCGGGGCCACGGCAGGCCCTGCGGACAGACCGGTTCCGTTCCGGGGCGCTTATCAACCTCGGGTCCATACCGTGCGAAACGCATAACGTGTTTTATAGTGGCGCTCCGGCGACCTTGGCGCTGATACGGACGGGACGGTCACTGCCAACGCATCGCACGCCGGTACACTGCCAAACGCGTCCACGCCGCACAGTGGGCCAGAAGGCCGGTGGAGGCGGTCCAAAACCCGGACGCGATTTGAGCTCCAGAGTCGCTAAATGGGACTCGAACCGAACGTGTGACCCCACCAATGGATTGCTCTCCGAACGAGGAATCCATTGGTGGGATCACACGTTCGGTTCGAGTCCCGTTTAGCGACTCTCGAGCTCAAAACGCGTCCGGGGTTTCGACCGCCTCCGGTCTTCAGGCCAATCCACTGCGTGGCGCAATGTAAGACACCATTTCCTTTTTCGTGCGCACTGCGCCCCCGACACTTTGTCATGATCGCTGTCACTAAGAGTCACGCCGCCATGGGCGCCATGGGCCGCCATCACCACAGCATCATTTCCTGCACACGACAGACTGACAGACTGGCGCCTGCAGCGTTCGCACCCGGCAGCGACCAGGGCAACCCGTCACCAGTCGTTTTCGTCGCTCTGTCTCTCTCGCTCGTATTGGGCCTCCCTTTTAGGTGCGAGAGAGACGGGGCGACGAAAACGACTCTCGGAATCAGTCAGCTGGATAACCGCACAGGTCTTGGCCCGAGGTTGGAGCGTGCCGAGCACACTACTATAGGTTTCGCGGTTTGATTTTTTTTATTAACAGTGTGGGAGTATTGTAGACTCCGTACATCGAAACGTGACCAACACGAGTGCGACCGCCCCCTCCCACGAGAGAGAGAGAAAGAGAGAGACTGCCTGAGAAGAGGGATTTCCCGCGGCGCAGAAGTTCTCGGCGCGGTCACGTCGAGATTGACATTGAAAAGGAGGATGGTGGCTCCATCTCTCTTTCTCCAGACCGGCAGGTGCGGCCAGGGGTCTTCGTTCGGCACATCGGTGCGAAGGACCCCGAATTAAAGCCTCTGTCTCTCTCGCACCTGTGCGGGACGCGCCGGGAGTGCGAGAGAGACAGAGCCAATCAGCGTGCAGCCACACACGGGTGCGGGTACGGGTCAGCCTCTCGGAACAACAACAGAGTCCTGCGCCGACCTTGGCAACGGATGCCACGGATAAGCAAGCGAAGAGAACGAAGTGAGCGCGTGCCTCGCAAACTCGCAAACGCCGCGCCGATGAATGTTTACCCCCGTTTTAGCGAATCGCGACGGCGCATCCTGAGCGCGCCCGGAGCCACACGCCGGTTTGCAAATTGAATTTCTGTTTTCCCCCTTTTTTTTTGCCGCCGCTTGGTTGCGTGTTTTGGGCCCGAGCAGTGGTGGAAAAAAAGGACAGAAAAAGTACAGCGAGCATGTCTGGTCAATTATCTGCCTGGACTTTGCCAATCACGAGGGTTCCGTTTTCCGTAACAGAGGTCCTATGGGGACTACGGAGAACCAGAATGAAAGGTCCGTACATTTCCCGCACAAACCCACGGAATATTTTGCACATGTGGCTGGAAGCACACTGACAAAGAAACGGGAGAAAAAAAAAACTGGGCTGGACAGCCGGATTGCCACGGTCAATTTGGTACAGCCTTCTCTGTTTGCTTCCTATGATGCCCGGTCTACATTGTTTCGATTTTCACTCGAACCCTGCGTGAAAGTAATCCGCATGCCTGATCCTTTTTCTTTCCCAACGGTGTCTGGAGGAGTTTCTGACGCCCCGGAGGCGGAATGAATCCGCGTTGGAAGACGCCCCTGGGTCATTAACACCGTGCAATCCTGGCAAGAAAAACGTCCCATTGCGTGACTGTACAAACTATTGCGTGACTGTACAAACTAATTAGTTAATGGCTCGCGGTACTCAATGCCAGCTGGGAGGTTGACAACCATGCATGACGAATAAGACCCCCTCTTTTTTCGCAGTGCACACGCAGAGCTCGGATTCAAAAATCTTTGTGCACGACGGTCTCTGTGGGAGGTTTTGCACTTTGAAGCCAGTCGGCAGCGACTTCGACTCTAGTAAAACTAATCCGGGAAAACGGTGCGCTAATTGTTGGCGGTGTGGTCGGGCGACGGGCGCCGCGCCGAGAGGCGTCGCGTGACGTCACATGTACAGTGTACACAGCACTGCAGCCGCCGCACTCTTAACGAAAAGCAAATCGATCGGTCGAAAATCGATCCCATTTTGTCAAATGTCTGCGAAACGAACGTCTGACACCACCAATGGATTGCTCTCCGAACGAGGAATCCAGTGGTGGGGTCACACGTTCGATTCGAGACCCATTTAGCGACTCTTGAGCTCAAAACACGTCCGGGGTTTTGACCGCCCCACTGTGAACCCTTGACTCTGCTTGCAGCCACGCTGACGTCGCTGGTGGGCGGCGCCGTGCTGGGCTGGACTTCCCCCGTGCTGGACGAGCTGCACCTGATGGGCCCCAGCGGCTCCTGGGTGGCGTCGCTGGCCCCGCTGGGGGCGCTGGGTGGCGCCGCACTGTCGGGGTGGCTGGCGCGCTGGGCGGGCCGCAAGCCCCTCATCCTGGCCCTGGTCATCCCCAACGTGGCCGGCTGGAGCGTCCTGGTGGCCGCCAGCGGTAACGTGAGTCCTTCGCTCTGTCACTCTCCGGGCTGTGCGAGTCGAGCTGGCTTTGAGGTCCTCGTTGCCCCGCAGATCGACATGCTGTACGCGGGCCGCCTGCTGACGGGGCTGTGCGCCGGCGCCGCCACCGTGCTGGTGCCCATGTACTCCGCGGAGATCTCCGAGCCGGCCATCCGCGGCACCATCGGCGTGTACCTCGACCTCAGCCTCACCGTCGGCATCCTCATGGCGTGAGTGCCCTCACATTCAGATCGGGGTTGTGCTGGCGCCTCGCCAGGCGGCGCGACTAACCGCAATGTGGTGTGCAGGTACGTGGTGGGCGGCCTGGCAGGGCAGGTGTACCTGTCCGGGCTGTGCGGCGCGCTGTCGCTGGTGGCGGCCATCACCTTCTTCTTCATGCCCGAGTCCCCCCAGTTCCTGGTGGTCAAGGGCCGCCGCGCCGAGGCGGAGGACGCGCTGCGGTGGCTGCGGACCGGGTCCTCGGCGCCCACGCCCAAGGGTGAGTCACCGCCCACAGTGGGCCAGAGGACCGGTGGAGGCGGCCAAAAAGACCCGTTTTCAGCTCCAGAGTCGCTGAATGGGACTCGAACCGAACGTGTGACCCCACCAATGGATTCCTCTCCGAACGAGGAATCCATTGGTAGGGTCACTTGCTCGGTTCGAGCCCTGTTTAGCGACTCTGGATCTCAAAACGCGTCTAGAACTTTGTCCGCCGGTGCCGGTCTTCAGTTGCCAAGTACTCCAGCGCCGCCACTCCGCCGTTTGCAGGCAGCCACCGCGTGGACGTGTCCGCCGAGCTGGACGCCATGACGCGCCTGGCCGTGGAGTCCGAGGAGCGTGAGCGCGCCTCCGGCGGCATCCTGGGCGCGGTGCGCGGGCTGTGCGGCGAGGGCAGTGTGTCGCCCACCTCCAGGGCCGTGGTGCTGGTCGTCATGCTGATGGCGCTGCAGCAGCTGTCCGGCATCGACGCCATCATCTTCTTCCTGCAGTCCATCTTCAAGAGTAGGCTCTGCGTGGATAGCCAGAAGACCGGCGGAGGCGGCCAAAATACCGGACGAGTTTTGAGCTCCAGAGTCGCTAAATGGCACTCGAACCGAACGTGTGACCCCACCAATGGATTCCTCGTTCGAAGAGCAATCCATTGGTGGGGTCACACGCTCGGTTCGAGTCCCATGTAGCGACTCTGGAGCTCAAAACACGTCTAGAATTTTGGCCGCCGGCGCCGGTCTTCTGGACCACTGTGCATCGCACTTTGATGCAGCGGACTGAGGTAATTGCGGCTATAACCCGGCGCCTTTCCCTGCCGCAGAGTCGGACAGCTCCCTGGAGCCCATGCACTCCACCATCGTGGTGGGCTCGGTTCAGGTGGCCGCCACCCTGGTGGCCGCGCTGCTGGTGGAGCGCGCCGGCCGTCGCCTGCTGCTGGGCGTGTCCGGCTCCCTCATGGCCGCCTCCCTGGCCGCCCTCCTCGTCTACTTCCTGTTCCACAAGGAGCTCGACGTAAGCCAAACGCAGCAGTTGCAGTGTAGCCACACACGGAGGCGAAAATACCCATACCAGTGTCGAAAGGGCAGCTTCTCGAGAGCAATGCCGGGGTGCTGCCTTGTGGGCAGGCTGAGGTTGCCAACCCTTTTAACACCGGTGCATCGTGGGAATTTCTGCCTACTTGTGCGGCAACAGTGAACTGTTTCAAGCTGACCTAACCTAACCTAACCTAACCTAACCTAACATGTCCCTTGCATTGCTTGCAGGTGGACCTGAACGCCTTCAGCTGGCTGCCGGTGAGCTGCCTGTCGGCCTTCGTGTTTGTGTACTGCATCGGCTTCGGCCCGCTGCCCTTCCTCATGATGGCCGAGTTCCTGCCGCTGGAGGCGCGCTCCTGGGGCTGCGGGCTGGCGGCCTGCGTCAACTGGAGCCTCATGTTCGTGGTGGTGCGCGTCTTCAACCTGCTCATGAACAACATCGGCGAGGCCGCCACGTTCGGCATCTTCTGCGCCATCTGCATCCTCGGTACACTGTTCGTGCTCACGCTGGTGCCCGAGACGCAGGGCAAGACGCCGGCCGAGATCCGGCAGTACCTGCAGGACCGCGAGATCCACACCGTGACGCGCAGGGTGTCCACGCCGGGCGGCGTCGTGTGAGGCGCTGCTTTGCGCTGCTGCAGCTCACAGTGTAGCCAGCCACGCAAGGCGAAAATCCCCACCATGCACCAGTGTCGGAAGGGTTGCCTGACAGGCAGGCTGAAGTTGACGGTGCATAGTGTTTTTTTTTTTTTTTGCGTGGCAACACTGGAAGCACACGTGTGTGCTCGGCTCGGACCCACCAGTGGAGAGCTCAACCACCAATGTGGGCCTGTGTGTGTGAGGCTTGGTGCGAAGCCACGTGGGATGTTTTTGGCGACTCAACTCGCGTCGAATGCATCCGTTTCGTTTGCGATGCTCCCCCTCCCTCTTCCTTTCCCACCTCTCGGTGGCCCCTGTAGCACCTAGTCCACCTCCAGGAAGCACTAGTTAGTAATGATTAATGTTAAGGATCTAGCCTTTGTAGTCTATGCAATAAGAGCCGTGTGTCAAAATCCCACAGTTCACGACAAGATTCAAAAAGTTCTTAGTACACTCCAGCAGGAGGGGTGCACTATCCACACTTTGTTTCTTGCAGTGAACAAAAGACATTGTGAATGTGAATATTTTGTATAAATGTTGTGTAAGAGTGTATGAATGATCGAGCTCCTTGCTCTACTTTATCGAGCCCGTGTAATTTTGTGTTGGTGCCAATGACTGTTGCTTGGTTTCTTCGTACAGTGCGCGTGGAGATGTGAGGTTTGTTGCAGGGCCAAAGAACTGTATATTAAAATAATGTTCTGAAACTTTACTCTCGAATTTTTACCGAAACCAGTTTTAAATCCCACCACCACCACACTGCAAGGAATATGATAAACCAAAACCTCACCTGCAAACATATATACCGAACGGAGCCTCAGGCCCCCTAGGGTAGGCCGGCCCGGCAAGCAGGCGTGTCGTGTGCTGCCTACCCTCAGTCTCGCAGGCGCCTTACGACCCTAGGGTAGGCCGGCCCGGCGAGCAGGCGTGTCGTGTGCTGCCTACCCTCAGTCTCGCAGGCGCCTCACGGTCTTAGGGTTCAAGCAAAGCCTCGTCAAATTCCAAATCAACTGTCACTGGAAACAGGACACAAAATATAGAATTTGAAAGCTGGGCTCTTCGCCGCTAAAATGCAGCCAACATAAAACACAAAGAAAGCAACAAATTTTTAACCGGGGACGGGCTTCTGGTCAGATTGATGCGGATTTAATTACTTTTTAATATGATCATGATGTTCTTTCCACATAGAGACATGTTTGCCGCAATACAGCGTACCCGAGTGAATCACCGATGCGTAGGTAGTAGGTTGGTAGCTTTTTCATTCAATACACTGTATGAGAAATTTTTGACTCGTTTCATTTGTGCATCATCAAATCAAGTTCGCCGACAGTGAGAGTTGGATTTCTAATTTATTTTTATAGTTGTTCTACCAAAGCACTACGATGGATCCGTGGAACCAAGAACTCAGCACTGGTGTAAGTTTTCTTTGTGCTTTTCAGTTAAAGAGCTTATCTGTTTCGAGCAGTCGGAATCCCAATTGGTTTGTTGTTAGAGGTTATGTGTCAATGCTGAATCATTTGATGTTTATGTCACTGTCGATTTTCTCATTCGTGTTCAATAAATGTTTCGATCATTATTTTTGCTTAGTATTATAAAATTTAATTTATGTTTCATTGGCTGCGTATGTCTCTTCTTCTATTCGTCTTTTGCTAAATAAGGCATACATTTTATCTGTCGCTGTCGCTGTGATGCCTCAACATTTTAAGCAATTTTCACTTTTCTTTGCAGACATCCATCATGGCTGTTGAGTTTGAGGATGGTGTAGTGTTGGGCGCTGACTCCCGGACAACTACTGGGTAAGTAAGATTGAGGTGGAAAAGTCTCTCTCATCCTCGTAATCAAGTTCACAAGATTGGCATTTTTAAGTGAACTAATTTCTTTTGTTTCCTTTTTTAGTGTTTACATTGCCAACCGTGTGACTGACAAGTTGTGTTCCATTTCTGAGAATATCTATTGCTGTCAGTCTGGTTCCGCTGCAGACACTCAGGCCATCTGTGATATTGTTGCTTACCATCTTAAATTTCACCAGTAGGTATTTCTTGGGTGAAAACTAAGCTCTCCTTCATCTCATGTCTCTGTAAAATCTATTAAGTTATTTTTACTAAAGTAATATTTATGATGTACTCTCATTTCAGAATGGAGCTAGGAGAAGAACCACGAGTTGAAGTTGCCGCTAAAATAATGCAAGAAATTTGCTATGAATACAGAGATTCATTGATGGCAGACATTATCCTTTGTGGCTGGGACAAGTACAAAGGAGGACAAGTAAATTACATTTTTCTTATTTAAATTGATGAGTGGTATTTCAATAGGAGGTCACTGCCTCATTCTAAATATTTTTGTGTCCAGGTTTTTGCCATTCCTCTGGGAGGCATGATCTCAAGACTGCCAGTGGCTATCGGGGGTTCGGGAAGTACATACGTCTATGGCAATGTCGATGCTGAATTCAAGCCTGGCATGACCAAGGAGCAGTCCCTTAAGTTTGTCACCGAAAGTAAGTACTTTATTTGCTTTCAATATTTCAGTTGCCTGGCCCACAGGTCAAGGATTTTTCAAGAGCAAAGGGGACATCTGTTTTAAATTTTGGGAGCAAATCAAACTTTTGGCAAATAACCTCTTTTGCTGGGCCTTGAGCTTGGTTGGCAAAACCACTGCATATTATTGTCAGGATGGGCCAAAGTCTATGACATCACTTTTTTGTGCACTGTCTCTGATATAATGGGTTCCTCCTCTTCCACTTCAGCTCTGACGTGCGCAATGGCCCGGGACGGCTCAAGTGGTGGAGTTGTTCGTCTAGCAGTTATCACAAAGGCCGGTGTGGAGCGTCATGTGGTCTTGGGTGACCAATTGCCACGATTCTTTGAAGGCTGATAAAAATTTTCTCGTGTAAAACCTTAACACTTACCAGAACCTTGTATATCGATTGATTCAATAAATTTTATAGCTAAGTAATTGAAGTTAATTTGTTTTTATTGAATACCAAAGCTTGCTGGGAGGTCTTCTTGAAAGACCAAAATGTACTGTACTGCACTGCACTACAAAAATGTATGAGAGGAAAGGTTTTCTATTAAAACTACATTTTTTAATTGATGAGAAATTCTTTTAGTCTTATAGAAGTCTTTTTATGTCTCTCTGCAGAGCTGACACTTAAAGGAAAATTAAATCACAGCCATAAGGGTAGCAAAAGTAAACAGTAAGACATGTTAAAAATATCACAAAATAACACACACAGTGGTGTGAAGTTTCTTATGAAGATGATGATTGATCTTCGAACGGCATTCTTTGAGGAGCAGGAAGTCTTCGAGAATATCACATTGTCGCAGAAGCTGGACCTTGCGTATCACTTCATCCCCTGACGAACAAGGAAAAAGAAACTTTGCTGAGTTTGTTCTGTTGGTAACAGATAGTGCCAGAAAATAGAGAAAATTACTGCTTACCGGTATTTCGATTGAGAGGCCTGGAACGGCCATCAGCTGATCGCCGACTTGAACCAGTATGTAATGGGGCTCCCATTCGTTGGAGCCAACAGACGACGTAGTCAGTGAAGATTCCGAGGGCCTCGACTGACTTCCTTCTTCATTATTAATGCAGACATTTTCAACAGTAGGTTGAAACGGCTCTGTCTCCTTGATTCCACTTGCTGTATGAATGGTTCCATCCTCTGACGGCTCAATTGATGAAGATTCCAAAGTCCTCGATTCACTTTCCTCTTGATTAATAATGTAATCCTCTTGAACAGTGTGATTAACTCCCTCTGCCTTCTCATTGGGTGAAATAGCTGTATTTGCTGATGGCTCGTTTGATGAAAATTCTGAGATCATTGACTGCTCTTCTTCGTCTGTAATGTAGTCCTCTTGGAGAATACGTATAATTACATCATTCTCCTTGGGTGAAACTGCAGCATGAAAAGCTCCATCTGTCGTTGACTCATTTGAGAAAAATTGTGAGGCCAAAGACTGACCTCCCTCTTCATTACTGATGTCGTCCTCTTGGAGAATATGAATAATCACATTTGACTCGGTCTTCTCGGGTGAACAAGCTGCTTGAACAGCTCCATCAGCTGATGACTCATTTGATGACGATTCTGAGGCTGTAGGCTGACCTCCTTCATTAGTAATGAAGTCCTCTTGGAGAATACGTATATGCACATTATTCGACTTCTTCCTCTCCTGTGATGCTGGAGGATTGCGAAGGGCTCTATACTGCTCCGTTAGCCTCCACTTCTGCATTAGTTCATCAGAGATAGGAATGTGGCCTTCATGAAACTGAGTGGGCACTGCAGGACCCGACACACCCCTTTTGAGAAGCTTAAATTTGGATTTAGTACACACTTGTTCAGGAAGGAAATGTTTTTCGCAGAAGCGCATGTTGTTCCCCAAAAAATGGATTGGTAAGTCAAGAAGCTCAGGGTTACCGGTAAGTTGAAGCCATTTCTCAAACCTGCAAAAATTAGACATTTCAAATAAATTTTGGCACTGCATAAAAAATAAGCGACTGCAAATACTAGGTTACTCACGTCGCCGCATGCTTGGGGACGACAAACAACGAAGTTCCTGGCGCGGCACACTTCTTCTGATTGATGCACCCGACGACTCGACATCTGGGGCCCTGCCTCACTGGCATTTGCGACAGTTTTGTCAAAGTTTGACGTGAAAACTCGCAATAGAGCACCCAGCACAAACACGATAACAAACAAAAACAAACCTTTCTCCCTCCCCCTCCCTGCCCCTTCTCCTTCTTTCTCTCTCTCCCCCCCCCCCCCCCGTTCCCCTCCCCCCTCCTCCTCTGCCCTCTTTGAATGCATCACCACCGATGCCCGACTTTACCCGACCCGACTTTACCGTAATGCCGTAATGTTGAGAAAGCAGAAAGCCCCACTAGAATTTATCGAAGGTAAACATCCTAGCTCTATGATCCTTCCCCTCAGAAGTCGCCCTTCCCGGATTCTAGATGTCTTGGTGACAGCTCAGCTCAAGTGCATTCAAGTATTAAAGTGGCTATCTAGTTAGCATTTCGACTTCGCCTCTTGTCATAAACGGGGCCTGGGTAAAGTGTTGGGTGTGCCGTGTGCCGAGCGCCGTGCGATGCGCTTGATAGCAGCACTACCACCACGGTTCACTTGAATGCACTCCCTTTTTGGGGGTTTGTTGAAAGTAAAGGGAAAAAGTCTAGACACAGTTTACAGTTACTGTTGCTGTGCATCAAGTCTGTACAGGTTATATCAAAAGCTAGTTGTCCGCCTTGCCTGAGAAGTAACAGGTGCATGGTGCGATAAAGTGCAAGTGAACTATTTCATACATGAACTTGGATATAGACCTCCTCTTAAGTCTGTTTTTATGAAGGGATGTAGTGGACACTACTTGCATCGGCCAAAACATTTTGGACTTTGAAATTTGATCTTTGAGTCGACTTAGTTCCTGATGAAAAATTTGAATGTGTTTCAGATACTGACTCCACAAGATGGTTGAATGCGTGATAGTTAGGACATTCTAAGAAATGCAGTCTGTGTCATCTACCAGTTCCTGGTGCGGCAACTTGCACCAGGCTCAACAGGTGGCTGCTCAAGGATTGCAATGGGCCTTCGGCTGCTTGCCATGCGTGAAAGGACAACACCGAGTTCATCCAACCAACCTCGAGTCTTCCAATGTTTTATATGTAGTAATCGATGCAAAGAAGCGATTGAGGATTCTTCACATTCTGCCAGACTCGGACAGCAACCTTCCAAAAGTTCAGACCAATTCAACAGACCAGGTTGATTTAGCAGACCACTGCAGTTTAGATAGCTCTGGAGGTGACTACTGGTTCATGCGCTGGAATCGCCCAATTCGACCTAATTTTCAGCGGAATTTATGCAATTGTTCCTTTCGGAGATCACAAAGTAGATCAAAATCAGATCTCAAGGAATCAAAGTTGGAGAACAATAATGATAGCAATGTCTTATCGACACTGGAAGAAACAACCAATTTGCAAAACTCAGTAGAAAATACGTCCACAGAAAAGAGTTTGTGTGACTTGGCAGAAAAAATATCACAGGATATTTTAGATGAAGCTGTTCAAAAAATATCGGAGATTAAAAGCAGCTCAAGCAGTCCGTCCATGTCCTCCAAAGCTTTTGAACAAAAGGAAGTCAATGATTCATCTAACCACTGTGATAATGTAGATGTGCAGGATGTTGAACTGACTGTTCAGGAGAGTCAATCAGACTTTGGTGGGTATGTTAACCCAGTGTTCATAGCATCTAATGACGCTTTAGATTTGATTCCAAGTGATGAAACACCAAAAGAACCCTGTGATACTCAGACTGTTACTGAAGATAACAAAGTAATAGCAACCAATCCAGAAGCCTTCCTCAAGGATCATCAGGACTACAATGCCAATGATCATAAGCAGCAAGCCTTTGAAAAGAGTGATGATAAGCCAAATCAAAATGTAATGTCGTTGAAAGGGGAAAGTCGAGACCGCAATAAACACAGAAAATCTTGCCTTGCTAGCTTCAAAGCTCAAGTAAAGGTAAGCCAACTAGCTGTAATTTAATGGTGTAAGATGTTTTGTCAAATTATCTTTGTTTACTTCTTGTTTTATAGAAACCGTTGCTGCTGTTGATTCATGGAGCAGGCAGTAACTGTGAGGTTTGGCAAAACTTGATTTCTCATCTTGTTCAAGGGGGCTATGAGTGTTTAGCACCTGACCTTTTAGGGCATGGGCTCTCCTCTGCTCCGGATCATGCCAAATCGTATACTTTCCATTCTTACTTACAAGATCTCCTGTTTATCTTTGACCGGTTTGTTGCTGAAGGGAGGACTGCCGTTATTTTAGGACATGGCTATGGGTAAGTTCTCTCATTCAAAGCCCATTTTCATTTGTGATTATGAGCCTGTTAGATCCACAGTGACAAGTGTATTGTATTGCAGCTGCAGTTTAGCTGCTGCCATCGCCCGCTACCGTCCAGAACAAGTGATCCAGCTGGTCCTGATCAGTGGAGGTGGGCCCACCCCTTTGGCACCAAGGATTCCACCCTCAGTCTCACCGTGTCTCAGGGCTTGCCTGGAGCCGCTCCTCATGTGTGGCTTCAAACGGTAAATGAACGGGGAAAAATTAAGATGAAACTTAATTTTAACAATGCTTGCCAAACCTGTGGGGAAGAGTGAGCTACAGCTGAAAGTTAAAGAATTTCACTGTTATTTATTGTTCTAGAGATGTGGTGTACTCCGTGTGCGGCAAGCAGATAGAGCCAATATCTCCTGAAGAAAGTGGTGTTCCTCGTCACATTGTTGGACACATATCACAAGGACATGTTTGGCCTGAAGGCGATGCAGCCTTTCACCGACGTATTGTTGCCCCAACTTTATTGGTGCATGGTATGAAGGACCAGCACATTACCCTAGTACAAGAGTGTGAGATGGAACGAGTATGTATTTTTTCCCTAGATTAATAATTCATTCTTTTGTACTTAGATCAATTCTTTACCCTCATGATATTTTTTTCTGTCTTCTTGCAGACAATTCCCCGCTCTTTTCTTGAAGTCATACCAGAAGCTGGGCATTGGGCAATGCTTGAGACCCCGACTCACTTAAGTCATATGATTTTATGCTTCATCGATTGGTGGGCTCCACCAAATCGCACTCAGTAGCTTCATACCTTGCCGTAATCTATTAGAAAACTGCTTAATTGTTTTTTTTTGTTTTAAACTTGCCTCAATCAGGAGAACAAATGGTTGTACAAATTATTGTATACTTACGGCAATAGCTAAGTCAAAGGCTTTGCTTTTTTTGAAGGGAGGAAAAAGTCAGAAAATAATGTTTTAAAGATTACATCATGAAAGTAAGTTAGCAACATGGCTTCCCTCGTATAGTAGATTGTTGTTGTTTTAGACCTCTAGTTTGAAGTGCCAAAACAGAATCAGAGGCTGACACTAACATATTTTTCTCCCCTGTACATTACAACTACTTATAATCCTAGTATTATTTTTTTTATGTTTGTTCTTTTTGTTTGTAAATTTTAAGGCTGATCTTCAAATACCAGTTATAATAACTATTTTTTTGTCATTTTCAATTTTAGCATGTATCATATGTTTGTAGATTTCTCCCCTAAATTGACAATCCATTCCAATTTTTTTGTCTTTTTTATTCTATGACTTTGTCTTTGTTATTCTGTGACTGGCTTGTAATTGTTTTGGTGATATATTTTCATGAAGTGTAAATTCTAGTTTTGGGATTGTGTATTGACAGTACAATCAATGGGTGTTGAACAAAGTGTTTTGATTAATGTTATCCTTTGTGGATCTTTTACCTTTGAACTGTGCCTTTGTTTTACACCGATGAAAGTGTTTCTGTAGCAAAGTTGCCACGGATAAACTCATATCATAGCTCTAAGATTTGAAAGACTGCCTGGATTGATACTGTTTGAAAGCCTGATGTTGCATGTTACTGGTGTATATTTTTAATATTGTTCATTTGTACCAAAAATTGTATATTTGTTTTATGAAATTTGAGCAAGTCTCATTGAAAGATATCATTGTCTATATGATAAGTATTTCAAATTTTTTCTTTGTAGTTTTTATTATGATTTTTGTTGTTGTTGTGAAGAATGTCTTTTTTTTGTTGAATTTGTATTTCACCAATACAGTATATGATAGCTTTGAATAAGCTTAACTTCATAAAGCAGATTTTAGGTATCTTTGATTTCTTTATCCATAGCACTTAATCTTGGTTTATCTTTTACCTAGTCTGAGCTGCGAGAAGTGCCTGTATACATGCCTGGATTGTATTATGTCTTTGCATTACTGCAACCTACTGTAAATGTTATAGCTGCTCAAAAAACTCTTAAAATTACCATGGAACCAATTTAAGCAATATTTCCCCATTAGTTCCTTGTTTTATAATTGTAGATTTCTCTTTATTTTTTTCTTGCCTAAACTAACGAGTTGTGAAACCCTGCAAATGCTATTGCGATTTTATTCATACCAACGGAGTATTATTGTTGAGTATTTTCCTACAGTTTTGGAATATGTTACTACGGTCCTGGCAGGCCTTAATTGTCCAAGTATTGAGAATAGTATGTAGATTACAAACTGTTCGTTCCTGTATGGAAACTATTTTTTGAATAAATAAAAGATTTTAAAACTCCGATCTTGCTTTACTTTTCAAACCCAGTCCATCTGCCCCATGAGTCTAGCCTTGGCTTGGGCACTATTATCTCTGCCGTGTAAAGGACCAGGATTCGCCTTGCAGACGTGGCTGCTTATTTGGGCGAGCCATAAGATCAGAACAGAACACAAACACATCCTCTAAGAAAGGCTCGACCATTCAAGTCCAAATTCCTGGAGGAGGTAGGCAGCCCACCGCACAGCTCGCGGAGGCTGGTGTCGAATGGGCTGCCTACCCGCGAGGCGGTTTCCGTTTCCAGTGGGGCGAGCGAAACCGGCAGCGTTCTATTCCCGCTTCCACCCTTTTCTCCGAGTTGTTGAGTGGCGGTGTGTTTTGTGTTGCTGCTCGAGATAACCAGGCGGCTGTTGCCGGCTGCCTTCCTTCGCGGTCCTTGAACTTTGAAATCCATCTGGGCCTCTGTGGAAGGTTGGAAGGTTGCTCTTCACCTGGCTATCGCCAGACTGCACTTCCCTGGCCACCCGTTGGAGTTCGGCCCGTCTTGCTTCAAATTTGGGCAAAACTGGGGTAGAGCTTAACAATTAATTTAGCCGATCCGCCAGAATCCCGCCAGTTTCCTAGTTGCCCGAGCCAAAATTCGCATCGCCAACCTAAGACACACCGCTATGTCTGGCCGCACAGCTTGAACCCGGTGTACTGGTGCGTGTGCACGTATGTGCCCCCCCCCCCTTCCCCTGCCCCCATGCCACGCTCCGCTACGCCTCTACGCCCCAGTGTGTGGAGCTTCTGCCACCGGGCCGGCCGGCTGGTTACAATGTCCGTCTGCCTGCCTGCCCGCCTGCCTGTCTAACTGTCTGCCTTGCCGCGGCGCGCCCGGCTGCCCGACCCGAACTCCCAGTCAGACGGCTCGACTCGACTCAGACGTACGTAGGAGCGGCGTCAGTGGGGCAAGTCGGGACAGACACCGGCAGACCGGCAGCTCGAGGGACTTGAAGGCGAACGGAGCACCACCAGCAGAGGTAGGTCTAGGTTGGGCCGTGGTGGTGGCCGTGGCCGTGGCCCATTCCAGGAGCCCGAGCGGCGCGCTGCAGGCGTGCCGGAGGCGCTGGGCGGCCGGCCGGCCGGTCGTTGACCGCCTAGTGGCGCGGCCCTCGGCCGGCGTCGGTAGACGTGAAGCATGCCTGGAGCCTGCACACGTGGAAACGTAGAACCGTGAACCGTGGCACGCCTGTGGCACGCTGCCACGCCAGGGCGGCTGGACGCCACGAAACGGGGATTCGAACCGGCGACTCGGCCGGTGTTGGCCTGCGAAAGCCATTCGCGCCTCGGGTCCATGGGGCACAGCGGGACCGCCTTACGATCCTCGACATTCCATTAAGCCCATTCACAATCGCGCACCTCGGTATGCAATACGCCGAGCCACAGGCTGTACGGTTTGGGATCCGCTTGTGAATTATTGTTTGCAAGTCTGTTTAGTTCCGGCACTCGAAGCTGGGAAAAAATTGGCTGTGGGTCAACTGAAAGTCAGTCCCAAGGGCTGAAGTCGGACCTCGGGTTCGGAGGTGCGGTGCGTTCTCGTTAAATACTACGGTCCTGCTCTCCGTTAGTGGCCCTGGCCAGGGCCCTGGGCACCCCTGGGTCGCAGCCACGGCGTGGCCATGCCTCCGGGAATCCAGTTTGGGCAGGCCCAGGGAGTATCAATGGAAAGGGGAGGGGGGACTTGACGGTGGTCTCATCGGTGGTTTCAAACCTGGGTCCTGGCTCTCGTCTATGCTTGGCGTGCTTCGCTTGCGTCTGGGTCTCACGGTCCGCATGTCCCGGGGGCCGCCGTCTCGGGTCGCTTGATGTCTCTGGTTAACCGAGAAGCATCGACAAGCCGGTGTAGGTGTCGCGGCGTCGTTGGAGGACGTCTCTGTGCCCTGTCTCGTCGCGTGGATTTGGCGGTGTAGCTGTCCTCTTGTCCTCCGTGAGCACGGGCTGCTTGTGGTCTGTAGCCCCTGCGAGGTAGGCCGCCGGCCGGGCCTGCAACACACCCGCGTGGAGACAGTGGCCTACCTCGCAGGCGCTACGGCACACAGGGGCAAGGTAGGCCACCGTCTCCACGCCGGTGTGTTGCAGGCCCGGCAGGTGGCCTACCTCGCAGGCGTTAAAGGCTGCATTAGGTGAAATAAAAACAATAGTATTTTTGAATTGATCTTTATTTATGAAAGAAAGTCGTCGACTATTTTTTTCCTGCGTTGTCAATTCTCGTTCTGTGTGTGTACTATAAAAAGTTACTCTGGAAGCAGCAGCCCACACTCCCAGGCGCTCGCATCTCATTAATTAAAACAAACGTGATAAAAAGTGCGGCTCCCAGTATTCGAACTCGGGTCGTTGCTCCAGCTGCGCGATAGCGCCTGACGATGAGACGGCGTTTCCATAAAGCACATAAAGCACATGTGCCCTGGCCCACTGTTCGGTCCGGCAACATTGGAAAAACAAAGCGGCGGCGTACAGTGCGTACAGTGTGGCAGTCCAGCTGACCTTGAGACGATGCTGGTGGATGACAATGATTTGCTTTTCCTCGGCGGGACGATAGGAGGAGGCACCCGGCCCGACCCGGCGGGACGATAGGAGGAGGCACCCGGCCCGACCCGGCCGGACTGGGTTGTGGCGAGTCACCGTCAGCTGTGCCCGGCTGTGCGCGGCTGAGCCGCACTATAACCAAATGTGTGGTAAGCGGCGACCGGTAGGCAAAACGCGCGGCGTGACGAGGCAGGCTCGGAAAGTTGACGCGCCTTGTCGCAAAGTTTGCGCTAAGTGCTCGACAGCCACGCTTTGCTTTTCCCACGGTGCTTTGCATGCTGATGCGTGCAAGGTTCGAGTGAGAAATCGTTTACACGATGGCGGGAAACCGCCGGCGAAATGGCGCCAAAATGCCACAGTGCTGCCAAAAGTAGGCAGTGTTGTGAGGGTTGCCAGCCTCAGCCTGCCTACCTGTCAATTTCGGGCTTTGGCAAGAAGGCAGGCTGGGGTTGGCAACCCTATCGACACCGTTTTCGCGGCAACCCCACCCGCGCGCTCGCAGGTTGCCACCCTGCGGCCCGAAAAGCAGACTCGCCTGGAAGAAGCGCAGGTGACAGAGAAGGCAGATAAGATAGGAGGGCGTGGGGACGAGAGGGACGAGGACCGCTAGATACCGTGGGGACATTATTTTCTGCCCGGACTCACGCTGCTTCCTCGCCTTCCTCAACTCCCACCTCGCACAGTGGGCCCGCAATGTCGTGGCAATTACGCCGTGTACTTTTGTAACAATCGCGGCGGTCGGACGTCTGGGCGGCCTAGCAGTACCTCAGCTACCTCAGCCGCCTCGCGGCACTGCGGAGGCTCGTGGAGGCTCACGGAGGCTCACGGAGGCCGGCCCTGGATACGAGCTGCCCGCCTGCCGACTGGGAGGCTGCTGCCACCGACTGTACCCTTGCCATGTTTTGGCTAAGGCAGCCAAGGCCACGGCCAAGGTGTCACGAAGGTCAGGCCGTCAGGCCATGTGGCGGGGTGCCCCCCCCCTCCCCTTTACAATCAGCATTGGGTCAGCGGTGCTGGGCAGCGAGGGGCCTAACAGAGAGGGGGGGGAGGGAAACATCCATGCCTCAAACCGATGCCGGTCTGAAATTTGGCGACGGGTTGTACTTTGTTGCTACGTAGGCAGATCGTCTACGCGCGCACTGCGGTGTCCAGGCGACCCGTCTGGTGCTGCGGTAACGCGGTGTATTTTTAGATGTAAGTTTGAGCGCGTGCTAGCCGTGTCTAAACCACCGTGTCCGGTGCGTTGCCTGTGTTGCAGATGTGGCTGTGCATCAAGTTGGGGGCCTTGTTCGTGGTGCTGGTGGCGGTGGGCCTGGGCGTGCTCTGGCAGAAGGCGTTCGCCCCCGGACCGCTGCCCACCCTGCACGATGAGTGGTGGGGCCCGGGCCAGCCCAAGAAGGTGAGCGAGGCCGTGACCCCGTTCAAGATCAGCATCCCCGACTCCGTGATCGCCGACCTCAACAGCCGCCTGGACCGGTGGCAGAACCCCACCAAGCCCTTGGAGAACGCGGCCTTCACGTACGGCATGAACACGGACTACCTGGCCAAGGTGGTCAAGTTCTGGCGCAAGGACTACAACTGGCGGCAGCGCGAGGCGTACCTCAACTCGCTGCCACAGTTCAAGACCAACGTGGCCGGCCTCAACCTGCACTTCATCCACGTCAAGCCCAAGAACGTGCCGGCCGGCACCAAGGTGCTGCCGCTGCTCTTCATGCACGGCTGGCCCGGCTCGGTGCGCGAGCTGTACTCCGCCATCCCGCTGCTCACCACCCCCAGGAAGGGCTACAACTTCGTGTTCGAGGTGGTGGCGCCCTCGCTGCCCGGCTACGGCTTCTCGGACGCGGCGGTGCGGCCCGGCCTCGGCGCCGTGCAGGTCGGCGTCGTCATGAGGCAGCTCATGGAGCGCCTGGGCTTCCAGAAGTTCTACCTCCAGGGCGGCGACTGGGGCTCTGTCGTCGCCACCCACATGGCCACGCTCTACCCCAACATGTACGTGGCCCGAACTTGCTTCTCTGCGGCATTGCTCTGTGAACGCGTCGTTTTCATTTTCCCTCTCGCTTGCAGCATTCTTGGAGTGCACATGAACATGTGCGCCACCATGCACCCCTTCACCCAGGTGCTCTACACCCTCGGCGCCATCCACCCCCTGCTGGTGGTCGACCCGCCGTACCAGGACCGCCTGTACCCTCTTTCCAAGACCTACTCGCATTTGCTGGAGGAGAGTGGCTACTTCCACATCCAGGCTACCAAGCCCGACACTGTTGGTGAGTTACATGGCCATTTACAAACATATTGGCATTCCCTAAAAAAAAAATTCTTGATTTTTGAAACAATTTTTTTTGCAGGTGTTGCTCTGCGTGACTCTCCTGTTGGACTGGCGGCTTACATTCTGGAGAAGTTTGCAGTCTGGACCAACAAGGAATACAAATACCTTAACGATGGTGGCATTGAACAAAAGTACTCCCTCACCGATCTCCTAGATAACATAATGATTTACTGGGTAACAGACTCAATCACTACCTCCATGCGGTTGTACTCTGAATCCTTCACTTCTTCCCAACTGAGCATGGGCATGGACAAGTAAGTACATTAAATGAGGTAAAATTTTTAAAAATTGATTTACACTGCCGAAACTAAACTGCACCTCGTCTTTTTCATCTTAGGATTCCTGTCAATGTTCCTGTTGCCTGCATGGCCACACCTCATGAGCTGTTCTACAGTCCCAGGGCCGCATTGCTGCTGAAATTCCCTCAACTGGTCTCATTCACCCACCCCGCCAAGGGGGGCCACTTCCTTGCATTTGAGGAGCCAGCTATGTTTGCTGATGATGTATGGGAAGGCATGTCAAAAATAATCAATGGACAAACTAGTTCATAATGAGTTTATTACTTTGATCTGTTTTGTTAATATTGTAAATAGAAGAATTTTATAAAAGGTTTTTTATTATTATGTTCCCCCTACCCTCTTTGAAAAGAATAGAATAAGGTAAAGATAAGTCAGTCTTGGCTAATAATAGAAATATAGATTTGGAACTTTAAACCACAACTTTGAACAAAAGTGCCACAAAGTGGCAATAAAGGAACAATCCAAGATGTTAGGGAGGTATTAGTATTCTACATTTGACACAATCAAAACTAATATCACAATTGTTTCTTGTCAAAGTTCACTTTGAAGAATAGTCCGCAAGAGAAATATGAGCTGACAATCTTCGATATACCGATGATGAAGTGAGCTCTTTCTTACCCCTATAAAGTGCAGATTATTTAAAAATTCAGACAGCAAATCACACAGGACAACTAAGAGGCATTAGAGATCTATAGTAGACAAACCTTTTCATCTCTTCTTGTCTTAATTGTTGTTTGAAAATTAATGCATTTTTCATGAGCTCCTTGATGTTCGAAAAGCTTTCTTCTGCCTTTTCTATTGACTTAACGGCACTGAAAGGAAAACGTCCCATTAGATTGCATTATTGTGTTGCAAAAATTAAGTTCACTGTACCAAGACAAAACTTGAAAAATTGATGATGCTCTATAAAGCTCTAAGGACCATATGTTATTTTCTCTACGTGAAAAAGATCTTGATGCTGTTCGTACCTCACACCATACTCCACATCATACAAACATCCTTGTAGATCATGATTGAGTTGGACTACTTCAACCCGTTTCTCAACCATGGGCGGTAAAGATTTCCGAACGTGCTCCTGAAGTCGGTAGAATGCTAGTGATGGCTCATTCGCCACAATATGCATGTTCTCAGAAATTTTTTCTGTACCTGTTGAACGAAGAAGAGGATGTTTAACAATAAGTTACCTTCCATGAGATGGAATTTCGACAGTAGGCAGAAACCTTACCTTTCTTTATGCGAGACTCCAGTTCTGGATCCAATGGTAAAGATGACATTCCTAGATTGGTCAGCAATTATGTAGGACATGAAGATCAGGAACGGACAGTCCAATGACAAAGAAATTCTTTTGACGCCTGGATCAGTAGCTTTTTCCTCTCCGAGCAAATTTTCTCGACAGCAGGCCTGCAACTGTAAACAAACTTCAACCTCACCTGCTGTCGTTAGCTGTCGTCTGTGTTTGTTGTGTTATAGGGCCCAGAAGACAGTAGCCCCCACCACCATCCCAAGCGTACCCCACCCTTCCTGCCTTGCTTTCCTCACCCCCCCGCAGCGAGCTAAACATTCGGCGTAGGGACGGCGCGGGTGGTGGAGGGTAGGGAGGGGGTAGAGGGGGACGGGTCCGCGCTATGCCTGGTGCTGGGCAAGTCTAACTCGCTGCGCGGGTGGTTGCGGGTTGGTGCGGTAAGGTGGTGGGGGCTACTGTCTTCTGGGCCCTATGGGCGTGAACCGCAAAAGGAAACCGTCAGCGAATCCAAATGTGAATGTGATCACCGGTTCTGCTATTTTTCAGCCTGCCCAACCTCACAAACTGTGAAATACGCCTTAAAAGCACAAGTTTTTCAAGCGTTTTTCTACTTGCATGGCATTTTCACCAATTGTTTTCATTGATTAACTTCTTGGCTCTCAACGGGCAACAGCTAAAGTCTCTCTGGCAATTCAAAAGTCAAATTTTCGTTGCAGCTATTGTTTTAGTTTGCTTGTTGGTAGCACGAACTGCCGTAGTGTAGAAAAAATTTATCAAAATATTGAACACTTTACCATCTTGCAATTTGTGTGCATTGGTGCGACAATGTGAAAATACACCTTTGTCTGGGACTCGTAAGTTACATTTTTTAAATCTGCACTATGCTTTTGACAATTCCAATTACTATCCTAGCGAATTAAGTAAGTGATTGTTGTCATAACCACTGCATTGTACTGCATTGCGGTTGTTTGCCAAAATTTCCGAAAATCTGTCATTTAAACTTTTGCCTTGTCCGTCGAATGTCTTTTCATCAAAAAGATTTTATTACATTGTTACTTTCTCTCACACTAGAACCCAATAGTTCATTAAACGTCAACAAAAAATATTTTCAAATAAAAAATGATGTCCTTCTGTTTCTCTCTTTTTATAGGTCTGGAGAATCAGCCATGAGGAAATATCAGCAGCTCTTATTGGTGGTTGTGTCATTAGTGAGTGTAGTGGCTCTGCTTTTCTACCACCATGAGTATCATCGTCTGCGCTACGTTTTAGAAGTGCTCAACTTTTTTGGGAAGCCAGCTGAAAATCTCCAGTGTCCGACTATAAATGAAACATCATTATCACAACGAGTCAATGGGTTTTCATCACCTGTACCAGTTTGGGTCCCAGCTGGTGACAATCACTATATTTATTCAGCGTTTTGGGAGCGGAACAATGTGATTATTGTAGCCACTGGTCCAGCCAATGGGGCCTTTGCTGGCCGTAATAGTTACCAATGTGAAATTTGGCTTGAGGGAAAAGATGAACCCATCCCTGGAAGAGTTCATGCAAGCATTATTGAAGGCCAGAAAAAGAAGAAGGTGGGCTTTTCAGGGTACACATTGTCTTGTGAGATAGAAAAGATGATCTCTGTAGTTCCTGAAGAGGTGACAATTTGGAGAATGCAAGACAAGTTACCTGCCAAAGTGACTCTTCCTATTCATCACTTCAATTCAAAACATTCTGGGGGAGACCCTGCCACCTCCATGGCCATCTGCGTGTTGCCGGACGAACTACAACGAATCTCATCGAGTGCTTTGATCTCTTTTGTGAGTTACCATTCTCTCCTAGGGGTAACAGATTTTATTTTGTATGGTGGGAACCGTTACCATCATGTTGCATATGAGCTTCAAAAGCATGGAGCTAGTGTGAGCATAATTCCCTGGAACTTTCCGCTTAGTGGTGACGGTCGTGCAGAACTAGAGAGAGACTGTCGGAGTAGGGGTTGGCCTGCGACTGGTAACATTGTTGTTCTTTCACTCAATGAATTCATTGTGCCTGTTATGCACAATGGTCTCCTTGCCATGTTGAATGACTTGGATGCTGGAAGGAAGGCAACATCTCGCTTTCAATTCTCCACCCAACTATTCTGTACAAATATTCCAGACGATCCCGGGGCTGAGCCCAGTTGGCCAATGTTCATGCATAAAACCTACTATGATCCTGCTGCCAAAACTGGAGTTGTGAATATTTACAGACCTGGAGCTGTTTCTGCCAACAGGCCCATTGAATTAGGGACATACCCTGTGTCTCCTAAAATTGCAGCTGTCCACAAATTTGCAAATTGCGATATTCCTCCAGAAGCATCAGCAGATTCTTTCCAATATCAGCCTGAAATCAGACGATTTGTTAGTGAGCTGATGAAATCAGGCCTGCTCAATATACAAGTTAAACCAAGGACATAACTTTGAAGTTGGAAATAACTCACTTTAGTTTTTTAATTATTGTCATCACAGAATTGCTTGTTACAGAACTAGTGCTTCTAGTCTTAGACTGCCTCCAATTTCGAAATAAGATCATTTTAGATTTATACATTGCAAGGGTGGGTGATACATCAAGACTGAGTAATTGAATTGCTATTGACATCTACTGTTGTTTATTGTGTCAGTATTGAATTTTTTTTGCCTTACCCTGTTGAATCAGTCTTAGATATTTTTTTCTTGTTATGGCTTTTCTAATCTGTTTGCTTAATTTTCCTCCCTTTTTAAATTTTTGTTATAAGTAGTGCCTAGTTTGTTAAATTTCTGGGTAGTTAGACAGTCTAAGATTTGTTGGTTGTTGACAGAGATTTATTATCAAAGTCAATATTTCTTAAATATCGATATAGTAGCCTTGCCTTATTTTTGTGCAGTATTTATGAGAAGTTTTTCATTTGCTCAGGAGCGTTTGAAAGATAAGGAAGACCATACTTGTGATGAGTTTTAGAATGTCAATCCTTTCCTTGCTATACATACAACTTTTGTATTATAAGTAGTACAAACATAGCTGGTGTATATTTGCTCATGACAGCTGAAAGGTGGCAATTTTGAAGGAAGCCTTGAATGGTATTGGTAGAGTTTTTAGAAAATGCTTAAAGCAGTGACTTTGCTCTGATTTAAGAAAGGGCACATATTTATTGATACACCCACAAGACAATAGGGGCACTTTGATATGTTTATTGACATTTTTTGAAATATTTATATGTATGAATAATAATGATAATTTTATGGTTGCCTTGTAATGGCAAAAATGGGTTGTAATTAATTTATCAAGTTGTTAATTTCAAGGCACATTTATGTAAGCACCACAATAGCTTCATAATTTGCACACTCCTGATTGTAACATGTTTTTGAGACTGGGAGGTTCTCAATCAGGCCTGAGAAGTAATGAAAGATTAAAATATTTAGTAATGTTTTGAAACTAGAAGAAAAACCAAACCTAGACCAGTAGAAAATTTTTCTCGCTGCAAGTATGTAATGTTTAGTCTATTTTGCGACCAATGATATTTATTCTTTGACAAATGCATTTATCTTTGATGTTTGAGAGTGGCCACTGGCTAGCCTTCATTGACTCAAAACTTCCATCGTTTTGTTACGGTCAACTGTAATTAGTGTTTGTTTTTCAAGGAAGAGTTAATTTAGTGTTAAAACTGTAATAGAGATTAAAATTTTGTGATACAAGAATGTTGCTCAGCACATTGCCAGTAACTCTGTTTTATTGTCAATGTTGAAATATTGATTCATTGGGTGGCACTAGCATTGTTAAGAATGAAACAAACAAACAAAAATTCTTCCAGTCAGAGGTACAGACTGCCAAAGGCTTCCAGCAATATTAAAAGTTTTGCACAAAGCACAACCAAGTTTAAGGGTCATCTAAACAAAAAAAACAAAAAAAAAACGTTTTTCTAAATGCATTCTTCTGGTCTTGTACCATTTGAAGCAAAATTGTTATTGTTATTGTATAAAATAGTCATGGGACTCTTTTATGCATTGAAAGAGCAGCTGAAATTTATCTGTAGTAGTTTTGTACAAATGTGATAGTTTTCAATTGTTGACTCTTGTAGTTAGACCTACCTGTATTTTGGAAATTGTTGTCAAGAATTCAGTGAATTCTTTGGTAAGAAATGTCTTAAATTGGGTACTTTATTATTGATTTTGCTTTACCATAATGCACATCAGCATAAAAAATGTATCTCAAGCAGCCAATTAGCCATAGTACTACTTCATTAATTAAAGTTACATATTCACTACATCCTTATGTATTTGTGGTTCGTACACAGGGCAACATTCCATTCAAACCTTTGCGCATCAGTGTATCAGTTGAAAATAAATGTCCACGACTGATAGCCTTCAAGTTGTTTCTTTTTCTAAATCAGGACTCTTCCTTATTCCGTGCCACAAAATACGCTGTGGCTTGCAGGCAATGAATTTCCAGTACACACCTCTGTCCTCTGTCCTCTCTCAGCTTGGGCAGAACGGTCAGTGGCGGTGAGATAGGAGCGCCGAGAGCTGACAGGCGCCGGTCGGGGTAGACAGGCCAACTGGATGGGAAGCCCTCGCAGCCCTAGGAGGGTGAAATCATGGTCGATAGCCTTTCATATCGGATACCCGAATGATCTGTCTTAATCTTGTGGCTCCCCCCCCCCCCCCAAAAAAAAAAAAAAAAAAAAAAAATCAGACAGACGTCTAGTCACATATGTACAGTAGGTCAGAGTTATCCGGTCTGGTCTGATGTCCAGTATCATGGGGAATTCCCACTCGTCCAGTCCATTTCTGTACAAGTCATGTCCACTTTGTCGTCCGTCAGTCACTGCAGGATGAAAATTACAGCCCACAATTACAGATTCTAGCACTCTTCTCCAGACAGGCTCAAACCATAAGGCCTCGCCTTGAGCTAGGTGGAAACCTTGAGTTCCGTCATGGGGCCACAGTGTTCCCACTTTCCACCATGCGCCAGTGTTGAAAGGGTTACCAACCTCAGACTGCCTAGGCAAAATCTGCCTAATAGGCAGGCTGAGGTCGGCAACTCTTTCGACACTGGCGCATCGTGGGGGTTTTTGGCCGCTTGTGTGGCAGCACCGCTCTACTCATCTGATCCCAGCCAATCCCAGCTCGTCCGGACGGAGGAGACACGACACGTCCAGCAGCCCCGCCTGAGACTGAGTCACAACCCCAGAGACGGAGACGGAGGCCCAGTGCACCCAGAATGTTGCGTGCGAGGGACGCCGGGGAGTGGGGAGCGTCGCGACAACGCCTTCAATGGTTAATGCTGCCGTGACGGCGCTTCGCCGCGTGCACCCCATGCATATTCGAGCAAGCGCACGCAAGCTGGTGCCCTGGTGCTGCAGCCTGCCACTGCGGAAGACCGGAAGGCGCCGGAAGGGCACGCCACTGTCGAGCCGCCCTCCGCTCCGCACAGCCAATAAGGCACTGCCACTCTTGGCGCCAAAATGGGCGAGCCGGGCAGCGCTTCCAGTGTGGCGGCAGCCGAGCCGGCCGGCCCGCTGGAGCTGCATCTCCGGTCGCTGCGGTTCTTCCCGCGCCCCGACGACACGTGGCTCGACAGGCTGCAGCGCAGCCTCCTCAGCAGTTGGGTGAGAGCGAATCGCTTTCAAGTCCGGTCGAGTTTGGCACGCTTTGGCTGACGCTTCGCGCGCTTCGCCACGCCAGGTGGCGCTGACCTGCTCCGTGCTCACCATCCTCCTCGAGGTCCTGGACGTCTTCATCGTCGGCTCCATCCTCAAGGGAAAGGTTTGCCGCCCCGTTTACTTCGCCCCGTCGCTTTCAGAGTTGCCACATCAGTGGGCGAAAATCTCCACGACGCGCCAATGTCGAACAGGGTTGCCAATCTCATGGGCAAAGCCGTTGCCTAGTAGGCAGACTGTTGTTGGCAACCCTTCATTGTGGAAGTTTACGCGCACTGAATTGGCAACGCTGGTCGCTTCTGCGAAGCAAAGTGAGGCGGAGCCAGGCGGCGCGTGACGCACGCTGCTCCCATTCTGCTCCGTGCGTGACGCAGCCCTTGAGCAGGTCCACGTGTCCCTGGTGGCGGGGACGTACTCGTGCGGCTGGTTGCAGTTCCTGCTCCACCGGCACCGAGACCAGCTGCAGGAGTGGCTGACGACGGTGCTGCACACCGTGGCGCTGGTGGAGAGCCGCACCGACCGCGCCACGCAGGTACAGCCCGCGTTTCGCGCCTCACTGTCGAAGCGCGGCGCGCCACCACAAACCCAGAGAGGACGTCCTCTCTGCACAAACCCTGGGCTGGCCCGTTTGCAGGAGTCCATGGCGCGCACGGCCCGCCGAGGCTGGCTGTCGCGGCGCCTCTACGTTTCGTTCGGCCTGTCCACCTACCTCATCAAGCCGCGCTGGGGCGTCCCGTGGGCGACGCTGCGCTGGCCCGCCATCGTCGTGGAGCTCATCGGCACGGCAGTCAACGCCACGTACTGCCACTCATTTTGACGCTGCACTCGGCGAGCTCCGACCTGCAGGACGCGCTGGGACGGTACCTGGAGGTACGCCGCACAGTGGATTTGCCAGAAGACCGGTGGAGGCGGCCAAAATCCCGGACGTGTTTTGAGCTCCAGAGCGTCGCTAAATGGGACTCGAACCAAACGTGTGACCCCACCAATGGATTGCTCTCCGAACGAGGAATCCATTGGTGGGGTCACACGTTCCGTTCGAGTACCATTTAGCGACTCTGGAGCTCAAAACGCGTCTCTAGAATTTATCTCTCTCTCTCCCCCCAATCTCTCTCAGTGCGCTAGGTTTGTGCAGGTCCATCCATGCCACCGCTGGTGCGCCGACGTGCAGAGATCCGTGCTGCGCGCCTGCGTCGTGGCCGACTCCATCCTGCCCTGGCCCATATTGCAGTTCCTGTTCGGCGTGGCTACCGTCCCTCTCCTGGCCACCGTGGAGGTACGCGCCGTGGAGGCAGTGCAGTGCCATGGCCAAGGTGGCCAAGGCCATGGCCCCTTGCGGCGGCAGGGTAGACCGTCCCGTCGAACTGCCGCGATGCCGCGCTGCCGCGTCGACGGCAGCTGGGCGCCCGCCTGGGAGGTCGTTGAAATGGCGTGATGCGCTGCAGGTGATGTCGTCGGGCGGCCTCTACGACATCTACGCGGCGGGCACGGCGCCGCTCATCGTGACCCTGTTCGTGCCGCTGTGCCTGATGGGCGAGCGGCTGGCGGCCAGTCGGCGCGGCGTGGGAGCGCGGGCGTGGCGCGGGCCCTGGCTGGAGGAGGCGCCGGCGCGGCGAAGACTCCGCCTGCGCATCATGGTGGGCGCGGACGGTGAGGGCGCGCTCTTCGGCGCCAGCGGCGTCGGCCACCTGGACAAGCCGGCCTGTTTCCAAGCCTTGAAGACCTGGTTCAGCGTCGTGCAGATGCTCCTGAACCTGCACTCGTAAACCCTGCCCTTGTTTGGGAACTTAATAAGAATTTAGCCTTGCTAGCCGTTTAATGCCTCTGCGCCCAGTCGTAGAAGCGCGGCCGCTGGCCCCGCAGGGAGTGCGGCGAGGGGTTGGCGTACGCCTGGCGCACCACCTCGGCGAACCACGCCGGGTCGCTGGCGGCCGCCTCGGCCGGCCTGCCGCTCGAGTTGTGGTAGTGGAACTCGGACAGGCCGCGGCCGCGGACGCCGTTCATCTCGAACGTGGAGAACATCTCGATGATCTTGGCCTCCCACTGCCAGCCCACGAAGTGCGCCGCCACGTCCACGCCCTGCACCTTCACCACGTACGTCTTGCCGCCTGCGGGATGAGCACACTGGTAAAACCAAGCTTCGAGGAAATTTTATACTCAAAATTTTAAATAAAATGGCGTGCCTGCACTGAAGCTAAAGGCGTGGTCCTTCGGGGGCTCGCCGTCCTCGCCGTGCTGGTACAGCTTCAAGTCGCACCACTGCATGTTGTGGACTTGGCCGCCGGGCAGGCACACGTACCCGGACTCCATCCTGCAACGCCCAAGTCCCGCGCAATCATCAAAACTCATCATTTTCACGAAAACAGCACCCGAAAAAGTCGTTTCTACGTTCAAAGAGAGGCTCTCTTTGGGTGAGTTGGACGAAGACTTACGTGGACACGCTGCAGGGCTGGTTCACGACGATGATGCTTGACATGGAGCCGTCCTCGAAGAACATCATGTAGAACGCGTAGCGGTACAGCAGGTCAAAATCCCGCCTTGGGCCTGCAGAGAAAAACCAGAGTCTTACATTTGCAAGATGATTCCGAAAGTTTAATTTTTGAAAAAATGAGAAAGGCTCTCCCTTACCAGTGCTGTGGTCGCGCATGGACATGAGGTTGAGCTGGTGGAGGTCGTTTCCGATCTGCACCGACCCCTTCAGGTGTCCCATCTGCTCGTAATGGGACTGATGGGCACTGGAAACGAAACAAAATCAATAAAACCCGAGAGGTGGCCACGGTTTTAGTTTCGATGAGTCGCCGCTTGCCTCTTGAGCCGCTGGAAGTACTCCCTGCTCCAGGGCTCCACCGCGATGATCTTGGCCATGGAGTGCGGGTGCAGGTCCGTGTCGTAGTCGAAGGGCGCCCAGCCGCCGCTCCAGACCCCCCTGAGCTTGACGGGGAACTCCTTGCTCGGGTCTTCCCTCAGCCTGCCACCAACAGTCAACGCTCATTTTCGTCTACTCGACTGCCAGGCACGCCGCAAAAAAGGGTGTACGCACTGCATGACCCCGTCGAACTCCACCCGCCAGGTCTTGAGGGGCTCCACCGGCTGGATGCGGATGCCCTCCGCGCCGTACGCGTCGTCCGTGGCCCCGAACAGGCAGGTGTCGGGGAGCTTCTTGTGCTTGAGGAGTCCCAGGCCGGGCACCTGGACGAACAAGCCCATGTCGCTGAGTCGCTGAACAGGACTCGAACCGACCGTGTGACCCCACCAATGGATTCCTCGTCCGGAGAGCAATCCATTGGTGGGGTCACACGTTCGGTTCGAGTCCCATTTAACGACTCTGGAGCTCAAAACGCGTCCGGGATTTTGTCCGCCTCCGCCGGTCTTCTGGCCCACTGTGCGTACCAAGAGGTAGATGGGGGAGTTTATGATGTTGTGGTGTCTCCGCTCGCTGCCGACGATGAGGTACATGCCGTTCATGTCGCAGGCGATGAAGAAGATGGCGTCGAAGGCCTGCGGGGGGAGGAACGGCTTTGAGGGCAAGCACTTGACTGAGAACGCGGAGCCGGTCCGCCTTCTTACCAGTGGGTCGTCGCTCAGGGGCTGCAGCCGCTCCTTGTCGACGAGGGGGTGCACTGCGTTGTCGGCGGAAGTCCGCGCGCGCTTCTGAATTTCCAAAAAGAAACAAAAAACCGCAGCTTTGAAGTACGAACACCTCCCTCGCACAAATTTGTAATCCTTCGGGAGGGGGTTCAGCCTACCTTGTTCAGCCAGAGCATTATCCTCATGAACACGTACTTGAGCCAGAACCACTTCCCCGGCTGCTGGTACTTCCCGAAGACGGGCTCCGGGTCCCGGGGGGACAGCAGCAGCTTGGCCAGCACGGCCAGCCCCGCGGCGAAACACGTCCACAGCAGCATGTCGCTCGGCTCGCTCGGCCCGACACAAACTGACCCCTCCAATCTCTGCACTCTCCGCGACGGCCACCTGGGTCCTCCTGCAATCTTATCGGGCCCCGCGCGCGAAGGGTTGCCTACCCTGAGGGGGAGGCATTCGCCACCGCTTCATTTCTGATTTCCAAAGTCAGTAGGCAACACTCTTTGCAGGGCAGCGACTCTGAGGCTGCAGTAAAGTCTGGGGTTCCTTCGAAGCAGGACGCCAACGCACGTCGGCTGCTGGGTGAGACGAGCGGTCATCTCAAGCGGACGCTATCGAAAAAAAGCAACACGGTTCAGCTGGACTGCGGAATGTAGTTGAGGGAGTCGCCTGGCCATGCCCTGGCAGGATCTTCCTCTCCTTATCAGACGACAGGCGGAGGCTCAATAACTGATAAGACGGCCAAATTGAATGCGGCAACACACCATGTCATTTGTGTTGCCTTCCAGGCCAGAGGCACTCGGCTGCGCCTCGAGGGTATGTCCACCAACCAAACGACAGAGTAGACTCGTCCGCGATGAGCCTTAGCAGTGGCGGCGATGTGGAGGGAGGCGTCAACGGGAAGAAAAGCGAGAATGGAGCCCCGACACTCAAGGCAAGTACGGCCACGTGCCTGGCTCGGATGATTAGGCTGGGCCTGGCACTGTGGGCCTTGCAGGTGTGATGGCACCGCTGGCCGTGCTGGCCCTCTTCCTGGTAGTAGGTTAGGTTAGGTCGCCCACAGTGTAGGCCCAGCTTGCAGGTGTGCCGATGCCACATTAGGTTGCTACTTGACTTCCGTTGCCACTTTCAAACGAAAATGACGTCACATTCTAAGCAAAATGACGTGACCCAGGTGTTCCGGCGGCGCTGGTTGGTGCTGGCCGCCTTCTGCTTCCTGTCGCTGCTCAACGGCTTCCAGTGGGTGCAGTACGCCATCGTGTCGGACTCGGTGGCCCGGTACTACGGCGTGTCGCTGCAGGCCGTGGACTGGGCCTCCATGGTGTACATGCTCATGTACGTGCCCTTCGTGGCGCCCGCCTCCTGGATGCTGGATAAAAAGGTATGGCGGCCACAGCGGGCCAGAAGACCGGTGGAGGCGGCCAAAATCGCAGACGCGTTTGGAGCTCCAGAGTCGCCAAATGGGACTCGAACCGAGCGTGTGACCCCACCAATGGATTGCTCTCCGAACGAGGAATCAATTGGTGGGGTCACACGTTCGGTTCGAGTCCCATTTGGCGACTCTGGAGCTCAAAACGCGTCTGCGATTTTGACCGCACCGGTCTTCTGGCCCGGCGCAGGGTGCGGGAGGGACAGAGCGAGGCTGACGGGCCGGTGCTGTGCAGGGCCTCCGGCACACCGTGGTGCTTGCCGCCGTGCTCAACTGCTTGGCGGCCTGGGTCAAGGTGGCCTCGGGGCGGCCCGACCTGTACGCCGTCACCATGGTGGGCCAAGCGGTGGCGGCCGTCACCCAGGCCTTCGTCCTGGCCGTGCCCGCGCGGCTGGCGGCGGTGTGGTTCGGCGCGGGCGAGGTGGCCACGGCCTGCGCTATCGGCGTCTTCGGAAACCAGGTCACCAGGCCAAAATACATTTTTCTTAAAAAAAAAAACCTACAAAAAAATGCTTACGGTGAGTTACTTTGACCGCGCAGGTTGGCAACGCCTTCGGGTTCCTGCTGCCGCCGTTGGTGGTGAAGAATCAGGAGGACGTCGACGAACTGGGCAGCGAGCTTCGCACGGTGTACTACGGTGTAGCCGCCGCCACCACGCTGTCCCTCCTGATTATCCTACTCGGTGAGTCACCGCGCACAGTGGGCCAGAAAACCGGTGAAGGCGGTCAAAATCCCGGACGCGTTATGCGACTCTGGAGCTCAAAACGCGTCTGCCAGTGTTCCAGGACGCGCCCCCCGTGCCCCCCAGCCACTCGCAAGCGCTGTCGCAGGGCTCGACGGCGTCCTCCGGCCTGCTGCAGTCTATCGGCCGCCTGCTCCGCACCCCGGGCTTCGCGCTGCTCGTCGTCACCTACGGCATCAGCGTGGGGGCCTTCTACGCCATCAGCACCGTGCTCAACCTGCTCGTCAACACCGTCTTCCCGGTGGGTGTCGCCCAGGACTCGAACCGAGCGTGTGACCCCACCAATGGATTCCTCGTTCGGAGAGCAATCCATGGGTGGGGTCACACGTTAGGTTCGAGTCCCGTTTGGCGAGCTCAAAACGCGTCCCGGATTTTGACCGGCTCCACCGGTCTTCTGGCCCACTGTGCGCAGGGAAACAGCGATGCTGGCAACATCGGGTTGGTCCTGGTGGTGGCGGGCTTGCTGGGCTCCATCGTCTGCGGGGTTCTCCTGGACGCTACCCGAAAATACAAGTGAGTCAACCTCTCCGGGAAAGGAGGCTGACGGCTCATTTCTTACCTATTCGACTGCAACCCCCACAGGGAAGTAACGCTCGGAGTATACGTGTTGTCCGTCGCTGGCATGATTGCGTTCATGGCTTCGTTCCTGGCGACTTCCATTTGGGTCGTGTACCTGACAAGCTTCTTTCTGGGGTGAGTGCTCAAGTTACCTATATTCGATTCTCAGCGAGTGGCACTAATTTAACTGATCTCGCAGATTTTTTCTCACGGGCTACCTGCCTCTTGGCTTCGAGCTGGCCGTCGAGCTGACGTACCCCGAGCCAGAGGGGACGTCCGCCGGTCTGCTCAACGTGTCAGCTCAAGTGAGTTTGCAAGCTCTCCCGTCAAGTTACACAGTCAACGGCAAATTTCCTTCGCAAGAACGTTGGCATGTGCCCATTGGGGGTGATGAAAACGTCACCCGTTTGCGTTAAAATTACAGTGTGTCCTAATCTAACTGTCCCAGGTGTTCGGCATCGTCTTCACGGAGCTGTGCGGGCTGCCGCTGGAGCGCCAGAGCGGCGCCGAGCCCGCCGCACACCTCTGGGTCAACGGGTCTCTGAGCGGCGCGCTGCTGCTGGGCGCCCTGCTCACCGCCCTCATACCGAGAACGCTGCGCAGGCAGACGGCCCAAGCGGCCCAAGCCTCCGTCAAATAGGGCCTCCAGTGTTTACTTGTATCACAAATCACAAAAAAAGAAAAACAAGAAGGAAAGACATCAAAGAATTGATATCACATGGGAGGGACTCGTTCTTTACAAAGCTAGATTGATGTGTCAGTCGCTGATCGTTACATGAATTGTCCTCTGACGATTTGTAATTTTGCATTTTAACGAACGCTTCCGGTTGGTTCTCCTCTCAGGCAGGGAACATCGATGCATCGCGATATCTCGAGATATCGATTCTCGTGCATAATCGAATTTACACTAGAGTCCGTGAGTCCGTGCCAAAAACCTGCTTTTACCATTCAGAGGGTCGGTACGAGCCTGCTTTGTGCCTACACTCGCAGGGGACGACACGACGCCACCATGCGGAGGGGCTAGGAAGCTGTCCCGTGATCGGGGTGTTGTTTATGGTATTTGTGACCATGGCTGTGACAAAAGTCAGGCTTGTTCACTAAGTTATTTATTTGAAATATGACGAAGTATGTTATCGCCGGTCTTGACAATACCACATTTACAAAAAATACTGTTGCCTCGATCGAATAATTGCTTGACAATTCGTACGTTAAGTAGGGTTATTTTCGTCTGCTCGGGGCCCGCTGCCAAACTTCACACACAATCATTTTGTTCTTACGTTTCCTCAAATTAGCAAAATAAACAACTCAAATGTGACTAGAGAATGGCTTAATAATTGTCAGAAAAAAGGCAAAAAAAATTCTGCAGCTCAAAACGTCTCAATTTTTTTCAAACATCTCAATTCTTAGTGTGTCTTAATGTTTAGTAGGTTGGCTACAGAGCTTCTTAGCACCGCCGCATGGTGGCGCCACGGGTACCCCAACTTACACTCATTAGGCCGACCCTCTGAATGACAAAAACCCTCAGAAGGACACATTTATTAAAAAAAGAAGTCAAATGAAACTTATTATTTCGTCTCTCATCTCCAACATAAGACATGCAACACCTGCCAAGAAACTTTCATTAGGAAGAAACCACTAGCAGTTCTGAGACATATATCACGATTAGCGTGAAACGATGTTTCTTTATGACCAAATTTCTGAAAATTATCCATTGTCACTTGGAAAATACCCTCCTAGTTTTTTGTAGGCCAAAGATCTCTGGTCGTTGTCGTTGTTGTTTGCGTTCCAGTGGCGTTTTATATCAAAAGATACAAACACTTGAAAAGAGGTTAGTTTCACATAATGCACTAAAAACGTCTCTCTTTCATGTTCATTTTCTCAGTATTTCTCATTGCAAGCAAAAAAAAGTTCATTTACGATCTAGCGACTGACACTCCATCTTTCATTTGATACCACTCTCATTTTCCCACATGCTGTCAGATCTGAGATGAAAGATGTCCCCCCAAAACTCATTTTTGAACACAATACTCGTTCTCTTCACATAGAGTTTTGTATGTTAGTGAGTGGAGTGTAAAGAACGAGTAAAAAAAAAAACATTTTAAACCAACTATTTCAAGTTTTGATTGGTGTTCGGCATACGTTTTCCACGGGGAAAGTCATGACACAGGAAATGTAAAATACACGGGTAAACTGATTTTATTACAATAATACTGAGTTTTAATGTACAAAAGGGAGAGCTCTGACATAAACAAAATGAAATAACTATATTTACAATTCTTTATTAGGGTTATTCTACAACTAGCTCAATACTTTAACTTAATGACAAGAGGGACACTGACAAGATTTTCACAGAAACAGCGTGGGAACAACTCAGAAGTTCTTGAGATGTTCATACAAGTGACTTAACAATGCATCCCGCCGGTCATACCGGATCCCACACTCGGTGCATAAAAATGTGAAATGAGTGGAAATTCTGTGACGCGAGGAAGTGTGCGTCAAGAGATGCCTTTTAAGGTGCGCCAACGTCCCAAATCTCTTGGAGCATTCTTCGCACTGGAACAGTTTCGAATGGACCTTGACGTGGGCGTTTAGTTGACCTGTGCTTAAGTATTTCTTTCCACACACGGAACACTCATGGGGTTTCAGGTCATCAGCAACATGAATTCGAGCGTGAATGGCCAGGTACTCGTTGCGGGTAAAAGATTTCAGGCACACAGTGCACTCAAACGACCTTTCACGATAAGCATGCGTCTGCAGATGGAAGTTCAGGTGGTCACGTCTTCCGAATTTCTTTGAACACACGGTGCACTCAAAAGATTTCTCACCCGTGTGCGTTTGCAGGTGAAGATGGAGGTGGGTTGAGGTTCGGAATTTTCGACCACACACTGAACATTCAAAGGGTTTCTCGTCAGTGTGGATTCGACAATGGTTCTTAAGGCCTTCAGCGACATAAAAACGTTTTTGGCATACGGTGCACTCATACGGTTTTTCATCAGAGTGCCTTACAAGGTGTTGTTTGAGATGGCTGCTGCGACGGAACTTCTTCGAGCACAGACTGCACTCAAAAGATTTCTCACCTGTGTGCGTTCGCTGGTGAAGATGGAGCTGGGTTGAGGTTCGGAATTTTCTACCACACACTGAACATTCAAAGGGTTTCTCGTCAGTGTGGGTTCGACAATGGGAGGCCAGGTCTTCAGCGACCCTAAAACGTTTTTGGCATACGGAGCACTCATACGGTTTTTCATCAGAGTGCCTTGCAAGGTGTTGTTTGAGATGGCTGCTGCGACGGAACTTCTTCGAGCACAGACTGCACTCAAAAGGTTTCTCACCTGTGTGCGTTTTCTGGTGACGATGGAGGTCGGTTGAGGTACGGAATTTTGTGCCACACACTGAACATTCAAAGGGTTTCTCGTCAGTGTGGATTCGACAATGGTTCCTCAGGCCGTCAGCGACACTAAAACGTTTTTGGCATACGGAGCACTCATACGGTTTTTCATCCGAGTGCCTTCTTAGGTGATTTTCGAGGTGACCACGTCTTCGGAACTTTTTCGGACATAGACTGCACTCAAACGATTTCTCGCCAGTGTGAGTAAGTAGGTGAGTCTGCAGACCGCCTGAGAATCGAAATTTTTGGAAGCACACCGAACACTCAAACGGCTTCTCGTCCGTGTGGATTCGAGAATGGGACGAAAGGCTTCTCGAGTACGAAAAGCGTTTATGGCAGACGCCGCACTCAAACGGCCTTTCACCGGTGTGTGCTCGCAGATGGACCTTGAGATGAGCGAGCCGAACGAATTTCTTCGAACACATTGAACATTCGAACATTCGAACAGTGTGTATTCTGGTGTGTTTAGAAAGGTCACTTTTACAAACGAATTGTTTTTTGCAAACTGAACACTTGTATGGTTTATCAGCAGAGTGCCTCTGAACATGCGACGCAAGTTGCCCAGAGGTGATGAAGCGCTTCTGGCACACAGAGCATTCATATGCTTTCTCATTGCTATGCTTGCTAATAAGATGATATTTTAGGTCATCAGAACGATGAAACTCTTTTGGACACTCTGAGCACTTAAACGACTTCTCAGCAGAGTGAATCCTTAAGTGTTTAGCCAAGGTAACTTTGGAGGAGAACTTCTTCAGACACACAGAGCAGTTCAACGATGCATCTACTAGCTCCATTATAGCGTTCTCAGAAATTCTCGATCTTCTGCTTCGATGCTGGAACAAAGCGAAACGTTTAAGATAAATAAGTATATAATAAGTATATTAATAAGCATCACTGCAAGCATCAAATTTATTCAATATCAAACGTTATGCAAAACTCTTACGGCAAATTGGGTCTCGATTAATTTGCCACTAAACTTTCAAACACAAGCCATACAAGCGAAATACACCCCCCCCCCTTCTCTTCCGGTTAGGACAAGAGACCCCACGCAGCTTGTGAGCGAGTCTTGTGCAAACTATATAACACCGGTAAAAATATAGTAATACTACAACGGTTTTAATTCAATATGTGCGAAAACAAAATTTACTGGCCTAAGCGGTTTTGACACAGTTGCTCATAATCGACTGACATGCAGCAAAAAATATTGGCAGACACGCATGCAAGCAAATGACCGAAACCGGTGCCATGTCAAAGCCAGGTCCCTTGCGTGCTAGAGAGGAGGAATGGCAGTGCGGCGCAGTGCGGAGGTATCGGCTGCAGCAGTAGTCGCCGGAGCCAGGCGAGCGGTCTCTGGTCTCTGCCACCGCAGTCACGGCAGCCGCGCAAAGCCCATGGGCCAGACTGGCCAGCCTCGTGACACTGGCCAGCCCATTCCCCAACTCTATTGCGTGCCCTTAGAGTCATAGAGCGTGACATTATAAGGGACACTCAAAAAACAAGACAAAGCGAGAAACAGCACCCAGGGAGAAACAACTTGAATTTTGGTGTACGTTTCCCTTGAAATAACGTGAAATAACGTTGAGTCGAAATAAAGGTGTACACAATTTTTCGAAGTTGTTTGCCCCTCGAGCAGCACAAAACAAACAAAACAACTAACAACACAGAACAAAAACAAGAGTCCTTCCAAAATGCATCATGCACTGTGTCTCCATGCCAGGAAGCGCTTGAGGGCCGCATGCTTCTCAAAGTACCTGTGGATCGGCAGTGTGGAACCAGGTCCAGTGTCGGTGGGTGGTTTCAGTGCAGCCCCTACAAACACTGTTGCGCTCTGCTGGCGCAGAGCGACGAGATATCGCGTGCAGTGTGCCAGAGCTCTAGACGTTCACCGAGTGTGTCAGGCAGACCGCCGGAAAGGACTGGCTGGAGCCGGGCGCCGCCGGACTGGCGGCAGAACAGAGCCTCTCTGCCCCCCCCTCCCCTCCGGACCCGAGGGCCTGCGGCCTCCGGCGAACAAAATTGGGCGACTATGATAACTATGATATCCCTGATGCAGCCGCCACCATGCCCTCTACCGCCCGCGCCCGCCCTCGCCCTCCTAAATTACACCTAACACACCTTACGTGCTAACCGCGCGGGGGTGAGGAAGCGAGGAGATTGGAGGTGGGGGTGGTGGTGGGGATACTAGACTGACCTAATGGGAATGTGAGGATTCATTCCTTGACAGCCTACGAGAATCCTATTTGTCCAGCCTAAGAAAGAAAAAAGACTTCTAGTCAATTTTCTTTAAAGTTGCAATGCATATTAATTAATTAATTTAGTGTGCTTTTTTGGTAAGCCCAGAGGCAAGGCCTCTAATAGAAATGAAACAGTACAAAACCAGGGAACAATTTTTTTTCAACATGACGAAAGGAAATAACAGATATCCAAGGATCAACCCACGGTTGATGTCGAAAGGAAGATAAATTTGTTGTAACAACAAATGCATAGCAATTTGTTCTCAATTTCAAAGTAGGTTTTGGATCCAGCGCGTTTGATTCCAAAATTGCTATTAAATACCATAATTAAAAAATCATGTCACACAGTTGAATAAATTAACAGTTAAATAGATAATACTAAAATTATTATGTTAAATATTTGGACGGAAAGTAGAGCTTGGTCTTTATTGAAAGATTCCAAACAACAAAACCGGAGTTTTAAAATCTTGCATTGTATACCAATATTATTGTAGGTAACGGTTCCACAACGTCTGGGATTTGGGTTTTATTGCGCAGAATTGACTGATTCCAACTAAAAACTTTTAAGTCATGGATGGGACTATTATCTTAGGTACGCTATTACTCGTGATTTTCGTTGTGAGCCACGAAGTCAAAAACTTACTTGTCAAACGGGGCGCAGGGAGCAGTGGCCTGAAAGCGTCGTCAGCTGTTTTCTGTTTACAATGCACCAGCTGGCTGTCAAACCGGGTCCTTGGCGCGATGGCGCGCCGCTCAGTAAGTCGCGATCACACCACCGCGAACCTGACGCACTGGGAAGCCAGGACAACCGGAACGCAACACGCTTTGGAGGGCTCGGAAAAGAAATTCACTCGAAGCAAGACTCGCTAGGGACGCGTGGACGCGGAGCAACAAGTCGGCGACGCGGCGCCGGCGCCATTATGATTTATGTCACGTCACGTATGAAAAATTAAAAATGCAGTGTTGCCAAGTGGGAAGTGCAAAGTGCACTGCAGTGTTGCCAGGCTCCGTCCGTTTCGCGGCAATCTTTTGAACCGTGCGGCCGACTTCGCAAATGAGTACGCACTGTGGAGAGCATGTGATTAAAATTTACTGAAACTTTGATGCGCGTTCAAACAGAGAGAAGAAATTACGCTGTGACCGGCATTCTACTGCTGGACTTGCCGGCGCGTCACTTGAGGTTCCGCAGGGCCTGCAGGAAGGACACCGACGACCGCATCACCTGCACGAGGGAGCAGTGGAAGCACGCCGTCAGTACATCGATCTGTCTGTCTGCACGTGGACGTCGCTACCCCGTGCGTTCTGGGCCGTTCCAGGGAGGCACTGGCGCGCGGGGTAGCGGCGCGCCGCCTCACCTGCACGAAGGTGATCATGCTGATCCTGTCCTGCAGCCCCGCGGCGGCCAGGCCGTCCCGGTCGTAGCGCTGCGCCCTGGCCGTGAGCAGCACCAGCTTGCGCTGCGTGGGCCTGCTGGCCGACATCCAGTCGCAGCGCCACACCACGTCCTGCAGCGACCCGCACTGCAAGGCAAGCAGGCCGTCAGGCCGTCACTACCCCAGGCCGTCACCGCGGCGCGGGGTAGCCACAGGGTTCGGGGTGCACCTCGTCCTTGAGCATGTCGCTGAGCACCGACATCTGCAGCAGGCTGGCGATCATGAAGAAGGCGATGATGGGCACCTTGACGTCGGCCAGCGGGTCCGAGGACATGCAGTACGCCGTGAGGCCCAGCAGGGCGTACGTGATGACCAGGCGCTCGGTGATGGGGCGCGCGAAGATCTCGTTGTTGGTGTTGACCATCCTGAACCAGGTCACTCTGTCTCTCTCGCACCTGCGCGGGGCTCGCGGGGCGCGCCGTGAGTGCGAGAGAGACAGCCTTACGAGAGCACGTGCTGGTGCTGCATGATGAGCTCGTCGACCGGGGCGCGCAGCCCGCGCAGCTTGAAGTGGCCCTCCAGGTCGCCGGACAGCTCCAGGGACCGCTTGATGCACCTGGACAGGCCGCGGGACAGGCAAGTCGTCATGGGGGACGTCACGGACAGCGGGCCGCCAGTGCACAGTGGGCCAGAACACTGGCGGGGGCGGCCAAAATTCTCGACGCGTTTTGAGCTCTAGAGTCGCTAAATGGGACTCGAACCGAACGTGTGACCCCACCAATGGATTGCTCTCCGAATGAGGAATCCATTGGTGGGGTCACAGGTTCGGTTCGAGTGCTGATTAGCGACTCTGGAGCTCAGAACGCGTTTGAGTTGCGGTGTTGTTACCGCAGCAGGATGATGGCGTGGGCGTTGAGGGCGAAGTGGATGGCGGCCAGGCAGGCGAAGGGCACGCCGCAGCACAGCAGGGCGGGGCACTGGAAGGCAACGATGAGCACGAAGCGCAGCGTGCGGCTGCCGGCCAGGGGGTCCGTCTCACCCTGCTTACAGTCAACACCGGTCCACAAAATTCCAGGCTGAGGTTGGCAACCCTTGCGACACTGTCACGTCACCTCGGCGGGGGGCGGCGCGTAGAGGTCGCGCGGCACGGGCTGCAGCGGCGGCACCAGCGTGTAGCACGACTGCAGAATGACGAGGGCGATGAGCCCCAGCAGGGTGGCCAGCAGCCACAGCGTGAAGGAGTGGTCCATGTTGAACTGCGAGCCAGGCAACTCATGAGGCTCGCGCGCGCGATGGGTTGCCTACCCAGCAGGCGGCTAGTCGTGCCAGAGGCTCTGTCTCTCTCGCACCGCGAGTGCCACAGAGGCAAGAGGCTCACCATGAGCTGCAGCAGGCCCCGCTGCACCTCGTCCCGCCGGCACAGCACCTCGTAGCGCTCCAGGAAGCGCTTGTGCTTGGCCAGCATGTAGTGGAGGTCGGAGCCGCGCTCGCGCCACAGCCGGACGTACACCCACGTGGTGTACAGCGAGCAGAAGCAGATCATGGCCTCGGTCAGCTCCTGTGGGCCCGGCCAGCACCAGCCAGCACTCGTCAACTCAATGCCTTGGTTGGGAACGCACAGCGCGCGGAGAGTCTGTCACCTGGAAGTCGTCCCACTCGAAGAGCAGCGTGATGAGGGAGAAGAGTGTGAGCACGCCGGCCAGCCAGGAGCAGAGCGCCGAATACCACCGGTAGAGGCGGCCGTGCGCGCCGGCCACGCGGGCACCCGCTGCGCCAGTGTAAAAAAACAGTGTCGCGCCAGTGGCGAAAGGGCTGCCAACCTCAGCCTGCCTACTGGGTAAGATCTAGCGGGCAAAGCCCAGGTGCTGCTGCGTGCCGGGCAGGCTGAGGTTGGCAACCCTTTCCCGTAGGTGCACCGTGGGTGGCAACCCTGTAAGGTACTCGCCTGGCGGCCCCGTGCGGCAGTGCGGCGAGCAGAAGCAGATGCCGCAGTAGCGCAGCACCTCCGGACCCAGCATGGCCGGCATGGCGCCTCTCACTCGCTCTCACACACTGCCCGCACGCGCCGCCGGCCTGGCCCTCCAAGCCGCCCTCCGGCAGGGCGATCTCGAAGGGCGCTCTCCGTCTCTCTCGCACTCACGGGGCTTGCCGTGTGGGTGCGAGGGAGACAGACGTCACTCGGACGGCGGGCCGCCCATCGACTCGCCGTGATTGTGGTCGGCCTGCCGGGCCTGCCTCGGTGGTTAGGCCATCTCGCTGAATAATATCGCGGAGCCAAACCCTTCATCCGGTGCTCGCCCCGTCATTGGGGCAGCGAGAGGGAGAGGGGGGTTAAGTTAAGGGCCCTCGCGAACTTGAACTTGCGTCGTGGCAGGCCCGTCATGGCAGCCAATCGGGTCACTGGGACAGAGTGCGTCGTCAGGGGGTGAGTGAGTGCAGGGGCGAAGTCCGGATTAGATTCTACAAAATGGTGTGCGCTTACTCGAGTTGCCATTCAGAAGGAGAAATCGGAAGAAGTGGACAAGAAGACACCAATAAATTCGTTTTGTGGGTCAGCCTTTTAATTTTCAAGTCACATCAGGCAGGCAAGCACCGGTGGCTTCGGTGGGGGTTGTTATTTCCGCGCTCAGAAGAAGCCGGGGGTTCCGTAGGTGGTGGCGGGGGCGGAGTAGGCCACCCTGGGGGCGGAGTAGGCCACGGCGGGAGCGGCCGCGATGGCGGGAGCGGAGTAGGCCACCCGGGGGGCGGAGTAGGCAACCGCGGGGGCGGCCGCGATGGCGGGGGCGGAGTAGGCCACCCGGGGGGCGGAGTAGGCAACCGCGGGGGCGGCGGCGATGGCGGGGGCGGAGTAGGCCACGGCGGGGGCGGCGGCGATGGCGGGGGCAGAGTAGGCAACCGCGGGGGCGGCAGCGATGGCAGGGGCGGAGTAGGCAACCGCGGGGGCGGCGGCGATGGCGGGGGCGGAGTAGGCGACCGCGGGGGCGGCGGCGATGGCGGGGGCGGAGTAGGCCACGGAGGGGGCGGCGGCAATAGCTGCGGGGGCGAAGGCAGGCTCGCCCGCCAGCGGGTACTGGGGCTTGGCCTGGGCCACTGCGGCCAGCACCACGACGACGAAGGCAACCTGCAGCAAGGGAGGGGTTAGTGGAAACGCGATGTCCGGGGTTCAACTACCCGCCAGGGCGGATGCCAAAGGCGAGTGATGCTCACAGTGGGGTTCATGGTGGCGGTGGTGGTGGGGTGGACTGCCTGATGGAGCTGCTGGACCCAAAGTGTGACTCTCAGCCTCCACGGCGACGGTTTTATACCCGTCTAAAGTAGAGGCTTGATTGACCCACTGACCGCAGCGACGGGGATCCATCTTGGGACGTTAATAGTGTCACGCGGATTCGACGGCCGTCAAAGAAAGCCGATTTCCGAATAAGTCTAGCGAAAGTTTTAACTGAGTATTTTAAGAAAACATTTCGTAGTCAAAAATTCGTTAAATGGTCACTGCAAACAAATTCAATATTTTCCTGATGTTGGAGTACTTGAACGGCACCCAGGTGCCGATATTCCGTGACCCTAGAGCGCTTTAAATTTATTAACTTTATGGTCCGCATAGTGCCTACTGTTGATTTTGGAAAATTATTCAGATCTCACATGAAGAAAGAGAAACGAAACGCCCGAAAATTCGCTGTTTTGGTGGCAGTTTTGAACCTGCAACCGAGGGAAAGTATGCCATTTCCCCGCATTTTCTTGTCGCCAAACCTATGTTTCCTTTGGTGCTGCGCCGCCAAGTCCGAATGACGTCACCGCCACTTCCCGCCGACGGATGGGGTGCCCACACTGTGGCACACTGTGGTCAGTGGACCAATTAGGCTGCCGGTAGATGAGTATAAAACCGTCGCCGCGGAGGCTGAGAGTCACACTTGGGTCCAGCAGCTCCAGTCAGCCACTTCATCCCCCACCCCACCACCACCGCCACCATGAACCCCACAGTGAGCAGCATCAACTTTCGGCATCCGCCCTGGCGGGTAGTTGAACCCCGGACCTCGCGTTTCCACTAACCCCTCCCTTGTTGCAGGTTGCCTTCGTCGTCGTGGTGCTGGCCGCAGTGGCCCAGGCCAAGCCCCAGTACCCGCTGGCGGGCGAGCCTGCCTTCGCCCCCGCAGCTATTGCCGCCGCCCCCTCCGTGGCCTACTCCGCCCCCGCCATCGCCGCCGCCCCCGCGGTTGCCTACTCCGCCCCCGCCATCGCTGCCGCCCCCGCGGTTGCCTACTCGGCCCCCGCCATCGCCGCCGCCCCCGCTGTGGCCTACTCCGCCCCCGCAGTGTCCTTCGCGCCCGCCCCCCGAGTGGCCTACTCCGCCCCCGCCGTCGCCTACTCCGCCCCCGCCATCGCGGCCGCCCCCGCCGTCGCCTACTCCGCCCCCAGGGTGGCCTACTCCGCCCCCGCCATCGCGGCCGCCCCCGCCGTCGCCTACTCCGCCCCCAGGGTGGCCTACTCCGCCCCCGCCACCACCTACGGAACCCCCGGCTTCTTCTGAGTGCTGAGAACGTCCTTCTCCAAGGCCTTGGCCGACCACCACCAGTCCGCTGACGAGACGTGAAAAATAAACTGCTGTCCCACCAGATTCACTGTTTCTGTTTCCCCTTTCGGGGGCTGCACCTTGTACCTGAAGGCACTATTGGAAGGGCATCAACGCCGTTTGCAATGAGGCACACATTTTCAAGGGATAAGATCAACATTTTATTCGTAAAATAAAAAATTTATTCACGGCAGCGTTTGTACATTAAATTAAAGCGTTGGCACATGAGAGGGAGAGACAGTCCCAGCGTTCGTCAGTCATCTTGCTTCGGCTCACTGCCTGACGAAAGTCCTGATCCAGTCCACGTACACCGCCACGTTGGTGAGCGCGTACACGTCCCCGCCGTCCTCGTCGCTGAGGCGGGCCGACACGAGGCCGGACAGGAACCAGGAGCCGGCCTGCTTGACCAGCGCGCCGCCGCCGCTGTCGCCCTGCAGGAGGCCCGACTTGGGGACGCCTGGAAGCGGAGGGCGTGCATTGAAAGGAGCGGAAAATTTTAAATCACATTGACTATCGATTATCGAATTTAGTATCGATTATGGAATTAAGTATCCATTATCGAATTTAGTATCGATTATCGAGTTTAGTATCGATTATCAAATTTACTACTATCGATTATTGAGTTTACTATCAATTATTGAATTGACTATCGATGATCGAACTGACTTTAGATTATCCAATCGACTTTTGATTATTAAATCGAATGCATTTTTGACTATCGAATCGAATCGACTTTCGAGTATCGAATCGACTTTTGTTTTTCGAGAACTCCCTTACCCTTTTTCCGCGTCGCGCAAAACTTGTCGTGCGTGACGTAGGCGACCTGCTGCCCGTTGCTGGACATGACGTTGAGGCAGTCCTCGAAGTTGAGTTGCGTTAGCGTCACCGACTGCAGCTCCGTCAGGACTGTGGTCTCGTTGCCCCAGCCGGCGATCTGACAAAATTTCAGTGCGTCGTCAAAGTCTGGTTTCCAAGTGGCGAATTGAAATGACACACGGGTGTGAAACTTCTTTCTACCTTAATGTCCGCTGAGGAGACGGGTTTGACGGTCGGATCAATACAGATGGGGGAAATTTTGTCGTGGATGGGGGCGCACGTCTGAAGCTCCAGCACCGCGATGTCGTAGACCAGCTTGGAGGCGTGGCCCTTGTAGTAGGGGTGCTTGGTGATTCTCCTCGCCTGCAATCGTCAGAAAGTAGCAGGCAAAATATTTTTACGGAATCAGTGCTGTTAAGTGGATGGTTCCAACAGCTTTATTTCTTGTACCTCGGTCCTGTGAATATTTTTCCCGGACTCGGAATCCCAGCCGCTGAGAAACTTGCCCAGGGCGACGAAAATCTTTCCTTCAGGGACACAATGCGCAGCTGAAAATGAACGTAAGGGAGCGGTACTAATTCCTCGTTCGGAGAGCAATCCATTGGTGGGGTCACACGTTCTGTTCGAGTCCCATTCAGCGACTCTGGAGCTCCAAACGCGTCCTTGTCCGCCTCCACTGACCTGTGACGACGACGCAGGGCGACACGAGGCTGCCGCCGCACACGTTCCGCAGGCGGCCGTCGACCTGGATGAAGATGCCGGCGTGCCAGGGCACGGACTCGATGGCGGCCTTGTCGCCGTTCTGCACGAGGCTGGTGACGCCCGAGGCGGCGCGTCCGCAGCTCGGTGGCGGCGGCTGCGACCGGCGGCACACCGCGGCGTCCTCGTCGCTGCCGTCGGCGCAGTCCCTGCGGCCGTCGCAGCGCCGCGCCGCGCCCACGCACTTGCCGTCGCCGCAGCGCACGTCCGAGCGGTCCGCGCACGCCGGCGCGTTGCCTGCGGACACGGTGGCTTGGGTTAGGTTAGGCTCGCTAAATGGGACTCGAACCGAGCGTGTGACCCCACCAATGGATTCCTCGTTCGGAGAGCAATCCATTGGTGGGGTCACACGTCCGATTCGAGTCCCATTTAGCGACTCTGGAGCTCAAAACGGCGTTTGCCTGCCGGACTCACCCTGGAAGGTGACGGGCATGTCCGTGCGCCACTTGTGCGGCACCACGCGCAGCAGCATGTTCTTCTTGTCCTCCGCCGGCACCGTGGCCACCTTGTCGGGGTGGCCCTTCAGCCACACGGCCAGCTCCTTGGGCCGGTGCTGCGCCTCGAACACCTGCTCGCCCTCGGGGAACCACCGCCAGCTCTCCAGGTCGTTCTCGAACGACTGTCAGGCGGCCAGAGGGAACAAGCAGGTCAACGCGAGGCTATAACAGTGGGCCAGAAGACCGGTGGAGGCGGCCAAAACGCTAGACGCGTTTTGAGCTCCAGAGTCGCTAAATGGGACTCGAACCGAACGTCTGACCCCACCAATGGATTGTCTCCGGACGAGGAATCCATTAGTGGAGTCGCACGTTCGGTTCGAGTCCCATTTAGCGACTCTGGAGCTCAAAACGCGTCTGGAGTTTTGTCCGCCCCCACCGGTCTTCTGGCACACTGTGGACTGGGTACTGCCTCACGGCGGGGCGCTCACCTCGGCGTGGTGGTAGCCGTAGTCGCCGCGCGCGTTGGCCCTGGAGAACGCGATGTAGGACAGGTTGTAGAAGGGGTCGTGCCCGGCCACGTACACCACGCTGCAGTTGGTGCTGGTGCACAGGTGGAACTCCACGTCCCGGTGGCTGGCCTTCCGGTCCACGCGCACCGTCACCACGTTGCCGACGGGGAGCACGGTGGCGGGGGCTGCGGACAGACAGACTAGCAGTGGCTCCTCTTGCTGGGGCATGAAGGCGAGGTTCAAGACTCACCAGCGTCGCACACGGCGCGGTCCTCGTCGCTGTTGTCGCCGCAGTGCTTCCTGCCGTCGCAGCGACGCGCCGGGTCGATGCAGTCGCCGTGGTCCAGGCACCGGACCTCCGTGTCGCTGCAGGCCGCGTTGTTGCCTGCGGGGGAGGATGGTCACATCGCAGTGGGCCAGAAGACCGGTGGAGGCGGCCGAAATCCCAGACGCGTTTTGAGCTCCAGAGTCGCTAAATGGGCCTCGAACCGAACGTGTGACCCCACCAATGGATTGCTCTCCGAACGAGGAATCCATCGGTGGGGTCACACGTTCGGTTCGAGTCCCGTTTAGCGACTCTGGAGGTCGAAACGCGTCTTTGTCTCACCGAGGAACTCGACGGGCATGTCGGTCCTCCACCTGAAAGGCACCACGATGAGCTTGTCGCTGGGCTCCTGCACGGGCACCACGGCCGGCTTGTCGGGGTGGCCCGGCAGCCACACTGCCAGCTCGTTGGGCCGGTGGGCCACCTCCAGCACCACCTGGCCCTCACGGAACCAGCTCCAGCCCTTCAGGTCGTCCTCGAACGTCTGCGGGGCGGAACGCAACCAAGTTATAGATGAAATATAGATGAAGGAAATTCCTACGAAGATCGCTCTTTGTTAGATTGAATGCAGCAAGCCTACCGCACAGTACCTCGTGGTGCTTTCTGCCGAAGTCGCCCCTCTCGTTCTCCCCGACGTAGGCGATGTAGGACAGGGACTTGTTGGGGGAGGACCCCGCCACCAGGAGTCCGTTGCAGCCCACGCTGCCGCACAGGTGGAACTCCACCTCGCGGTGCTCCGCCTTCCTCTGGACCCGCACCGTCACCACGTTGCCGACGGGGAGCTCCAGGGTGGGCGCTGCGGCAGAGGGTCAGTACAGTGGCGGCAACGGTTATTCCGCCTTTGATTTTCCAGTGCTAAACGGCCGCTGGATTAGTGGCGTATCGACTCGGCCCATCTTTGATCGCGTGTGCCCGGCCTGGCCGGCCAAGGCGAGGCCCGTTGAGGCCCGGCGAGGCCAAGGCCGTCGGAAGGCTGGACAGCACTTACTGTGTGCGCACGCCGCCTCCGCCTCGTCGCTGCCGTCGTCGCATTGCCGCTGGCCGTCGCACCGCCTGGCCGCGTCGATGCACTGCCCGCTGCTGCACTGGTACTCCTGCTTGGAGCAGGCCGCCGCCTCTGCAACCAGTCCGCGATGAGCCAGCGCAGTGGATTTGCCGGAAGACCGGTGGAGGCGGCCAAAAGTCCCGACGCGTTTTGAGCTCCAGAGTCGCTAAATGGGCCTCGAACCGAACGTGTGACCCCACCAATGGATTGCTCTCCGGACGGACGAGGAGTCCATTGGTGGGGTCACACGTTCGGTTGGAGCCCCATTTAGCGACTCTGGAGCTCAAAACGCGTCCGGAATTCTGGCCGCCTCCACCGGTCTTCTAGCCCTCTGTGCGTCCACCAACTGACACTGGAACCTTAAGTGGCGACTTACCGGTGAACACAGCGGCAATGACCGGTGCACAGGCCAGCAAGACAAAGACACCTCGGGGCAGCATGCTGTGTTGACGGTCCGAGCTCCTGGAGCCGTCTGCGGAGGCTCCTTCGCCGGTCCAGGAACCGTGACCGGTTTTCGCGAGAACCGGCCCGCGCGTCTGTCTGCTGCGCGTACTCCTCGATATTATGATTGTTTTTGTGGTTGGGTTTGCATCGTGACGCACGCAGAGGGCGGCGCCATCTCACTGGCCTCTTCGTAGCTACAGTGTAAGGCCGCCCAAGCACCGAACACTCAGGAGGCAGTCGAGGGAAGCCCAAAATGCCGTCAAAATAGCCGAAATTTTGACTGAAAATGATGTAAAACTTGTCGAAAGTTTTACTAATATGGCGTAAACATTGTCGAAATTTTAACCCAAAAATAACGTTAAAATAATCGAAATTTTTACCAAATAAGACATCCAAACTGTCGAAATTTTAACTAAAAATGACGTTTGTTCTTGTCGAAATTTTGACCAAAATTGGTCATTGACACGAAATGACGTCACAGTGAGGGTTCATCGTATTTGTGCTTTTTTTTGGCAGGGCTATTTTGAGAACTACTCACACATAACGGTGCCCGCGGAAACTCCGCAAGTCGTTGTTTTTGGCGCGAAATCCAGTGTGCCAGTGCAAGCGTACTTGCACTAATTACCCTCTGATTCGTCCGGCCAAGGACGCGCGCGATGGCGGATAGTGCTCGCGAACGCACCACACCGGCAGGACGAGCCGCCGGCTGCACAGTTTCGGGAACGACGACAACAAACGGGCCTCGTTGGACTGGATGAATTCGCCGCTGCGTTCCGATCGCGATTTTTGCCATATCTTTCACTAGTTCGGACAGCGACCGACGGTCGATCGGCAACGCGCTGAGCGAAGACCGCCCGGACACAGCAAGTTCATGTTATGCATACGGCGATGGCGCGCTTCGTGGTCCTCGCCGTCGTGCTTCATGGCCTCCTCGCGGGGGCGGGACCGGCGCCGGTAAGTCCAGTGTAAGTTGTTCCGTGTGACGACAAAGTCCCTTTTTACCCGTGTAGGCGACTGCGACGGGTCGACATCGTTTGTCCGACCGACGATTGTCCGACCTGCCGAAATTTGTCCGACCTCCTTTTCCCTTAAATTTTTGTCCGGCCGACGTTTGTCCGATCGACGTTTGTCCGACCTCAGTTTTGTCCAACCCACTTACACCACCACGCGGTCAGGCTGCAGCTAGAGAGCAACTCGGCGGCGCTCAATTGATCTAACCATCCGCGGCTCACTCTCTATGTCAATCAAGACTGGATGCAGGACAATCCAAAGACATATTTACACAAAATGTATTCAGAGTAACAGAAGTAAAAACAACACTATAAAGAAAATTTCAGCGAAAGAGGGCACCCCGGCGAACCGGCCCTCTTCCCCGCTGGCTTGGTGAGCCAGTGGTTCCCCCATCTCATCACAGGAGCAACCTCAGAGTTAAACCGCAGTGGCCCCGTCATTGGTCACGTCATCTGTGATGTGGAGGAGTCCTCTCATAGTAGGCCAGGCTGCCACCTTTCCCAGTAGTTGGGTTTCGTTCCCGGCCCCCTTCCCACTCAGGGGCCATGCTACTGGTACTCAGGAGTCTGCGTCACCCTGCCCAGCAGCGGAACCACTGGGCTATGAGAGGCACACTGGACGCCGGCCGATTTTGTATACTTGAACCGCCTTCTTGCGATGCAAGCTTGGTCAAAATATTCTCTACGGTGCTGGGTATCGAACCCCGGACCCCGCAGTCGGGACCCGACGCCTCTGCGCTCTCGACCACCACGGCCCATGGGTGACGCTGTGCGAAGGGGAGCCTTTGAAGCCGCTGGTCCGAACCGTATAGTCAGACAAAAAGAGCGGGAAGCTAGTATTCGATCGCTCGATCCGAGTATAGGATTCAGGGATCTCAACACCTTCGGCCACCGTGGCTCGGCGGGTAAGCCGAGTGGCGCAACGGGTCCAAACCGCACCGGGAAAGCCACTCGTAAAATGCAAAGAATTGCAGGGAGTTGAACCCCAGCCCCAGCCCCTAAAGTTGTGCGTCCACGCCTCTGCGCGCTCAGCCACCGCTGTTACTAAACAGTATGTCGTAAGTCCCGCTACTGGCTTCACACTGTGGGATCCCGAGGAAATCATGATCACGCGCAGGGGCTGGGGTTCGACTCCCTGCAATTCTTTACATTTTACGAGTGGCTTTCCCGGTGCGGTTTGGACCAGTTGCGCCACTCGGCTTACGCGGCGAGCCGCGGTGGCCGAAGGTGTTGAGATCTCTGAATCCTATACTCGGATCGAGCGATCGAATACTAGCTTCTCGCTCTTTTTGTCTGACTATACGGTTTGGACCAGCAGCTTCAAATGCTCCCCTTCGCACATCTTCATGTATGGGCCGTGGTGGCCAAGAGCGCAGAGGCGTCGGGTCCCGACTGAGGGGTCCGGGGTTCGATACCCAGCACCGTAAAGAATATTTTGACTAAGCTTGCATCGCAAGAAGGCGGTTCACGTATTCAAAATCGGGCGGCGTTCAGTGTGCCTCTCATAGACCAACAGCGGCGGCTGAGCGCGCAGAGGGGTAGACCCGCCACTTAAGGGGCTGGGGTTCAACTCCCTGCAATTCTTTACATTTTACGAGTGGCTTTCCCAGTGCGGTTTGGACCCGTTGCGCCACTCGACTTACCCGCCGAGCCACGGTGGCCGAAGGTGTTGAGATCCCTCAATCCTATACTCGGATCGAGCGATCGAATACTAGCTTCCCGCTCTTTTTGTCTGACTATACGGTTCGGACCAGCGGCTTCAAAGGCTCCCCTTCGCACAGCGTCATTCATGGGCCGTGGTGGCCGAGAGCGCAGAGGCGTCGGGTCTCGACTGCGGGGTCCGGGGTTCGATACCCAGCACCGTAGTGAATATTTTGACCCAGCTTGCATCGCAAGAAGGCGGTTCAAGTATACAAAATCGGCCGACGTCCTGTGTGCTTCTCATAGCCCAGTGGTTCCGCTGCTGGGCAGGGTGACGCAGACTCCTGAGTACCAGTAGCATGGCCCCTGAGTGGGAAGGGGGCCGGGAACGAAACCCAACTACTGGGAAAGGTGGCAGCCTGGCCTTCTATGAGAGGACTCCTCCACATCACAGATGACGTGACCAATGACGGGGCCACTGCGGTTTAACTCTGAGGTTGCTCCTGTGATGAGATGGGGGAACCACTGGCTCACCAAGCCAGCGGGGAAGAGGGCCGGTTCGCCGGGGTGCCCTCTTTCGCTGAAATTTTAATTATAGTGTTGTTTTTACTTCTGTTACTCTGAATACATTTTGTGTTAAAATGTCTTTGGATTGTCCTGCATCCAGTCTGGATTGACATAGAGAGTGAGCCGCGGGTGTTTAGATCAATTGAGCGCCGCCGAGTTGCTCTCTAGCTGCAGCCTGACCGACCGCGTGGTGGTGTAAGTGGGTCGGACAAACGTCGGTCGGACAAAAATTTAAGGGAAAAGGAGGTCGGACAAATTTCGGCAGGTCGGACAATCGTCGGTCGGACAAACGATGTACACCGGAGTGGCCAGCAATATAAATATTGCCACGGGATTATTTTTAATAGGGTCGGGCAAGTGGGAGGTCGGACAAGTAACATACACCCAATCCAACTCCTCCACCATACAGAGCGTTCTCTGAATGTCTCGCAGGCGCGGCAGCAGCGCACGGAGCTCACGTACCGCGTGCTCTCGGCGGAGCGCTGCCCCGACGTCCAGGGCATGGCCATCTCCAGCAGCAACTCGTCGCTGCGCATGGTGGGCAGGACCAAGGTGGTGTTCGACATCGACTTCATGGTCGAGAGGCCGGCGTCCACCCTCACCAAGGTAAGGCGCGTGCAGAGCTCCAGAGTCGCTAAACGGGACTCGAACCGGACGTGTGACCCCACCAATGGATGGCTCTCCGAACGAGCAATCCATTGGTGGGGTCACACGTTCGGTTCGAGGCCTGCTTAGCGACTCTGCAGCTCAAAACGCGTCTGGAGTTTTGGCCGCCTCTACCGGTCTTCTGGCCCACTGTGCGTAGTTGGCAGTGAACGAGACGCGCTGCCGCGAGCGAGTGTCCGAGGCGACCTGCACTCCGGGCCGCAACTTCGCCATCAAGAGCGGCGTCTGCGCGGTGCTGGGCATGAAGATGATGCCCTGGACCGAGCTGGTGGACAACATGCAGCCGCCTCTGCGGTGTCCCATGAAAAAGGTGCGCGTCACAAACGATTCGTTGAAAAACGTGTGACCCCACCAATGGATTGCTCTCCGAACGAGGAATCCATTGGTGGGGTCACACGTTCGGTTCGAGTCCCGTTTAGCGACTCTGGAGCTGAAAACGCGTCCGGGATTTGGGCCGCCTCCACCGGCCTTCTGGCCCACTGTGTTCCTCGCTGCCGGCAGGGCCTGTTCTCCGGGCGCGGCATCGGCATCGACATGCAGGTGGCCAAGATGACGATCCGGCCCGACGAGGACGTCGGCACCGTGGTGGTGGGCCGCGGCACCGTGTTCGACCAGGACCACGCGCCCTACCTGTGCTTCCAGGTGACGGTGGACTTGGTGCGCGTCAGGGTCCGGACCTAACCAGAGGCCTGGCTCAACGCAGCACTGGCACACAAATGCAATGTATTGTAATTTTCTTTTAGTCATCAATCCATTAAAGAAGTCCAGGTGCTTTGTGGGTCATCACAGCAGCGCGGAGCAAATTATTAAAACTAGCCAAAAAACCTGAAATTATTTTCGTCCGAAAGTTTCAAACGATGCGGCAGTGACGCCGCCGGCGCCGCCCGGCCCGCTTCTGGGGCTTGCAGTCGCTCTGTCTCCCTCGCTCGCCCGCATCCTTGCCGAACGGCACGGGGCGAGGGAACGTGCCCCGATGCCCCCCAGGCCAGCCAGGCAAGCCAGGCCAGACTGATAGGCCTGAGTGAAAATGGCTGGTGCCGGTGGGTGCCAAGGTCTGCGCCCCGTCTATTGCCGGCAACCCTTTCCTTCTCGTTCTGCGACTGCGCGACCCCCTGCCGCCGGCACTGCCAGCACACTGCACTGGCAATGGGGAGTCATTCTCAACCCAAATTTGGACGAAGAAATCTTCATATTGGGCTGTGAAGTAGTTCCCACCCAATAGCTGAGCCAAACTTTCATTCTCGGCAATGACTTTTGACGCATCTAGAAACAGGCGAAACTATACCATTCCTCGGGCACTTTTTTTGCCGTGTGGGAAAGTGAGAAAGGCATGTGGGTGGCGTCGCCGGCTTTGACGCTTTACCGGCATTGGCGTATAAAGGGGCCAGTGCCAGTGACGCTGACACAGACACCGTTGCTGCCCGGCCGCCACGATGCGCCCCTCCGCCGCCATCGCCGTGCTCGTGGCCCTCGTCGCCGTCCTGGGCGCCGCACAAGGTAAGACACACAGTGGGCCGAGGGTGGAGGTGGCCAAAATTCTGCACGTGTTTTGAGCTCCAGAGTCGCTAAATGGGACTCGAACCGAACGTGTGACCCCACCAATAGATTGCTCTCCGAACGAGGAATCCATTGGTGGGGTCACACGTTCGGTTCGAGTCCCATTGAGCGACTCTGGAGCTCAAAACGCGTCTGGAGTTTCGGCCGCCTCCACCGGTCTTCTGGCCGGCCTTCCAGGCATCGTCCGGCGGCGCAGAGGGTTCGGCGACGGCGGCCAGGAGTACGGCTACGTGGACGTCCGCGAGGGCGCGCACATGTTCTACTGGCTGTACTACGTGGAGGGCGGCGACGGCCCCGCCGACAAGCCCCTCGTCATCTGGCTGCAGGGCGGCCCCGGGGCCTCGTCCACCTCCTTCGGCAACTTCGAGGAGATCGGCCCCATCGACTCGGACCTCAAGAAGCGCAACTCGACCTGGGTACGGTCACGGCGCGGCGGAGGCGGCCGAAACCCTGGACGCGTGCAGAGCTCCAGAGTCGGTCAATGTGGCTCTATTTTGAAAGGCATCGCATTTCGGCTCTGATTCTCAAGGTCAAGTACGTGAACGTGATGTTCATCGACAACCCGGTGGGGACCGGCTTCAGCTACGTGGACAGCCCGTCCAAGTTGACCACCAACAACAAGCAGATCGCCTCCGACCTGGTGGAGCTCATGAGGGGCTTCCTGAAGCGGCACCCCCAGTTCAGGGCCATCCCCATGTACGTCTTCAGCGAGTCTTACGGCGGCAAGATGGCCGCCGAGTTCGCCCTCAACTTGTTCAAGGTGGGGAGTGCGCCGTTCGCGCGGTGGACATTGAAGTAGCGAAAATGACGTGTTTTTGTTTTGATCGTTCAGGAGAAGAAGGCGGGAACCATCGACATCAACATTCAGGGGGTCGCACTCGGGGACGCGTGGATATCCCCCGTGGACACCGTGCTCTCTTGGGCGAACTACCTGCTGCAGACCGTACGTAGAGGAAGCTTGATTTAACATTGTGGGTGGCAGTGGCTGAGGCTTGGCTGTGGCAGGGCATGGTGGACACGGAGGGCTACAAGGCGGTGGACAGGCTGGCGCTGCAGACGCAGAGGGCGGTGCTGCGCGGCCAGCACGCGCAGGCCACGCTGCTGTGGTCGCAGACCGAGCTGGCCATCTCGCGCGTCACCCAGGGCGTCTCCTTTTACAACATCCTCGACAAAATGCCCGCCAAGGCCTTCGCCCGCACGAGCGCCGACAACCACACAGGTGGGTGGTCAACCATTTGCTGCGTGCGCGGATTTGGAAACAAAGGCCAAACGGAGATTCTGTAAGACCCGAGACGAGAGGAACCACCACACCGGCCGACCTCCCCGTGCCACCATGCCCTGAGCCGATGCCACAGAAACCCAGATCAAGTAATAGCGCATCGATCGATTGTCTCGAAGTCTGCGCATCGATGAATTGATATCGATTGTCTCGAAGTCTGCGCATCGATGAATCGATATCGATTGTCTCGAAGTATCGATGTATCGAAGTGCCGCTGTTCCCCAGGGCATGGTGGACAGGCGAGGCCACCGGGCCGTTCTCGCGTCCGCCAACAAGTCGAGCACGGCGGTGGCGGCCGGCCGGTGGGTGGACGCGACGCGCCGCTGGGAGGCCGTCGAGGGGGAGATCCTTGCCGCCACCAAGCACGCTGACTTCTACAACATCCTGGCGCCCGTCGAGGTCAAGCAGGAGGAGCCCAGAGACGTAGCCAAGAGCACCAAAGGTCACCTCCCCTAGCACTAAGGTCATATGGCCTTACCTAGCACTGCGTAGCACTATGCGGAGACTGAGGTGCACAGTGGGCCAGAAGACCGGTGGAGGCGGCCAAAACTCCAGACGCGTTTTGAGCTGCAGAGTCGCTGAATGGAACTCGAACCGAACGTGTGACCCCACCAATGGGTTGCTCTCCGAGCGAGGAGTCCATTGGTGGGGTCACACGTTCGGTTCGAGTCCTGTTTAGCGACTCTGGAGCTCAAAACGCGTCCGCGATTTTGGCCGCCTCCACGGGTCTCCTAGCCCACTGTGCGGTGTCCGTTTCCGATTCCTGCGCGTCTATCTTTCCACTGGCGGGCTGTTGCAGACTTCCTGTTCCGGGTCATGTCTGAGAGGATCGCCCCGGACGAGCACCTGGACGAGCTCATGAACACCCGTGTGAAGCCCGCGCTCGGCGTGGTCCCCGAGCGAGTGCGCTTCCGCACCACCAGCGCGCAGGTGTTCAACGCGCTCTACGCGGACTTCATGAAGCCCGTCACTCACATAGGCAAGTCTAGGGTGGCCAAACAAAAACGCAGCGGGTGTGCACTGGCAACGCGTGACGAAAAGCGCAAAAGTTAACTAAACCACTGCCTACAGTGGAGCGGCTGCTCTCAGAGACGGACCTGAAGGTCGTCGTGTTCAACGGGCAGCTCGACCTGATCGTCTCGACTCCAGGTAAACAACCACCGCCCCATCCTCAGCCTGACTAATACGCTCCAGCCAGAGTCGCTAAATAGGACTCTGGAGCTCAAAACGCGTTCGGAACGTTGACACTGTCATGTGTGTGCAGGCACGCTGGCCTGGGCGGAACGCCTAAAATGGCGCAACGGCGACTACTGGGTCACCAAGGCGCCCCGCCGCGCCCTGGCCGTCGACGGCATCCTGGAGGGCTTCGTCAAGACGGCCGGCAAGTTCAGCTTCTACTGGATAAACCGGGCCGGACACATGGTGAGCCACTCACTGGAAAAGAACGCAAACAAAATGGTCGATTTTCGTGGAGTAACTTTGAAACTGTTTCAGGTCCCGGCCGACAACCCCGCCGCCTCCATCGAGATGCTCCGGCAAGTCACAGAGTTCGACAAACGAGAGACGACGACGGCGTTATAATTTAAAAATAGAAAAATATTAAACGATTACTCAATGATTAACTCATTTTTTCTACCCTGAGTACTATTTCTATAGTCACCCACGTGTAGCGTGAATGCAGACACCGCAGCCCAGACGAAAATAGTCAAATGAGGAACGCACGTGGCGCCCAAATTTGATGGTGAACCGACAGGCTGTTTTTCGGCCGTGACGATTGAGTTGGCCCTGGTGACAACGTGGCTCTGTCTCTCTCGCACCCGTGCGGGGCAGTGCGGGGCGCCGCCCGAGAGCGAGAGAGACAGAGCGACGCGGCCACACTGGGCGCCCGTTGACAGGTGGGGAGACGGTCCTCCTAATAAGTCGGCGCGTTAAAGGTTGTCATTTGCGATATGGCGCTCGTGGCGTTGGCACTGCTGGCGCTGTGCTGCGCGCGCGCGCGCGCCCACGTCGTGGAGACGCCGGAGCTGGCGCGGTACAAACTGCAGCCGGAACTGTGGATGTCCTCGGTAAGGAAGTGCACCGCACAGTGGGGCAGAAGACCGGTGGAGGCGGCCGAAACTCCAGACGCGTTTTGAGCTCCAAAGTCGCTAAATGGGACTCGAACCGAACGTGTGACACCACCAATGGATTGCTCTCCGAACGAGGAGTCCATTGGTGGGGTCACACGTTCGGTTCGAGTCCGATTTAGAGACTCTGGAGCTCAAAACGCGTCTGGAGTTTTGGCCGCCTCCACCGGTCCGCTGGCCCACTGTGCCCTGTCGAAGGCACTAGTTTGGCTGGAAACTGCATCGCGCCGCAGACCGAGCTGATTAGCGGCCGCGGCTACCCGGTGGAGACGCACGTGGTCACCACGCCGGACGGCTACCTGCTCGAACTGCACCGCATCCCCTCGTCGCCGAAGGCCGGCAACGCCACCGCGCCGCACCGCACGCCCCTGCTGCTGGCCCACGGCATGGGCTCCAGCGACGAGCAGTGGCTCGTCCCCACGCCCAACCTCGGTGAGCGCAGTGTCCCAGAGTCTCTACCTTCCGCAATATTGACGGAAATAGTCCACACAGGTCTGAGAGTGTACTGTGCCAGTGCCGGGCCCGAAAAGGCGTTCGACTTTTTGTGTCCCAGCCTCTCGAGTTCAAGTTCTAGGGTAGAAGCGTCGTGGGCAGGCTCTTCTAAATGCTGGTGTTTCCCCCGTGCGCCCCACAGCGTTCATTCTAGCGGACCACGGCTACGACGTCTGGCTGACCAACTACAGGGGCAGCTTCTACGGCCGACGCCACACCTCGATCAACCCCAAATCGCCAGAGTTTTGGGATTTCAGGTTCGTCAGTTTGCAGAGTAGTCTGCTGTGACAATTGTAATTGCGGAACCCGGACCGAAAAACAGACGCAAAAAAACGGTTCCTTGCGAGAACGGACGGCTGAAGGACGCGGGTAGGCGCTTCGGCTTTTCCGTATCGGTACAGTGGGGCCGGAAGACCGGTGGAGGCGGCCAAAACTCTAGACGTGTTTTGAGCTCCAGCGTCGCTAAATGGGACTCGAAGCGAACGTGTGACCCCACCAAGGGATTGCTCTCCGAACGAGGAATCCATTGGTGGGGTCACACGTTCGGTTCGAGTCCCATTTAGCGACTCCGGAGCTCAAAACGCGTCCGGGACTGCAGCTGGCACGAGAACGGCGTCATCGACCAGCCCGCCATGATGGACTACGTCCTGGAGGTGACCAAGCGCCCCAAGCTCGTCATGATCGGCCACTCCATGAGCACCACGGCGCAGATCGTGCTGCTGGCGGAGCGGCCCGAGTACGCCGACAAGGTGCTGGCCGGCGTCTACCTGGCGCCCACCGTCTACTTCAGGCACCCCGTCGGCATGATGGACTTTCTGCGCGCCCTGGCCAAGACCTTCCCCTCCCTCAAGGTCAGGATGCCGTCCTCGCGAGCGCGCTGCACTGAGCCAGGCCCGACAGTGTGCTGACCCCGCTCTCCTCCGCAGACCGCGTACAGCCGCTACGTGTCCAACAACCCGATGCCGGGCATGGACCACGGCCTCTTCAAATCCTGCCACCCGCTCACCAGGCGGGGCAAGGCCCGGCCGGTGTGCAGGTTCTTCATCGAGTGGGGGGGAGGGGCGCCGCATCAGCCGGAGGACCTGGTGAGTACCGCCTCAAGGCCGTCTCAAGGCCGTCTCAAGGCCGTCTCAAGGTCATGGCTAGGCCGTCACACGAAGTGCTTGTGTCGCAGGACTTGATGCTGAGGATGATGGGCCACTACCCCACGGGGGCGTCCATCCGACAGGTCATGCACTACTTCCAGGGCATCACGTCAGGTGCGAAACTGTGCAAACTAACGCCAAGTCGCGGTCCCAGTCGAATGCTTTGATCCATCCCGTTCCCTTTCTGCAGGTGAGTTCCGGCAGTACGACTACGGAGCGCAGAGGAACCGGCAAATTTACGGTTCCCGCCTGCCGCCGCGCTACAACCTCACCAACGTCAGAGCGCCGACCTACTTGTACTACTCTGTCAGCGACGGCTTGGTCAGCATGCTGGTGAGTGCTGTCCAATGCCAGCCGCCTGTACCGCCACAGTGTAGGCCCAGAAGCAGCTCTATCGCCATGCTCTGTGTGCAGGACGTCGAGGAGCTGGTGGAGAACCTCCCCTCGGTGAAGGTGCTCGAGCTGCACAAGGTGGGCGGAAACCAATTCAGCCACCTCGACTACATTCTAGCGTCCGAGGACTCCGACTTGTACCAATCCATTCTGAAAAGTCTCGATAAATACACCAGGTAACAGCTTCAGAAACAGCCGAAAGCATTTGAGGGTCCACTGGGAGCCAAGACAGACCCAATTGTGGCACAGGACGTTTTATTGAGCAATCTTCTAATCAGTCAAATTATGAGTTCCTTAAAATAGCACGGATTGTAAAAGAAAAAAGGTAAAATAACAACAGTTCTAACATCGATTGTAAAAACCACCTACACACATCAGCACTAAATAAATAACAGCGGCCAGTACGGTCGGCCTCACAGTGGTTTGGCACCTTTCACACCGAATCATCCCTGGTTCTTGCGGTTCTCGGCCTCGGCGCGCACGGAGGACATCCACTGCTTGTGGTTGTCCACGTTGGTGAAGGCGGAGTACGTGAGCGAGTTGGGCACGCCGGCCGAGACGATGCCCCTGAGGAACCAGGCGGTCTTGTCCTTGAACGCGAGCCCGCCGCCGCTGTCGCCCTTGGCCACGGCGGAGCCTGTGAAAAAGTCCACGTTCTAGATTTTTGCCAGCACTACTATGGATAGCAAGATAGGGAAAGTATCGGACGCGTTTTGAGCCCCAGAGTCGCTAAATGGGACTGAAACCGAACGTGTGACCCCACCAATGGACTGCTCTCCGAACGAGGAATCTATTGATGGGGACACACGTTCGATTCGAGTCCTGTTCAGCGACTCTGGAGCTCAAAACGCGTCCGGGATTTCGGCCGCCGCCAAATCCGCTGTACCGTTGATGTTGCCGGCGCAGAACTTGTCGCTGGTGATGTAGGGCCGGAAGGTGTCGGGGATCTCGCGCAGGCAGTCGTCGAAGGCCACGAAGGGCAGGCGGGCCGACAGCAGCGTGGGGCTGGGCGTGCGGTCGTCCGTGCGGCCCCAGCCCACCACCTGCGGGCAGGCCCACAAAAAGCAGTGTCACTACGTCACCGGGAATCCAGGAGAGTGACGTCACGTTCGTTTGACAGGACAGAGACTTACGGTGCCCACGTCGCCGCGGCGCAGGGCGTGCAGTGTGGTGCCCAGCCAGTCCACGCAGATGGGCATGACCACGGCGCTGATGGACACGTGCACGGTCAGCTCCACCAGCGCGATGTCCTCGGCGTAGTTGCGGGACTTGCCGCGGTACTTGTCGGGCAGGTGGATCTTGTACACCTGCGGGAACAGCAAGCAAGTGTGACCCCACCAATGAATTCCTCGTTCGGAGAGCAGTCCATTGGTGGGGTCACACGTTCGGTTCGAGTCCCATTTAGCGACTCTGGAGCTCAAAACGCGTCTAGAGTTTCGGCCACCTCCACCAGTCCTCTGGCCCACTGTGCATTCGTCTCGCGCGGCGCGAGAGCCGAGACACTTTTTGCCGGCGTGCTGAACTTACATCACTGCGCTGCACCACGCCCTGCTCGGTGTGGTCCCAGTCCCGGAAGTACTTGCCGACGGCCACCTTGTACCGGGACGCCGGCATCTTCTGCTCCACCGAGTCGTCGTAGAAGCAGTGCGCCGCTGCGGACAAACGGGTCATGTTCAAAATTCTAGACGCGTTTTGAGCTCCAGAGTCGCTAAATGGGACTCGAACCGAGCGTGTGACCCCACAAACGGATTCCTCGTTCGGAGAGCAATCCATTGGTGGGGTCACACGCTTGGTTCGAGTCCCATTTAGCGACTCTGGAGCTCAAAACGCGTCCGGTATTTTTGACCGCCTCCATCGGTCTTCTGGCCCACTGGTACCAACCTGAGACGACGAGGTTGGGCAGCACCAGCGAGCCGCCACACACCTGCGTGATGCCCGTCTTCTGCTCCTTGTCGTAGATGCCGGCGTGCCAGGGGAAGTCCCCGATGTTGGCGTCCGTGCCGTGGACGATGAGCGTCTGCCCCTTGGCGATGGCCACGCCGCACTCTGAAACAGCACGACCGTCTTGTGGGCGCCAAACACCAACTCGCTTCCATTTTTTTTCCAAAATTTCACAGTGTGCCACCTGTTGTTGCTCACACAGAAACAGCTACACTGTTTTTGATCGGGGTTCATCGATAGAAAACGGTTTGAGTGAGATAAAGGAGGTGTCAGCACCCTTTTTTTGCTAAGCCTGAAGAAAAATCAACAGCTTCAGTTCATGAAAAATACAGTTTATTTTTTGATTAGGTTGCATACATATCAAGCGCACACACGTTGAGCAAAAAATAAGATTGATCGGGTTCAGTCTGATCGGTCAAAACGACGACCACCGGGGTTTTGATTTGAAGCTCGTCAAATGGCACCGGGTCGGACGGGTCACCGGGTTAGATGGCGGCGGCAAGGAACACCAGTACGAGCCTTGCCGCGCGCCATGGGCGAAAGCAAAAAGCTGCAGTCACGTGACACGTCACATACAGTCACGCGGTTCGTCACGTGTACAGGCAGGAGGGCAAGCCCTGCGTCAGGTTGACCGCCAGGACACCCACGGGAACGAAGCCACTGACCGAGTCCTCCTCGAACAACAACAGAAGCCCATGCAGGCCGCGAAAATCTGGACAACAACAACAAACCCGTCAACAGACAGACAACCTCGCCAGGGACCGGGATCAGACAATACACTATAAAAATGTGGAACTGACCAGAGGAAAAATAGAAACAAAGCTACCCCCTACAAAAACAAAACATTAAAAAAGTATCACGTTTAAAATTATCAATACCCGTTTAATTGTATCAATATGATTGAGCAAAGAATTACCAACGTACCCCCGATCAGGAAAAAATATTTTTAAAAGAAAAACAAACACGATATCACAGCAGCAAACTAGAGAGACGAACAGAAACCACTGGGGCACCCACCAAGGTAACAAAACAACTCACATGCGTCAGGGGACACGAACCAAAACCCGTACAACATTTACCCACAACCTTCACACACGAAAATAAGCTATAACTCAGCTGAAGGCAAGAGGGACGGACACACAAAGACCCGGCGTGCATCCCACCGCATGCCACACTGCAAGGCAACACGATGTGTCGTGCACCCTACAGGTGTACCACGCTTCTTTGGCAAGCTAGTCTGCAAACAGGAGCACGGAAGTCAGGTTTTGGCCCCCGTTCCGCTCCGTGGTGGTGGAGGTCGCCAAGCCATTCACTTTCACATTGCCCTTCGTGCTGTTGGCGGGCGCCCCTAGGGCGGCGGCCAGGGCGGCGGCGCTCACAGTCACATTCACATGCACATTCAGATTGAGCTGCACGAGGACGGGCGCTGCGAGGCTAGGCCGTGCGGGGCTAGGCCGTGCGAGGCTAGGCCGGCCGGGAGGGTCTCTAGGCTGACCTGGGGTGCACTTGAACAGCGGCCAGTCCCAGGTGCCGTCGGGCTGGCAGTTGACGGCGTCGTAGTCCGGGGTGACGCCGGCGGGGAAGCGGTACGACGGCTTGCACTGCAGCTTGGCGCGCGTGCCGGGCAGCTGGCCCTTGTCGCAGCGCACCGGCTTGCCGCCCAGCGTGCACTCCAAGTCCACCGACGTCGAGATGAGCGGCGGGCAGATCTCTGCGACAGACAGGGTGTCAGGACCCGCCGTGCGTTGGGGTTCCCCACCAAGCCACCGCGGCCGAAACTCTAGACGCGTCTTGAGCTCCAGAGTCGCTAAACAGGACTCGAACCGAACGTGTGACCCCACCAATGGATTCCTCATTCCGAAAGCAATCCATTGGTGGGGTCACACGTTCGGTTCGAGTCCAATTCAGCGACTCTGGAGCTCAAGACGCGTCTGGAGCTTCAGCCGCCTCCAGCGGTGGCCCACGGTGCGCCCTCAGACACTCACTGGCACACACGGGCGGGTCGGGGCTCCACACGCCGGACAGGCAGAACGTGAAGTTGGTCTCGCTGTTGAGGGTGTAGCCCGGCTCGCACGAGTACTTGAGCACGGTGGCGTGCGGCACCGGCGTGTCCGGCACGGCCCGGCAGACGGCGCTCGAGTCGCCGGCGGGGCAGCCGTCCACGCGGTAGGAGCCGCCGGTGTGGCGCTGCGGCAGGCGGCACTCGGGGCCCCCGGAGGGCACGGGCGGCCTGCAACCAGAGGAAAGCACACTGTCAAAACTGTCTTTTGATTTTAAGACTTTTCCTCGCGTCACTCTCGTCGCATCGACGGCGTTACCTAGACGTGGCCTGCGTGGTGGGCCGGGGCTTCTGCGTCGGCTTCTGGCTGGGCCTCTGCGTGGCCGGCCGCTGGGTGGGCCTCTGGGTGGGCGGCCGGGTGTCCGAGCCGCAGCCGTCCTCGTCCGAGCCGTCGGCGCAGTGCTGCACGCCGTCGCAGCGCGCCTCGCGGTCGATGCAGCCGCCGTACGTGCAGCGGAAGGAGTACGACGGGCACCTGCACAGTGGGTTTGCCAGAGAACCGGTGGAGGCGGCCAAGACGCATTTTGAGCTCCAGAGGCGCTAAATGGGACTCGAACCGAACGTGTGACCCCACCAATGGATTGCTCTCCGAACGAGGAATCCATTGGTGGGGTCACACGTTCGGTTCGAGGCCTGCTTAGCGACTCTGGAGCTCAAAACGCGTTTAGAGCTTTGGCCGCGACTGGCGGTCTAGCGCCTGCAGACGAGCAGGTAGGCACCCCGTTACGTAAGCGCACCGAGCGGGTGGCCTACCCCGACTCCGTCAGGGGCTTCCACGGTAAGGGCACCGAAGGGCTCTGCACTCACTTGACGCTGTAGCACTGCGTGTAGGTCTCGTCGGAGCCGTCTTTGCAGTCCTTGCGGCCGTCGCACACCACCGTGTTGTCCACGCACTGCCCGTTGGCGCACCGGTACTCCTCGCCCCTGGGACAGCGGAGACTGTGCCTTACAAAAACAGCCACAGCAGCGCCGCCGCGCCGCGACACCGGGCCCCTGGCCCTGGGCCTCCGCTCGCTCTCGTCTTCGTCATCGTCATCATCGTCGTGGTCGTCATCGTCGTCGTCATCATCATCGTCGTCGTCTCCCTTCCTGCGCCTCCCCCCGCCCCGCCAAGACCACCGCCTGCGTCTCGACGGCGCGGGGCCCGGGCCCACGGGCGGCGCAGTGTGGTGTCTTTGCGGCACGCGCATCAGCTACAAGCACCCCGAGCGCGCGGTGCGCGCGGTGCGGCGGCGGGCTGGCCGAGCACGGCGACGTACCTGCATCCGGAGGTCGGGGGGTTGTTGGCGAGCCCCAGCCCCGGGGGCCGCGGCCGGTTGTTGCCATTGTTCCACTGGCTGCCTTGCCCGTTGCCGCCCTGGCCGTTGCCGTTGTTCCACTGGCCGCCTTGCCCGTTGCCCTGGCTGCCCTGGCCGTTGCCCTGGCCGCGGTTGCAGATGCGGGGATGCTCGTCGGAGCCGTCAGCGCAGTCCCCCACGCCGTTGCACTTTGCGTCCGCGTCCACGCACGCGCCGTAGTCGCAGCGGAACGACAGCCCGGGGCACCTGCGGGTTCAAACGCCGGTCAGCTTCTGTTTTCACGTCTGGAGTGGAGAGTGCCGCACAGTGGGCCGGAAGACCGGTGGAGGCGGCCAAAACTCTAGACGCGCTTTGAGCTCCAGAGTCGCTAAATGGGACTCGGACCGAACGTGTGACCCCACCAATGGATTCCTCGTTCGGAGAGCAGTCCATTGGTGGGGTCACACGTTCGGTTCGAGTCCCATTTAGCGACACTGGGGCTCAAAACGCGTCTCGAGTTTCGGCCGCCTCCAACGGTCTTCCGGCCCACTACACTCACGCCGAGTTGGAGGAGCACTGGGACCGCGTCTCGTCCGAGCCATCGTCGCAGTCGCGCGCGCCGTCGCACACGCGGTCCACGTCGATGCAGCTGCCCGACGAGCACCGGAAGCTGTGGACAGGACGTCGTATGAGAAATCGCTGCGGCGCCGAACCCGAACCCGGCGGCAAGCCATTCGCTGTGACCACGGGAAAACAAGCACAGTGTTCTGCGGATTGCTACCGTGAAAATTCTGAAGAAGCACCACTGTCAAAAGTGAATTTTCATCTACTCGTGTAGCGAGGCGCCCGCTTTTTCATTTTTTTAAAGCCGGGGAAGGGAGGAAAGGCAAGGCGGCCCCGAAAGCCATAGAGTACTCACCGCTGCACGTCAGATTTGTATCTGGAACGCAGCCCCATCGGATGAAATTCGAGAAACATTAGATACAGGAAAGAGAAGAAACATTCATGTTCACCGGGAAAGAAGTCGCCTGTGCACCAGGTCGTAGAATGTTGCAAAGTAGTAAAAAGAAAAGTCCAAGTTGAAGGCGCTGGACCGAGATAGCGGCTTACCTGCAGTCGTACTGCCTCTTCAATCTCACCAGAGGCGTGAACGCGTCGGAGGGGTCGCTGGCCGTCCCAGCTGCAACCAACAAAACCGGCTTCTAATATTTTGCCTCAAGGAATTACGAACAAAGTTGCCTTTTTGTTTTTTAAAAAAATATGGGCCGGTGTATTGAGAATATTTAAAAATGTTTAAAAAGTGCGAAAATTTTCCGAATTTACCGGTGACCGGTCTTTAATTCCCCAGCGTTTCGCACGCGGCTCTGCCGGGCGCGTCTTCCAGCTCGCATACTCCGGCACACTCGCAGACCGGTCGGGTCGGGCAAGGCGGGACACTGGTAGTACAGTCCGGTGCAACGCCCCGAGACGCAATGGGGCAGCGCGTCGGTGCCCTGGGGCCACCTGGGGCGTGGGTGGCGGGAGAGAGAGAAAGAGAGAGAGAGAGAGAGAGAGAGAGAGAGAGAGAGAGAGAGAGAGAGAGAGAGAGAGAGAGAGAGAGAGAGAGAGAGAGAGAGAGAGCTGTCGTACTCTGCGACGGTGACGCACTTGGTGACGTAGGCCGCAGCGGATTCACGCCGTTCAGGGGATTAGCCGCTGCAGCCCGGGCGAGGCACAGACCGGTGGAGGCGGCCGAAACTCTAGACGCGTTTTGAGCTCCAGAGTCGCTGAATGGGACTCGAACCGAACCAATGACCCCACCAATGGATTGCTCTCCGTCCAGTTTAGCGAATCTGGAGCTCAAAACGCGTCTAGAGTTTTGTCCGCCTCCACCGGTCTTCAGGCAAATCCACTGTGCGAGGCGGCCAACTTCGACACGGCGCACATCGGCGATACCCCTTCACCAAGTGACCTGCTGCCGGGCGTCCTCTCGCGCCTGGGGTATCGACAAGGTCGATTGGCTCCCATTGATAGCACACTGCGACGTGAACTGCAGCTCGTTTGCCGTCGAGACGGAGTAAACAGCAACGACAAAACGGAGCCAAAGTCGCCGAATTACTTCATTATTTTTTTACCGGAGCGATCTGTGGCAATGACTGGAGCACCTGCGTCGTCTGCAGAACGATACAGTGTACTCGCCACGATTCGTCGCGCAGTTCGCGTGGAAGCGACGCGGGCCCGCTGGCGTTTAGAAGCGCGGCTCTAGGCCTCGCCGGGTGGGTGTCACTGGTGACCCAGAGCCGCGAAACCACTCCGCGGGCCAAAACCTCGCACACAGAGAAAGTCCCCGTGCACGGACGGCCCGCGTAAAAAGGCGGGCCAGTCACGTCCACCCCAGCGACAAGACTACTAGAAAACTCTGAAAATTTGCCAGCGAGCACCTTCACGTTAATTCTAGTTGATCTAACTTTTTTTTTCGGACAAATCGTGGAGGTCATGCGATTAAAGAGGTCCAATGCCGGCGGTCGCGGTTCCAGCAGGTTCGTTGGATTTCCGCGAAGCGCTGCTGCTGTTTTGTTACCGGGACGTGAGGCGTGATCGCTTGCCTCATTATTTAAGTCTCCCCCCCTCCCCTCACACAGCCTCCGTACGCCCCCGGCCCGCGGCATGCCGCGGCATGCGCGAGGCGTGCGCGGCTGGTACGCTGGTATTTCCACGAGTCGGGGAACCACCGGCGCGGCAGACGACGTGCGATGCGTACTGGAAATACCCCGCGTCGGCCCTTGCAATCTAGCGAGCGCTCTAGCGGGAGGCGCGGGGTATCGCCGTGCCTCCGGCCCCTTTTCGCGCCTTTATTCACCGAACGAGTTTCCGCAGCGATGACGTCACGAAAAGCGCGTTGGTTCCCTGTCGAGGCACACGCCCCACGGCGGTCTTTGACGGGGAAAGACCGGGGGAAAACAAAGGGAAAACGGGGAAAACAAAAGCACCCACCCGTCAAGCTGAGCGCCGGCAGCAGGGCGGCGAGCACGACCATCCAAGTTCGGCGCGTACTCCGCATGTTGTTTATGTTGTTGTTACGCTGTTGTTGTTGTTGGCTCGCTGCTTCGCTGCGACGCGCTGCCCGCACTGTCACACTGTCACCGCGGCCCGGACCGCGCCGGCGAGGCCACCGAGACGGCCAGCACGGCCAGCATGATGCGCGCGCGGATCGGGGCTATCGGGCAGCGTGCATGGCGGCAGGGGGGGTCGTAGTTTATCACAGACACGATGACGTCACGCAGTACGCGGCGCGCGGCGCTTCCAAACGTCTAGTCCGTCCGTCTCCCGGATGCGCGAGGTCGCCGTCGACCCGTCGACTCGCCGGCAGCGGCCGTCAGCTGGGAACTGAACTTGACTTTGCTTTGCGGCGGGCCGGGCGGGCCGGGCCGGCTCGCCGGGCGTCTCGGGGCCTCTCGCCGGGCCGCGCTCTCTGGGGCCGCGGGTCTCCGCCGGAGGGGCGCGTTCGAAGCGGCCAGCCGCCCGGCACACGCTCGCTCGGCTTGCACTCACGACGGCGTCCCGGAGGCAGCCGCGTGCTAGGGCTGTCGAGGCGGCAAGCGCGCTCCTGCACAGCACTCGCCGGCCAGCAGACTGAGAGTCCTCGTCGTCGCTCTGTCTCTCTCGCACCTAGACGACGCGCCTCATGAGCGAGAGAGAGACATCCGACCAAGACGACTCTCGGATTGAGTCTGCTGGCCGACGACGGAGGAGTGGGGCCGGAGTGCCGGCGTGTTACCGGAGTGGGGGTGTGACCAAAGTGGAATGAATCCACGGCGAGGCTAAGCCAGGGCTACGCCGGCTACGCGAGGCGTGTCTCGGGTCGCGCCCGCTGGAGCCGCTGGAGTGCTGGAGTCAGGTGAGGTGTGAGTTTCGGACGCGGGGCGGCAGGTGTCGCCACCGTCGCCGTGCCGCCCGGGAAATTCCCTGCGGTCTCTCTCTCTCTCTCTCTCTCTCTCTCTCTCTCTCTCTCTCTCTCTCTCTCTCTCTCTATCTGTGTGTGTGTGTGTGTGTACATAGTTCCTAATAAAATTCGGTAACTCAGACACTTCCATGTATTTCGTACAAAACGTTATAAACACAATGGTGCTATGGCTAGTCAAGACACGGCGGTACCAGCGGGGGGTCGTAAGTGAACGAAGAACCTGATTTCAGGGGTCCACAAACAAACACTTCCACAGGTCACCCTTAAATCGGGAAGTTCGTTGAGTCACGCCCCCCTGCGGGTAAGCTGTCTCATGGATGATGGCGATGATGAGGGTGAAGGGGATGAGGTAGAGTGGTGAGATTAGACAACTACGTGGCACTACGGCGATGGCTTTGAGTTGACGGGGAGAGACGCTACACTAGAAGCGGCGCGCGGCGACCACCGCCGCCACCAGACCGACCACCAGGGCCGGCACCGCCGCCACAGCAGAGCCGGCGCCCTCCAGGTTGCAGCCCTGGTTTCTGTCCATCAGGCTGGAGAACTCCGACGCGAGCACGTTCTCCTTGTCGAAGATGGAGATGAAGCCAGCGGCCGCCCTCTGCCAACAGCGAACAACCAGAGTCACGGGCCGGACCAGCGTGCAGGGTGACAGTGCAATGACTTCCATCCACCCACCTTGAAGATGACGTCCTCCGTGCCGCGGAACTGGCCGAACATGTTGAGCGCGCTCTCGTAGTGCTTGGCGCCGTAGCCGAACCAGTACTCCAGCTCCATGAGCAGCAGCGCGGCGTCCTTGGACAGGATCTCGTCGGGGCCGCGGGACACCACCTCGCCGACGACGCCCGTGCTCAGCGCGCACTTGGAGTCCACCAGCAGGCCGAGCTGCGTGCTGACGGAACCGTTGCGGCAGAGGACGCGGTACTCGTCCTCGCGGTAGTCCGCGTTCACCTTCACGATGCCGGAGTCGTCGACTGGAGGAAGAAGAAACGGTTAAACGTACACGCGAAAGTGTTTGAACCTGGCGAGTGTAAGAGGCGTCCGTACTCTCGGTGATGGCCCTGAGGTCGATGACGGCCACGTCGCCGCGCTTGTCGTTGAGGCACCGCAGCGCACCCTTGTCGGCGAAGTACCCGTTGGTCAGGCTGTTGGCGGCGCACTTGTTGGCGTCGGGGTTGTCCTTGTTGTCTGTCCAGGACCAAATAAAAGTTTTAATCGCGTTGAGGCTTTTTCGCGTGCCTGGACGGAGCCCGTCCTACCTGGGCACAGGGCGCACAAGGCCGTCCTGGTGTTGGCGTCGCCGTCGGGGTTGTGGATGTTGTCGTCGGCGCCGGGGGCGCAGGCGCGGTACAGGTAGCTGGCGGCTGCCACCGAGGACGGGCACTTCCGGGGCAGGAGCTTGCGGCTACGGGCCGCGTCCACCCACGCCGTCCACGCTGCAGACAAGCACGCCGTCAGAGCACGCCGTCAGAGCACGCCGTCAGAGCACGCCGTCAGAGCACGCCGTCAGAGCATGCCGTCAGAGCACGCCGTCAGAGCACGCCGTCAGACCAGCAGTTCCTTACCCAGGCCGCCGTACTCGGGGAAGCACGCGGACTTCTTCTTGAGCTCGGAGAGCTGCGTGATGCCTGAGTCGGCGCGAACGACCGCCACCACCTTGTAGGCCCTGTCGTTGTCCGAGTCCTGGTAGATGAGCCCGGCCAGCCCGAACGTCCTGGAAGCGTCGCCAACGACAACAAGTTAGTCAAGAAGCCTCTCCGGAGTGGCGAGCCAGGTATCTAGCCAGGGGTATCCGAAAGTCCACAGGGTCGCCAAATCTTGGCAACGAACTCACTTTCTGGCGAGGTGCGAGTACTCGGCGTCGATGGCCAGGATGTCGGCGGTCATGTTCCGCACGGCGGCCATGCAGTCCCACATGCTGGCGCCCGCGATGCACTGGATGGAGGGCTCCAGGCCGAACGTGTAGGCGCCCTGCTTCAGCACCTCGCACTTGTTCACCTCCAGCGGCGTGAACACGCACCAGCGCACGCTGGGCCGGCACTGCTGGCCCTCGGCCGGCGGGGGGTTGACCGTCTCGTTGCGTCCTGAGGGCGAAGGGGTGGGTTCGAATACCGGAAGGTTTTCACGTTCCTTGAGCGCCGCCGCCGAGCGCGTGGCCGGAGCGGGCGGCCTTACCTCTGGCCATGTAGGTGGACAGCACGGTGCTGTCGTTGGGCGGGTCCACGAGGACGAAGTGGTTGCTCTCCGAGAAGAGGATCTGGGCGAGCGCGCCCTGCCACGTGTCCTTGCTGGAGCGCAGGAAGGCCGCCATCGTCTGCTTCGGCAGCCACGTCTTCAGCTTGTTCTGCAGCGTGGCGGACTTGTCCCTGTCAAGGACAACTTGTGTTACCAGCGCAGGTTTTCACCCTCCGTTTCCAACCTCTATTTCCTGACGTACTTCCTGGCCACGACGACGTTCCAGGGCTGCCGCAGCCAGGTGCAGGGCTTGTTGTTGTTCTTGATGACCTGCATGGTGCCGTTGGGGCACAGGTAGCGGTACTGCTCCGGGTCGGCCCTCGGCTTCCTGTCACCCAGCTAGGAGACGAGACGCAAAACAATGAGGCAGGCTGAGGATTGCTTGCCACCCCTTTGGGGTTGCCTCCACTCACCCCGAAGTAGTCCTTGGTGTACTGCAGCGCCACGTAGGCCACGTCGCCGCCCCTGTCGGTGAGGCAGGACAGCGCCGCCTCGTGGCTGCCCAGGTGGTTGTTGTAGGAGCACCTCTCCGGGTTGTCGCACAGCGCGCACAGCTCGGGGTGCTTGGCCTCTGCAAGCGGAAAAAAATTTGAGGTTAACATTACTGTGAAAAGCACTTAATTTTAGTCGATGTGACTTCATTCTTTGAGCAGTTCCATTTACAAATTTTCTGGCCTCGCTTTCCACACTTACTGAGCTGCTTGTCCCTGAAGTCATTGCGAGACCAGTCACCGGGGATGCACGCCTGGCTGAAGAAGGAGCCGAGGTTGTCGTACTCCTCCTCGATCTTGGGCACCAGCTTGTTGCACTTCTGGGGCACCACCTGCCTCTCGAAGTGCTGCGGGCAAGTTTTCGATATCAAAGACTGGCACTGCAATCGAACCGATCGTGTGACCCCACCAATGGATTCCTCGTTCGGAGAGCAATCCATTGGTGGGGTCACACGTTCGGTTCAGCGAGTCTAGAGCTCAAAACGCGTCTTGAATTTTGGCCACCTCCACCGGTCTTTTGGCCCACTGTGGGTACCTTGAGGACGCGGTTCGTCCACAGCTGGCTGTCGGAAAAGCCAGGATGGCAGAACTTCTTGTCCTTGAGGTTGGCGAGCAGCCCGTTGTAGTTGGACCTGACAATGGCGACGGTCTCGAAGGCGAAGGGCTCTGCGGACAAGACAGTCGGTGATGCCGCCGCCACTACAAACCCTTGGGGAACCCAGTCCGCGTCGCCTCACCGCTGAGTCTCTCCTCGTGCCTGATCTCCGCGATGATGCGGGTGTCGTCGTTGACCACGAACTTGGAGGCGAGCAGGACCTCCTCCGCGGTGAGCACGCCGAAGTCCGCGTTGCCCAGGACGAGCTGGCGCGCGCACTCGGCCGAGTCGGCGATGTGGAGGCAGTTGGCCTCCGTGTTGCCCTTCTTGAGGTTGGCGCACGTGTAGGACTGCACCCTCTCGGAGGCGCACACCTTGTCTGCGGCACGGACAGAGTCGTCTCCAAATCATCTCCAGTTTTGTCAACACATTCCATCTGCCGCCGGTGCCATTTCTAGTCGGTAGTTGGCGTTAAAGGACGTCTCGCCTGCGGGTGCGAGAGAGACAGTTGGCGATTCGGCGGAAGGGCGGGCAGACAGCCCATCGGCCTGATAAGATATGACACACACCGCCACGCCCAGGGCAGCCAGGGCCGCGCGCCTGCCATGCCTGCCACGCCCCGCGGCCAGACGGCACGCCAAGCCACGCCAAGCCACGCCAAGCGCCGGCCGGTGTCGCTTACAGAGTCCACAGTGCCATCGGGGCGTCCCAACACCTCCTACACTCGCCTGAAGGTCTCATTGCCTACCCGTCCTTCGGTTGCCCAACTAGCCAAAACTGAGTTACAACGATTCATTTCATAACTTTATAACCCTCTGACGGTGAAGGGGAGTAGGGCACCGGTGGCGTGGGGTTACCGCCCTTTTACAACTAGACAAACCCCCAGGTACTCGAGCACCTCAGGAGCAAAATGTGACCATCCACATACCCGCCTACCGTGCAACGTCCTGGGCTTTGCTCTCGGAAAGAAGGGCTGGCGTTAGCAACCGTTCCGCCACCGATGGATCAAACGAATTTTCACCTAGTCATGGAAATTGTTGAGGAATATGTACTCACAGACGGTCTGCGCGGTGGCGCAGTGCGCGGCGGCCAGCAGCGCCAGCAGCAGCACGGTGTGCACGGCCTCCATGGCGGCGCGGTGTGTCGGTCCGGTATTGCCGGTGCTCGGGCTCGCTCTGGCTGGCTCTGCCGGTGGAGGTGACCGAATCTAGGCTCCCCGCGCCGAGCCTGCCAGAGGCCTGCCAGAGCCGCGACTGATAGTGATAGCGATACGACAGGAAGGGCCCGGCCGGCCGGTGAGTGGCACTGGATGAGCAAAAGGGGGTTCCAGGAACAGTCAAATGCAGTTCCGGTCGCGCCCGAGTTTGGAATGTGAAATGACATGCGCTTTGTTATTATCATGTGCACGCGGTTGCTGGTGTTTTCTCACCTGTTGCTGATGACTGACCATGGCCTAGGACATGGCCTAGGCAGTAGTTCTCTGTTGTACAGGTCGGGTGCAGAGTGCCCACCTCATTCTACCGGAGGTTGAGAATAAGGATTTACCCTATTTGACTCGGAAGAGGACCCGCACCCATTTCATTAGTGCCTGGCCCAGGCACCGTCTTCTAAGACCTTGAGGATTCAGTCTCCACTTGAGTGATAACTCGATTTAATACGAGTCTGCTACGTTCGGCCTGTTGCTCTCGCTTCACAATTTTTCTTGACCCAGTCGATAAAGGATAACGTTCTCCGGACTTCCTTTGCAAGCAAGGCACTTCCGGATCACATGATGTTTTCACTCGGGAGCACGTTCGACAAGCGTACCTTTTCGGTATCACATCCACGCAAAGAGTATAAAAATGATTTAAAGTTAAGATTAAAAAGTTGATGATCTGTTTTTTCTGCATGTGGGGAAGAGGTCACTTTCCCGTATAAATTCTAACAGGAAAAGTTAGATAAGGTTCTTTGCATCGTGGATTCAAGCTTGCTTGACCGACGCTTGCAACCTGCCGTAAAATAATAAATAGAGCAAATGTCTGGTCAGGTTCTGCATGGCGCTGTGGTCTTCGCGTCCTTGTCAACGTGTTGCCAGGGCAGGCCTGTGCCATCAGGGATTCGCAGATAAGATTAAACAAGTAAGAGGTAAAGGCAATCATAGATGTCTCTTAGAGGAAGCCGCTTTGCCAGACTGCTACTTAAGAATCAAAAACGGCGGGAAATAGGCCAGTTCATTTTCGCGCCTTTGTCGGTAAGGTCATGCGGCAGCCATAATTCATGCTGACAAATATATCACCACAGAGGGCTTTGCCCCCACGCCTAACTGGCTAGTTGGGCTGCCTACCCGTAAGGCGTACGCACTGTGGCGCCCCGCTTGAGGAGTTGGAGTACGATGGGCTGCCTACCTACTTGGCGAGAGGCACAACATTGTTTTGTTCGTCTTTCTTGTCGACAGATTTGCTTTTCTCGGTACTCTTAAGCGTATGATAACCAAGACAATGCAGATGTCTCTGAGAAAGGTGGCTCCATTAAACGACACCTTTGGTGTGACTTGAGTAAATTGACGAACAGGTGGGCGTGTTCTTTGTGCTTAGGGGAGGCAGTATGAAGTTTCAGTGCAGCGGTTTTAGACGAAAATGAATTCAAAACTAAAGCAGATGAGTAATTCTCCTCATATCGTGGCCCATTGTAGGGTTTCGTGGGCTACTCGGGCCCTGGCGGGCCGGGGAGGCAGAGGTTCCTCTTCTGGGCCACGAGCTCAGTCATCGTGCCGCCGTCGAGACAAACACGTTCCCTTCCGCAATGCCTCACGCACGTCACGTGGAGGTCAGCCGGCCGCTCTCTCTGGTCGCGTCGGCCTAGCCACGGTCGCCTCAGACGGACGGCCCCAGGCGGAGGCTAGGCCGCAGCGACTGTCGCGTGCCAGATAGCCCAGCCCGCTCGACGGACCGCTACTGCAGCTGAAGTTTCCGCCAGTCAGTAGGCGTGGTGCCTCAGCCCGCGCGGTGCAGTGTGAGACGTGCCCACAGCGCGACAAAACCAAAGATGGGGACCCTCGCCAGGGGCCTGACGGCTCCAGCCAGATGCGCCAATCAGGTACACGGTGTTCGTGGTAAAGTGGCTCCATTAAACGAAACGACAACATAGTATGCACTAACTGCTGCAGCATGCCTGCAGGTGCGATCTAACTTGCACTTGGCGAGCAGACGTGCGTGCGCGAACCTAATTCTTATCTCAAGCGTGCTAACTGTAGAAAAACTGTGCGTATGACAAGAGTGAGGAAGGTACGGCCTGTTTTGTGTTTTCCAGCAGATCTTGGCGGTGCGTCTGAGGTCCACGATTACCGTGAGCCCCACCCTGGACGAGGCCGCTACGCCGGACTCGAGACCCTTCTCTGAGGTCCCCGGCCCCAAGCCAGTCCCCATCTTCGGAAACATTTGGAGGTTCATTCCGGGGATCGGTAGGTGCAGGCTTGTCCAAACGGTAGAACATACGCATCGGTTTTCTTCAGTTCTTCATGAAATGATTTGCCAGGTGATCTCGCCGGGATCACTCCGTACGACCTGCCGGGAGAGCTGGTGCGTCGCTACGGGCCCGTGGTCAAGCTGGAAGGACTCTTCACAACTCCAAGACTCTTTGTAGCTGACCCCGAATGTGTGCAACAGGTAGATTTGGATTGTGAAATATGCAAGTTCCTTGTGGACTGAAACAAAGATCGTCAACGGGTGGATCGCGATGGATCGTGCTCGCGAACGTCGGTTCGGGTCGGTTCCGAACCAAACCGAAGCGCCGGTTTTGGCCCAAACCGTTGACCAGCTTCGAGTCCCGGCGGCGCTATAATTTTTTTTCGCGATTTCAGAGCTGCAACCGCAACTAACATTTCACGGCACACATAAATACCGTGGGGATTCCTTTTCAAGAACCTGAAGGGTACCAGAGACCGACAAAAATGCAGGCTTCTGCCGGGATTCGAAGCTGGGCCAGTCGCCGGCCGGGTCCACGCCCGCCAGGGCTTGGCTCGGGCCCGACCCGGACCGACGTTGGCGGGCACGATCCAACGCGATCCACCCGTTGACGATCTTTGGACTGAAACTTAGATAAGATACTAAATATTGGTTGCAGGTGTTTCGGACTGAAGGACAGTGGCCCATACGGGAAGGCATATCTAGCATTGACTACTACTACAAACACTACAGGAAGAACTTGGAATTCAGCCTTGGAACAGCGTAAGATACGTCAGATAACGTTTCCCACTGTGTTGCGAGAGATAACACCGTTTACATTGTCGAATTTTCAGAAACGGGGAGATGTGGCAGAAGTTCCGGTCCACCGTGAACCAGGTAGCCATGCAGCCTAGGAATGTGAAGGTGTACGTCGAACCTATTGACGCCGTGTCGGAGCAGTTCATACAAAGGTAAAAAATAATAACACTGTCCATATATTGGGAGCAAAGAGGTCGTCATATTGTTTATTTTTCAGGATACAGTCATTACGGGATGAGAACTTGCAGCTACCGGACGACTTTCTGACTGAAATGAAGAAATGGGCTGGAGAATGTGAGCATAGTGTTATGACTACGATAAAAACATTGCAGCTGATTGGAAGTTTGTGAATAACGTGGTTGTTGGTGCACCCTAGCGATAACTTACGTGGCCCTGGACACGCGGCTGGGCCTCCTGGAAGACAACCTGGACCCCCAGTCGGAGACGGGCCGCATCATCGGCCTCGTGCAGGACGTCTTCGAGTCCATGGCCAAGCTGGAGTTCGGCCTGTCGCCCTGGAAGCTCGTGTCTACGCCCACCTGGAGGAAGCTCAAGTTCGCCATGGATGTGTTCACGGAGTGAGTGGTTCCAAGGGAAACTAGGCCAGCGCGCGGTGCTTTGTTGTTGTTTATTTTTTTCTTGAGGGAAGATGAAGGCACCACTATCGCAAAATGTGCCAACAGTCTCGCGATAACGAATTCTAAGCTATTGTTTTGTCGCGCCACAAGAATCTGCCAGTCATTTGAACCGCACACGGTTTTGCTTGGGGCAGGATGGCGACCAAGCGGGTGGACGACGTCGCACTCCGACTTGCCAAAATGTCCAAGGAGGAATTGGAGTCCCGGCAGCTGAGCGTCCTGGAGAGACTCCTCATCAACAGCAAGGACCCTGCCAAGGGCGTGGCCTTCGCACTCGACATGATGCTTGCTGGCATCGACACGGTGCGAACTGTGAACAAGGATGTCGATATATCTAATGTCGGCAGTAGCCTTGTTTTGATCTGCTGGTGTCTTTTTCTGTAGACCGCAAACCAAACGTCGTTCCTGCTGTACCTGCTGGCCACCAACCCAGACCAGCAGCGCACCCTGCAGGCCGAGCTGGACAGGGAGTGGGCTCCGGGGGCGCCCCTCACCGCCGCCCTGCTGGAGAGGCTCAAGTACACCCGGGCCGCCATCAAAGAGTCCCTCCGGCTGATGCCCGTCGTCACCGGCATCCTCCGCACCTCCAACCAGGACCTCAACATGAAGGGCTACCACATCCCCAAGGGCGTACGTCAGAGTTTAACAGTGTCTGGTCCATTTAAACAGTCAAGTATCGGGTGAGGACAGTGTCTCTTCCTTTTGCAGACAACGACAATCTGCAGCACCTACGTGATGTGCAAGAGCAAGGAGTTCGTCCCGCGGCCCGACGACTTCCTCCCCGAGCGCTGGCTGCCGGGCAACGAGAGCCTCAAGCCGACTAGCCCTTTCGTCAACATTCCCTTCGGCTTTGGGCCGCGGATGTGTGCCGGGAAGCGCTTCGCGGACCTGGAGATGGAGGTGCTGTGCGCCAAGGTTGGTGGAAGTCCGCACAAGCGCCCGCCGTAGAGTCACACCATCGGGCAGAGGTGCACGATGGGCTGCCTACCCTGCCGAACGCAGGCGGCCGGGCGGAGTCCCACTTCCAGAGCAAACCAGACTTGCTTGTCTTAGTATTCGAGAACAAGTGTTCAGTTAGTGCATGTATTGATGCATCAAGCCCAACAACGACTTAACGCAATTCTATTCCCTGCCATTTTTTTCTGTTTCAGTTACTGCGGAAATACAGCTTAGAGTGGCACCACCCGAAGCCGGAGGTGCAACAGCAGCTCTTTGTCACTTTCACCAGCCCACTCAAGATCACCATGAAGGAACGGTGATCGGAAAACGTCTGTCGAGGCGGCGTTTCAAATCGTCACAGCAATAATTTGTGGTGAAACGAAAGGCCAAGTGCACGCAAGATGTGCGCGCAAAAGGCACAGTATTTTTCGCCCCAAGGGAGCCCACTGAAAAAAAAGTCTAGTAACGATAACCAGAATCCTGGAACCAAATACCAGACTGTCTGATAGAATATAACTCAACTAGAATTCTGGTAAAAAATACTAAACTGTCTAGTTGGCCTCAGTCTAGTAAACCGTACCAGATTTATAGTTATCCTCACAATGCCGCCAGGTCCCCTTCTGGTAGTTTTTACCAAACATCCTGGTTAGTTAATGTGCTTACAAAACTGAAATAAGAAGTCCAAAATTTAATAAAATATTTTTTCGTAGTGATGAAACCTAATGTGACGTCGATTTCGTTAACGAACAACCTCTGAATTGGTTTTTTCCCTCCTCCTCTCCTCCGGATTCGGACCGGGATCTCACACTTGTGAGGCGGGCACGTTACCACTGCGCCACCACGTCGCCTGTGGGTCGAGGGGATCCCCACCAGGTGACTCTCTACGTGTCTGGCTCAGGGAAATACTCCCAGTGTTTCTTTCGGATTTAAGACTCCGAAAATAACGAAACCGGTTGCAGTTTACTTTTTGACACCCGAACATTTCAATTCAAACGAATATTTCGAAGTTTTGCGTATGGTGCCAATTACGGAACAGTCTGGTAAAATTTACCAGGATTATTAACCAGACACCTGGTAAATGTCACAACACCCGATCTGGTTACTGCAACTGATCATCTGGTGAGAGTTACTAGGATTCTCGTATGAGTAACTAGTACTCGTTTAACTAGGATTGGTCTGGTACTTTTAACCAGACTTTTTTAGGCCAGGCCAGCCCTAGCGGCCGAAAGCAGGGACGAGTAACCTGGCCGCCCTCTCGAGTCGAGCCGGCCGTCTAGAAATAGAGGCCGGGGCGGTCTGCCGCGGGGGCCGCGGGGGCTGTGGGGGCGTCGGGGTCGCGGCGCCCCGACTGCCAACTCTTTGGTGCCGCCCTGTATTGAGCAAGGATTGGGAATCGGGTCGCAGGGCCCCGTTACATCGAGACGTGTGAACTGGACTTGCCTGGCAAAGTCACCAAGTATTTATGTCGATTGAATAAAAATTACAACAGCACAATAACAATGTCTAAATTTATTTAAAAGAACAAAAATATGTCACATAAGAATGCTATACATTGAAAAATACAAAACAGTCAAAAAAATATCATTGGAAACCATTATCTCGGGTGGTAAAAAGGGCTGGATGATGAGAGGCAATCGTGGAAATTAAAACAATTCCTGGAATAGAGAGGAATTTGCTAGGGGCATCTACATTCTACAAATAACAGACAACAAAGTAAGGGGGTTGGCAATTAAACATCCATGAGAGAAATGCTAAGCACACTTAGTCCTAGGAGGCGAAAGATTGCACATTTAAGGCGGTAGACTAGTTCCTCTACAATTTACAGCAGTACAATCACTTAATTTTTCTACGGGTCATCCAGTATTAGAATATGAAGCATAATATCACTAGTATAATTCAAAGAACAATTTAAAAGCCACTTGTACTTGTTTCCCAGCGAGGCCAGACGTCACAAGCAAATGACATAATATCAAATTTAAACAAAATGCATTCTTCAACAAAACAACAGACTGTCTGTTCCATTATCATGTCCGTTAGGCGCTTAAATTATCATTAATAATGCCAATTTCAACGTACTCGTACAGTATTAATACTTTTAAAGTAAAAATAATAAATAAATAAATTCTTTGTTGCACCATCAGCCAAGTGTGGGTTAGCTTCCATCTGTTTTCATCCCTTATAACGATTGAAATGCTTCACTGTCCCTGCGCTCACTCGGCGAGCCGCCCAATCTCTATTTCCTCTACCACAACTGCACAGCGAGTTGTTTTAGACAATAGGTCCTCGCGCGGGCCGCCGGCTCGGACCGCCAATGTGGGGTCCCCGGGGGCGCCGCGAGGGGTTGGTCCGCCCGCCGAGAGATGGCGCTGGTGGTGGGGTGATGCAGGGTGGTTGAGGCGGGAAGTTCGAATTGTCCTCCGCGAGCCACTCAGTGGGCGATGGGGATCATCTTCTCCGCGGGGCCGAGCGCGGCCTGGGGCAGGGGGGCCTCCACGGTGAGCACGCCGTCTTTGCTGAGGGAGGACTTGATGGACTCGGGGTTGGTGCCCTTGGGCAGGAGGAACTCCCGGTTGTACTCGCGGTACACCGACTTGCTGTCCGTCTTCTCCTCGTGCTTGGCGTGGACCTGGAACAGAACAACAGGACAAATCATTTTTTGCAGTGTCGTTTGGCAGGCCCCGTAGCGAGCCTCGTTACAGCGCGTCCCTTCCCCAAGTACTGTCAAGGGACTGCATCGTTGCATCACTGCAGAGACTGTGCGGTGCGGGGGAAGAGGACAAGTGTCCTGCGGAGCCTCACGTCAGTCGGACCATCAGGCCGTCGAGGGCTGTGGGCTCTGTGGGCGGCCCCGCCGGCCCCACCCCTCGCGTGACCAGTTACGCTGCAGTCGTTTCCACAGCTGCCATTTTCACACAAATCATGAAACATGAACTTGTGGTGCGACCATTTTCACCCAAATCATGACACATGGACTTCTGATGTGCGTCCTCCTGTTAGCAGACTGCAGCCGTGAGGGCAAGCAGGACGGGTGTCTGCTCATTGTCATCGCCGGCCATAACACCACGTTTCGGCAGTACACTGTGGCCTAGCCTCGCAGAGGGACGTGCCGACAGCGCGGCCTAGCCTCGCGCAGGGGCGTGCTGGGGCGCCAGACAATGCGTGTGAGCGCCCAAGGTCGGGCACGCGTGCGGGGGTGGCGGCTAGATCGATTCTAGCCACTGTTTTCGTAAGACTGCCGGTCGCCCGGTCGCGTCGGGTAGGCAGGCCCGAAGGCAGGCCCAAAAGGCAGCGCCAAAACACGCACATGATAGGCTAGACCTGGAATGATCCTTTACCAATGCAGGCTGGGTGTCCTCCCGGCAAGATGAGTGTTTTCCAACCTTTCCAGACCACTGAAATCTGCAATTGTCTCGCATCCTTTGGCAGAGTTCCTGCTGCTTCACCATTTCGACGTGCTGTGTGTGTATGTGTGTGTGGAGGTGGTCGCCAATGATTCCCAGCCAAAACAATAATGTCCTTGAGCTGCCGCAGGGGTGCACACACAGACAACGTCGAGGGGGGTCGCCTGGCAAACTAATTGAACGAGGAGGAGGAGAAGGGGAGCAACAATAAGAAGAAGACCGCCATGATGAGTGCGCAGAATTCACGACTATTCCCTTCCCTTTGGGTGGTGCATGGCGGGGCCGGGCCGGGGCCGGGGGTGGCGGGGGTAAATTGCTCGCCGCGGTGAGGGGGAGGGGGGGGAACGACGATGATTTTAGGAAGGGCTTTAACCTCCAGACTCACCCCACCGCACAATAAGCACCCCGTCAAACTGCAGACAGACAGTCGGTCGCTCTGTCTCTCTCGCGCCCAGACGGGGTGCCCCACGAGTGCGAGAGAGACAGGGCGACGCGTTCCGCCACGCCGCGCGCCAACTCCCCCAGTGCCACGGCAGTGCCATCAGCACCTCGACAGCGCCCCTCTGCGGCAAGTCAAAGGCCGGCATTGTGGACCGCTTAATTGCCTACCTAATCGGCCAGTGCAGGCACAACACCTCGCTTCAGGGGTGTACAGTGGGCCAGAGGACCGGTGGAGGCGGCCAAAACTCCAGACGCGTTTTGAGCTCCAGTTTCGCTAAATAGGACTCGAACCGGACGTGTGACCCCACCAATGGATTGCTCTCCGAACGAGGAATCCATTGGTGGGGTCACACTGTGGCCCACTGTGCTTCGCTGCGCTTGAATTTTGTGCATTGTAAACATTATGCTCAATTTCTTGCACCCCCCCAAAAAAAAATAAAGCTTACATGGTAATTTAGTGTCCGTCGGAGGGGGAAGTCTGCGTGGCGCTCCGGCCGCCCCCTTGCGGGGCCATACGTCCCCATACAATCTAGCGGATTACCCTCAGTCATCCCGTAAATCGCGGCGACCCCGGACGGGGCGTGGCGAGGCGTGGCGGGGCGGGGCGTTCTAATGCGGCGTTCGCTAAAGAGGGCCGCCCTGCTCGCGCAACGCCCCCTAGCGGCAAATTTATTCCACTAGCGAGTGGAGGGGGCAGGGGGCACGCGCGTCAAACAGAGAGGGACGAGGGACAGCCCAGTGCGTGGGTGGGTGAGTGGCAGCCCTGATTTGGCGAGGTCGTTGAATGGGCTCCAATCATCCCTCCAGCACCCCTTCACCCAACCCCTTCCCAGTGTAGCGAATTGCCAGTCACGGGGACGATTTTCGCGACGACCACACCAGGGCACGAACAAAGCCACATGGTTATCAATTTTATTTTTCCCTTTTTGTCTTTCTTTTCGCCTCGCGCTAGCCCGGTGAGCGAAATCGTTTCCACTCCTCGACGTTCCTCGCTTTGACAGCAATCTGGGAGCGTGGCTGCGTCACCGTCGAGAAATCCAGGGCCGAGTGTGACCCGAGGCGAGGGATTAATCACTCCGAAAAGGATCCGCCTCGGGTACCACTTCGGGTGTAGCACTGCGACTCCGCCGGTACCGCCGGCCCCAATAACACGTTTAACGGCGTGCGATTTCGGCGGGCGATACGCCGAGCGAGCGGACGCAGAAGGGGCGGGCAGTGGCGCGAACATCGCCTGGGTAAACACCCGCTTCGCCACGCTGGCCGATAGGGCCAGACTACAACAAGCGGACCTCTAGGTCTCAATTAGACCCCCGCACAGTGGGCCAGAAGACCGGCGCAGGCGGCCAAAACTCCAGACGCGTTTTGAGCTCCAGAGTCGCTAAATGGGACTCGAACCGAACGTGTGACCCCACCAATGGATTGCTCTCCGAACGAGGAATCCATTGGTGGGGTCACACGTTCGGTTCGAGTCCCATTTAGCGACTCTGCAGCTCAAAACGCGTCTTTGGCCGCCTCCACCGGTCTTCTGGCCCACTGTGCGGCGGCTGGCCGTGGGCGTAGCCAGGGAGTGGGCGTTGGCGGCGCCCGGTCCGCGCTCCGCCACTGGAGGCCGCGGACACGCCTCGCTTCGGCCGGAGCGAGCGAGCGTTCCAGACGGACTGCCTTCGCCGCCGCCTTGTATGGGCATGGCTGAGGTGCCCAGTGTGTGAGCCTGCCAGCCAGCCGCCGGTCGGCCAGTGGGGCCTAACTGACTGGGGTCCCGTCCGGCCCGTCCGGCAGAGTCGTTCTCGTCACTCTGTCGCACCTTAACGGGCGCCCCGTGAGAGCGAGAGAGACAGTGTGCCGGCCCGGCCCGTCCGCTGGACGTGTGGGTTTGGTATCGCGGCGCTCGACAAGTCCAGTGTCTGCGCGGACCGCCGCCTGCACGTGACGTGCACCCAAAGACATCCATCGGCGGCATGTTGAACGAGCAGACAGCGAGCTATTTATCCTAACTCCCAAACACAAATGAAGTTTGATTTCAAATATTTTTTCCCTGTGTGTTGTACCTACGCGGCGCGCTGCTGTCCCAGACAGACCCCAGTCCAGACTGCGTGCGTTTAAGCCCCACTGCGGTGCCACTTGCTTGCCACTACACGTCCTGAACACCGCCTTCGAGGAACGCCATGCCGGGGGCGGGGCGGAAATGTTGCACACGACGCGTTTGCGTGGGATGCACACACACACACACACACACACACACACACACACACACACCCACACACACACACAGACAAACACACACTCACAGGGTGCAGCTCGGTGACTAAACTGTAAACGGACATTGATCTCACGCTCCAGTGCACGTGCAAAATTTCATAGGCCTCCCCCAAACGCATATAACCTCATCCACCTCCCCCCTTCCTCTCTCTCTCTCTCTCTCTCTCCCTCTCCCTCTCTCTCTCTCCCTCGGACCTGTCTGCAGCTTGCTCCTCCCGGCCGCTTCCTCTCTGCTCCTCCACAAATACTCCCCCCACTTCCGGAAATCAGGTGCGCCTGGATGCGCTTCCGGTCGGTGACAGGAGAGAGCCCTTACAGAACGAGAAGTCCTGATTCGGGCTGCTGGGATGGACTCATGAGGGACTGATGGGTGGACTGACGGCATACTGAAGGGACTGAGTCCGACAGGTTGACCAAGGGGTTGAACGGGTTGAAAAGGTTTCATATTTCGGACTAAATTCAACCTCGGAACGGGTTGATACTAGTCCGACCGGGTTGAATCGGTCGGTCGAAAAAACGAACAGAAGCGAGAGTTGAACCCACACGCTCGGCTTGGTGTCCCGACACCTTAGCCGTTACACCACGGCTCATCTCTGCTTCACGGACTGACGCGGAGCGGTCTGTATCTTCGCTTGCGCCTAGCTGACTCTTGTCTTTTGTGCGCTGTTATGCGCCCAGGCAAGCTGTATGGCGAATGATAAGTGTTTGTGCCTACACCCACTGTATTCTCGTAATGTATTTCAAGCTTGGACGAGCTTGGACTTGCACCCAATAAGTTCGGTGCCGATAAGTTCTGGGCAGCGGCCTGCATTGATTTTAGTCAAAAAGTTTCGTTGCTCACTAAAATATATTTTGCATTTTTCTTTTCGTCCCGTCCATCTGCCTTGCATTGGTCGACTTACGTACATAACCACGTGGCCGTCTCTTAATATTTGACTAATAACTCCATCGTGGCCATCTTCTATCAGTTCAAAGAGTGTGGGAAGAGTCCGGCTGGTCCGCCAAGGGACACTGCGGGGTTGACCAGGTTGACTAGCGGACTGGATGGACTAGGGGCGTACTGGTCAACCCAGGGCATACTCTGAGGAGACCAGCAGGTTGACCAAAAGTCCGACCAAAATACTCTGGCATACTGACGTTGGACCGTGGCACACTGATGCATACTAGTATCAGCCTGTTCGCAACCTCTCTGTGGACTTCTCGTTCTGTAAGGGAGAGAGAGAGAGAGAGAGAGAGAGAGAGAGAGAGAGAGAGAGAGAGAGAGAGAGAGAGAGAGAGAGAGAGAGAGAGAGACGGCCATTAAAATGGCGGACGACAGGCAAGCACTTTGCGGTGTTTGTGAGACTCGAACTACGGCAGCACTTTACCCCCTTCCCCTCCTTTCACCTCTCCCCCTCTCTCTCCATCTCAAAATCCGGCGCCACTTCGAGAAAAGCCAGGAGGCCGGGAGAGCCGAGCGGGGAGAGAGAGAGATTGGGAGAGACTCGCGAGGGGTGAATCTGAGAGTGGAGTGTTTGTAGTCCAATTATGCTCCCTGGCACACCGTCGCGCCCTCGCCACTGTTAAAAAACGAACCAGCCGAACGGTGACATGCGGAAATTCCAGGGCAAACATTATGGCTGGCAAGAAACGCCAAGAAGATCGAAAAGAAAGTCAAAAGTTCAGTCACCCTGAAAACCGATCATTTTTCAGTGACACTGACTCGCCGAGTTAATGTTCAGGCTGTCGCTTCTATTATTTATTTTTTCAGTTTTTTTATTTTTGTTGCTAGAACCGATCGCTCGTCCATCCGTGGCAGTGGCGCAGGGGCCCGCAGCCGGCGGATGAACCCACATGGAAGGGGGGGGGGACTTGAAACCCTGCTCCATCAAGAGGAAAGTGAGTACACCGTGGCACGTCCAACGGGGGCAGATTTGTCATTTATTAATATTTTTTACGTCCTCCAAGTCAAACGCGCGGGCCATATGGAGTGTCTACAATCAGGCTATCCTCTGGAGCGTGCCTGGACTGCCCGCCCCGCCCCGCCCCGCCCCGCCCCGCCCCGCCACGCCCCGCCCCGCCCCGCCACGCCACGCCCCGCCCCGCCCCGCCACGCCACGCCCCGCCACGCCACGCCCCGCCCCGCCCCGCCCAGCCACGCCCGTCTCGTCTGATCGCATTTCGCGTCCATGTTTGGAGCCGCGCGGTGTGTCACTGGAGCTCCGTGGCTGGAGCGGCGTTGCATAAGGCATTAATCCAATGCTTTGTTTGGCAGCTCGGCACGAATTTCAGGTAAAAACAAATACTTTAAAGTATGTGTCAGGAGCAGGGTTGACTTTAAGAAGCGCTTAGGCCTGAACAAATTTTGGACAAAAAGACTTACGGTGTTTGCCACTGAGACCACAAGAATGAAAATTGCCGAAGACAGTACTTCTGGACGCGCCTCACAGGCCGCGACGAAACGCTTTCGGTTTCTGGCAGTGCCGCGACCGTGCCTGACTCCGCCTATTTTCGCGTCAATGCGGCAATGGCTCTTACAGTGCGGGACCGCCGCGGCGCCGCAGCCTTGGAGCCGGCCCAAAGTCGGCCCGAAGTGAGACCAAACGGCGAGCCGAAGGCACGCCGAAGGCACGCCGAAGGCAGAGGCAGGGCAAGGTCCCCAAGGCCAAGGTCTCCGAGGCCAACTCCACGCGCGCGCCGTGGATTTGCCAGAAGACCGGCGGAGGCGGCCAAGACTCTAGACGCGTTTTGAGCTCCAGAGTCGCTTCGCTGGATGGGACTCGAACCGAAAGGGTGACTCCACCAATGGATTCCTCGTTCGGAGAGCAATCCATTGGTGGGGTCACACGTTCGGTTCGAGTCACCTTTAGCGACTCCGGAGCTCAAAACTTGCAATAAAATGGGAGTTATCTCAGTGTGCTTTCTCCTCGCAGCGACCCAATGGAACCCCGCGACGCGCGACGCGAGGCGTGGAAGGTGCTTGCCCTCCACGCGTGGTGGGCGAGGCCAGGCCGGGCCCACATTGTCTTTCATTGTCGTCTGCCTCTGGGAGAGGGGGAGAGGGGGACGTGGAGTGGGCGTGGTGACAAGGCGCAACCCCTCTCGGGAATCCTGAGGACCGACCGTCACTCTGATCCAAACCAAGACCCTCGCACGGTGGGCCAGAAGACCGGTGCAGGCGACCGAAACCCTAGACGCGTTTTGAGCTCCAGAGTCGCTAAATGGGACTCGGACCGAGCGTGTGACCCCACCAATGGATTGCTCTCCGAACGAGGAATTCATTGGTGGGGTCACACGTACGGTTTGAGTCCCATTTAGCGACTCTGGAGCTCAAAGCGCGTCCAGGAGCTTCGGCCGCCGGCGCCGGTCCTCTGGCTCGCACCGAGTGACGCTCCGAGTACACTCCGCGCACAGAGTCCCCCGTAGTGTTGTCGCGAGAGCCGCGGGCGCAGCGGAGCGGAGCGAAGTTCAAAGTCACGGAGCCGCTGCACTGCAGAGCGCTGCCTCCACCAGGCCGCCACCCCGCGTGCCGAGCCATCGTCGGCAGAAGAAAGGTTTAAGGTTTAAGGATGGACGTTCAACAAACGGCTCTGTCAAGCATGAGCCTCTCACTGTTACTTAGTGAGGTTGATGGGCAACACAGGGGGCCCTTAGTCCGCAGAGTGCGGCTCCGAAGAGCCACACTCCGCTGCGCGCGTACGAATGGGGTGACTGTCAACCTTGTGGTACAGTCAGGGTTTTGACCCACCCAATCTACTGCCCGCGCTGTACCGTCGTCGCAGCAGCCGAGGGTGCGTGTACTCACAGACCGCTCGTCCGGCGCCTCAGGTGTTGCACTGCCCCGTTAGGGGCAATGCGGGCGTCCTCCCGAGGGGACCCCCTGATAGGTTGTGGGAGACACCAGATTTCATAGGTCGAAGGCCGAAGCCGCATTCCCATCCATGAGGTGCCTCCCTTTGGGAGGGGTACCGGGTTTCACGGGGCGAAGGCCGTAGCCGCATTCCCATCCACGCGGTACCGCTCCACTTTGGTTCGTTTTTGCCACCATGAGATGACAGGCCCTTATCACCGGTGGAAAGACACGTGTAGTCACATGACTATCCTTAGCCAGACGACACAGGGCATAGCACCCTTATCCCGTAGCCGCATTCCCATCCATGAGGTGTCGCCCTCGAGTCGTAAAGTTTAGCTGTAAGAGAGTATTAAGCACACTACACCAATAATTTGATATACCACAAGACCGGCTGCCGACCCCCACCCCACCGCCATCAGGCCTAGGCTATAAGAGTTGGCGAGGGCAATCCACCACGACGCTGCCGAATCTGGCGCGCAGAAAGTAAGAGTGCATGGCCCGCTGATCTGCAAGGAAAGGACATGCGACATGCAAATGGGCCAGCGCCCGCCCCACTGAGGCCTCGGCCACCTCCGTCACCACACGCTGGAAGGGGAGGAGGCGGAGGGGGCGAGAAGGCAATAGACAAGGAAAGAAGCGCCAGCGCGAATGAGAGAGAAAGAAGGAGCGAGCGGAGCCCCACCCCACCCACGCCTGGACCACCGCACACAGACGAGGGGAGGGGGAGGGGGGGTGCGAGGAGCAGGCCTGGTCGCCGGACTAGGCCTAGAGCTGTAAATGAGCGTGAAAAAACACAAAACAACGCCGGGCCCCGACGCCAATGCTGCCTGCTGCCGGGTGGCGACCCTCGTTGCCATGGCAACAGAGACGTGCGTGGTCCGCATCGCCACGGACCGGGAGGGAACACCACGCTACTACAAACGCTGTACAAATGCAAGGAGAACAATCAGCCCTGATGCCCTCATTGGGCTACTCGCACACCACACGGACACGGCTCTCGGTGACACACCCCAGTGCCTGTAAGCCTAGCCCTAGCCAATGCCGCGCGGAGGGACCAAACCTGCAAGGGGATGCACTTGATGCCCTCTCACCTGGTGCTGCACAACACTCATGCCTCCGCCACTGAACATCCGTACTGCCCTTGTACACGTCATACGTCACCAATCCGACCGCCTCGCTGATCCGGCCTCCTCGCACGAACTTGCAGGGCCCGGGTGGCGTGGCCGTCGCCTGGCCCCCACCCCCGCTCCAGCCAGCAGCTGCAGGGTCGCTGCGTAGGGACGCCGGGACGCCACCAGGAGGCACACAAAGACATTGCCAGTCTTTCGTTGATTACTCGGACACCGATGCACTGAATCACTTGACACTCGCACAGCACACGCACTACTGCAAACCACATCGCCTCGTACCACACTCAAACTTGAACTCCCACTTTATACCACCCCTCGCGGCCCTCGAATACGGAGCTCCCCAAAACACAGCCGCCCGGCAGCATGGCCGCCGCCGGTCCCCCCGGCAGAAGAAAGGAACGGGGCACTAATAAGTCACTCAGCCAGACCGCCGCCGGGCCCACACCGGAAAATCGTAAACACGTCAACGGCGGGCTCATTCTCTTTTCGACCAAACTTGGTGCGAAACTGGACGCTATGTGTGTAGAGCGAGCACGCTGTGTGGGGTGTGAGCCCGACTAGAGGCCAGGCTTGTTGATTCAAATTGTTGGCGTCCCACTCACACTCACACACACACACAAACTGCACGCGCTTCGCTAATGACTGACACTACTTCCGTCAAACGACCAAGAGGAAAAAATGTTGTTCGTCCTGGACGTAGGTCCAGGACCTAACGGAAGGATTTAACCCAAACTCGACGAAAAGTTCGTAAGCATTTTCTCTGTAAGCTTGTGTACGCTCGAAATGTGACGTATTTCACTGTGAAAGTAGCCACTCACCAGAAGCTTGTTGTCGACGGTCTTGACGACGATCTCCTCCGGGGCGTACTGCGACACGTCGAACCTCAACTTGAGCTTCTTGTCGCCGCCGTCCTCCTGGATGAGGGGGCTGTGCAGGCCGTCCAGCCAGGTGCTGGGGCCGCTGGCGGGGCCGCTGGCGATGGGGCCGCCGCCCTGCTGGGTCGTGTTGGAAGAGCTAGTCGTGCTGCAAGGCAAACGAGGCTCCAGTCAGCGAAACGCACCACTCCCAACACTCTTCGTAATTTCATTTGTCTCTTTGACCGCACTGTCGAGAAAATAATTTGGAAAATCTCGATGCGGTGTTCGGGAGGGTGCCTTCCGAAGCTCCGTTCTTTTTTTTCCCAAAAACTTTTTCAACAGTGTGAACAATTGATAAGCTACCGTAAAAGTTTGATTTCAGTTTCCCAGTACCCCCCAAAGACACCCTAACAAATTTGAACTGATGAATTATGTTACAAGATCGTATTTACATATTAAAATAATTCAGCACCACCAACACTGTTTCTACTTGGTTAGTACAAGTGTTACGTCAAAACTGAAGTTATTTTCGTCAACGTGTTACTTTCAAACACCCACTCACCAGCCTAGTTATCTCACACTTACCACACTGGTACTTACTACATGAGGGCAACACGTTGCTGACAAGAAACTGGTGACTTTACTGACAAAAGTACCCTATCTGACTGGTTTCCCCCTTATGTCGTAAAAACTGATGCAATGGGAAGATTTAAAAATGAGAGTAAGCACCTGGAGAATTTTTCGAAGGCTGAGCCCATTGGAGGGAAGTTTGGGAACCTGGTGGAGCCTAAGAGACCGGGGCCGGAGTCTCGTATTGTACCGCTCGACGTGCTGCTGCTGGAGGTCTTGGTTTCTGAGGTCTCCGATCTGTGGCTGCACACAAGTAGCAACGGGAAAAGGTTAGTGCGTTTAGTTTAGCTCCCAAAGCGATCACCTTGTTAGTCGCCCTCGGTCGCCCTCCAGCTACCGGCTGCTAAAAAGTCACAGCTTCCAATTCGTTCAGGCAAACAATTCCTGTTAACAAGTATCAACTTCAGACTCGTTCCGGTAAACAAGACTTGAACGCAACAACTGACTTTGATTTCGACACGAAGCTCTGCCCCGAGGCGAGTCTCTCTGGACACTTGAGGCGATTCGGTTGCCTGTTTGCCACTCCCCCTGGTTAAGTCGTTACACATGTCGCGAGCCAGCTCATCTGCCTTGTCTCGCGTGCCTGCTTTGCCCGCCACATGGCAGCATGGCCCACCACTCCCCGAGCACGAAGCTGCCAGATAGCATCTCGCATGCGACTTTAGCACCGGTAGCTGATCGGGCCGGGCGGCAGGAAGAGGCAGCCGTAAACTCGTTACGACTTCCGGTCAGGTACTATGACTTTATTTCGCAAAGAGTTCTCGACTTGTAGGCCAGTCCTGCCTCCGTCGCGAAATTCAATCTGGCTGCCTGATGGCTTAGTAACCGATGGTGCCAAAAGGCTCCACTCCGCGTATGGGAAATTAATCGATATACCGGCGAAGAGAGAGGCTCTCCATTTCGAGCACCGAATCACGAATTAGGAAGAGATAAGCTGTTGCTCATTAAGCAAAGCACAGCCCTGATATCAAAAACAACAAAAAATGCATAGATTTGCAAATCTACTACTGCCGTCAACGAAAAGAAAAACACGACAAACAAAACTTATTGAAATCAAGAAGGCCGTGGGCTGAAAGAGTAAAACAAAGTGAGTGTAAAGCGTTGATAACACAGAGGTATGTTTAAAAAGCTCGGCGTACTACATTTAATTTTAGAATTATTTGGTTACTATTAGGAAGCTTGAGCGTGTGCAGAGTTCTGTCTCGAAGCATTTTTCATTTCGTACCTCGATTCGCTCCCACATACACACATTGGACACATACTGCACATACATACACACTACAGTCACATACTGTACATATCTACACACACAAGCACACTCACACACAAGGCAATGTAATAAAAGAGAGGAAGAAATTAACGAAACGACCCTATCCCTCCAATTTATGTGCTATATTTATTGCCGCGTTAGTACCGCCCCCTCCCCCTCTTCGCGACAGGACGTCGCCAAACGAGTGTGGGTGTCACGTCGTCGCGCACGGGTTGAATGCACCTCACGGGACGCGCTGCGATTTTGATCGATGAATAACATCGACTCGTCGATTCGTCGCCAAGTCGCAGTGGAGGAGACGGACAGGTGAATGCGAATGAATGAACGAATGGTCGCATGAAAAGCGGATCATCTCCGTCTTCCTCGCGCACCGCGAGGCGTTCTGTGGGGCTGCGAGAGACAGAGGTTCGAAATGAGCGCGCTGCCAGTGTTCATTGGCACCAACGTATGGCTTCGCCACCAGGCACCGAAGGGCCAAAGGCAGACTCACAGTGGGTTACGCACTGGCCGGCTTTTGCTTGGAGGACAGACACTTCCACCCCTCAAACCGGCACACCGCATACTTTTCCACATTCCATTTACTCAAACATTCAAATAAATCCCCTCTCGCCGTTTTCTGAAAGAGAATTTGGCAGAAGCGAGTAAGTCCGCTGGCCGGCCGGTCTGCCCGTTTGGACTGGGCCCCCCGGGGAGACTTATCAGGCTGGGGGCGTCCCTCCCCTGCGAGCCCCAGGGGGGCCCCACCGCGGCTTGCCTCGCCTCGGGCCGGCCGGCGGGCAACGGCGGGCAACCCCACACCGTCTCCCAACCTGCTGCTCCCATGCTCCCAATCCAGTGTTGCCTAATTCAGTGAAGCATCGCACAAAAAAAGTAAATAAGACGCAACCGCGATCGGACGCGACCGGACTACAGCGCACTGCGAAAAAAAAAATTGCGCATGTACTTGTGTACCTTACTTCCACCAGAGCGACAGGTCCCTCTGCCATTCCTCAACGCCGAGGCGGCCCCGGAAACGTGTTTGTTTCGCTGTAAAGTGAAACAAACCGCGCGAGGCATGCCATGCGCCCGGATGGACACCTGTTTCGTGCGAGTGTGGCAAGCCTGTTTTTTACAGCCAACTTCCCGCCAAGAAAAAAGCGGAAGGGACGTTTTCTGGGCGGCGTGGCCGAGTTTCGCGCGGCCGTGTTGGCACACCTGAGGGTCTAATGGGGATGAAAGCGGACACCGGAACGCACCCATCCACCCCCCCCCCAGGGGTCAGAAGAGGGCGGGCAGAACGACCACTAAGGAAAAGTGGAGTGCGCCCCACAAAAAAACAAAAAACAGGCGACTTGCACAAATAAAGAGGAGAAGTGCTTTGATTTTTGGTCAGGTTGACCCATTTTGAGAGTTGAGCTCGCATAGAGTACTTTCGGAGTCGAGTCTCAAAACCTACAGTACGTGCGCACTAAAAAAAATCAAGGTAGTCAATTTAATTTTTTGATGGCATTGTGGTGGTACCAGCCTGGCTGCGTTGTTGGTTCAAGACGCCTTGGACGGCTCAATTTTTTCTTCCCCCTGGGTGTGCACCGTGCGACTGAATTTGTACGAATAGGGCTTGCCTTGCCACGATCAATCACAATGGGAGGGTCTCGTATATCAAGGGAAGGAGGGAGGGAGTGATAAGAGGGACCACGGACCACCCTCACACTCACACACACACTCACTCACACTCACACACACACTAACACACACACACACACACACACATCCCCTACGCCTGGCACCGCACGCTCCAGCGTACACCGGCATCACACGTGGCCAACCTCACCGTACGCACCTTGCTCTCCCCTCGCACACACCGTTGTTGAAACGGGAACAGATTTTCTTCCCTCTTAATCGAAACAACAAGATAAGCGATTGGACGCCTGTTCCACAGCGAGGCCGTTTTGAGCTCCAGAGTCGCTAAACAGGCCTCGACCCGAACGTGTGACCCCACCAACGGATTCCTCGTTCGGAGAGCAGTCCATTGGTGGGATCACACGTTCGGTTCGAGTCCCATTTAGCGACTCTGGAGCTCAAAACGCGTCCGGGGTTGCTGAAGCCCTGAAGGGCGTTCGCACCCTCCTGGTTAATTCCGCACCCTTTTACTGCGTCACTGTAAGGGCGTCAATGCTTCATAAAAGTCACGGCCCCAGGGGCGTGGCTGCTTTCAACAACAACAACATGTTGCCTTTGTTTTTGTTGGCGGGAAAAAGAAGACCACGTGCAGTGGGAGGGGGCAAAGGGACGGACGGATAGACAGACAGACAGACGGACAGACAGGCAGACAGACAGACAGACAGACAGACAGACAGACAGACAGACAGACAGCCAGGCAGACAGACACCTGGCCCCTAGACAGTCGCCTCAAAGGTAGACAAAAAGCCACACTCTGCCCCTGTAAGAAGGCGAAAATCGCTGCCCACTTTGACCCCCCTCCCTGAGGCCGGCTCTGGCTCCGCCACTGACGTGCGCGGGCCGACGGCAGCGCGGGTGCGCTGGTACCCAGCCGGCGGGACGCGGCGAGACGCCAGGTGGCCGCAGAGAGCTCCCCACCTTGACCGATATGACCATTTGTGACGGCGCGCTGCAGTCCGGACCTGCTGCAGCAGCATGCCACTGGGTGCGCCCGGCCCGCATCGAACGGTGCACCACAACGTCTTGGGTGCACTGCCGAGATCTCCTTCTTCGTCACACGAACGGAAGGCTCCGTGCCGTCGCAGCACAGCGAAGGTAGCAAGGATCCGTCGAGTTCAATCGCACTTAGTTTGGCAGTGTAGGCTTCTTTGAGAGGTCGTCCCGACGCGCCTGCGGATGACAACGCCGCAATATCAGCTTCACGTCGTGAAAGGCACGTCCGACAGGGAGTCCCTCGCATCATCCCCGGCCATTTTTGCGTCGCCGGAAAGGCGCGCGACACACTTGTGCAAGCTACTTGTCTCCCCCCCCTCTCTCTCTCTCTCTCTCTCTCTCCTTAAACGCAGGCCGCAGGGGGTTCCGTCCGATTCTTACGACTGCCTCCCCCTCCCCTTCCCCCTCCCCTTCCGTTTTACGTCTTCCCTCCCCACGTATAAATCCTCTCCCTTTCGTTTGAAGGTCACGCGGCTCGCACCCCACACCGCGGGGCCCATCCACAAACCACGTAACGGCCTCCGCCCCCCACCTTGGCGGCAGCGTCTCCGTCTGCTGATCTCGGAGGCACGCATTCCCAACTTACTTCGAAGCGAAAAGCGACCGGTCGCAAGACGGCGCTGCGTGAAAATTAGCCCGCGGCGACCCTAAAGCGTCGAAGGGCGAGATCTACAAGTCGAATTACACTGTAAGCCCTTGGCGGGCTTCCGGAGGCCGCAGGACCGAAGGGTGCTTGAGGTTGAGGCCACGCCGCCCGCAGCACGCACTGCACTAGCACTGCACCGCCTCCGTCTCTCTCGCACGCAGACGGAGCCTGCTGGCCAAGCTGCACCCAGCGGGCTTCGGCCGTTTACTCTGACAAAAAAAAATGGCCGTTTTGTTTTATTTACGTGTTCGACTCGGCAAAACTCGCCCACTACTTTCCCTTTCAGAGAGAGAGAGAGAGAGAGAGAGAGAGAGAGAGAGAGAGAGAGAGAGAGAGAGAGAGAGAGAGAGAGAGGAAAGTGCGGGCCTAAGCGTTCCACGGGCATTGTGGACAAATGAGGCTGGGGTGCGGGGGAGAGAGAGAGACGCAGGGAGTGACAAAAGTACTGCAGCACACGGCGACGACTAGTATACGAGCCCACTAAAGAGGGCGCAAAAAGTAATTTCGCCACTGATTTATTCTCTTTATATTTTTTGTACGTCGTTTTATGCCCTTTTTTTCTTCCTTTTTTCGTCCCCGGCGATAAGCGGCCCTTTACGGTCAAGAAAAGAGGAATCCGACGAGGGGAATGAAAACCGCAACCAGTGCAGGCAACATCGCACAGTGGGCCAGAAG